GGGTGCGTGATTGTATTTCGAGTGCGAGTACAAAAGTCATACACTTGAAACATTTTCTGTTAATTTTAAAATATGTTAAAGGTTAATTTAATAACATATTAATATTGAGCATTTTAAGTTGTTTTATTTTGATACATTTAATAGCATTGTAAAATCATATTCAATAGAAAACCAATAATGAATAATAAACAATAGAAAAGTAAACAAATTAAGATTTCCGCCATTATGCAGTCTACCGTACCAAGGCACAATTAATCTATTTCTAGAATCAATTTTATCTAACCACAGATTATGAGCAGAGCAATACCATACTATACTATCTGAAAAACCTTGGAAATATCAATGCAAATTATTCGCTTAAGTGTCGAGTTATAGTTTTAATCACGATCACGCCTATTACACACCAGGTACCTTCTTATAACCTGTGGCGTGAAATCCGACAACCCTAAGAAGAATAGACCATTCAATCGTACGGTCCCGTTAATTGAGAGTTGACAGTAATCGCATATTGCTCGCGCTTTCCCTTTGGAAAGTATCAAAGCATCGCTTTAAATCAACATAGACTTGCTTTAACTCCAATTTCAATGTCATCACCGTAATAGCCACTCAATATTATCGAGATTAATGAAGTCACACCTACTTTCTGTGTAGCAAGAAAGAGTGGTTTTCAAATAGCTCCATCTACATTCCAATCGTTTTTAAGATTCTTTTATTGTTACTTCAGTATTTTTTTTAATATGACCTCGAAGTGATGAGCGCGTTCGGCTGTGTTCGTGGAAGTTAAGCAACTTTCGCAACGGTGGGTCATTGGATGGGTGACCAAAAATTAACTATCTCAAGCTCCTCCATGCTTGGAAAAGTACGCTAAGCCGTTGATCCCAGCTGCATCTGCGGTCGTTAGCACCCACCAGTTAGCACTGGGCCCGCGTGGTGGGTCATGGCCCAATCTCCCTATTCCATCCAGACATTAATAGGCTGATGATGATGCGAGATTTTCACATGAGCTTATTAAAGTAATAAAATCAGAATAGATCATTTATATTGTATTGTGTACAGTAATTTTATTTATTAGTGTATTGGTTTTTATATTTCGATTATTTTTACGGAAATAATTTTAATCATAGTATAAATTAATTGTTTTCTAGGAAAGTACTTTTAGCCTGATTTTTGTAAAACACTTAAATAGAAAGCTACTGTAATTAGTTTTTAAAATATATCGTTTATTTGATTTTACGAACATAGATTAGATACTGCCAGCTACATAAATATTATAGCTTTGTAACGTCAATCAATAAGGCTTTGCACAAAGAACCCGCATCACGTTATTATATCTAAATCCCATATGAACGAGGAGGAAGTCTTCTGACCTTCACCCCCGCTCAGATGTCTTACAAAAATCTATTTGATTATTATTGACTTCTCTTTACGAATATCTAATAGTAACAAGTTTGTTCGCTAACAGAAGGCAAAGTTTGATTAATTTGCCAAACCAATTAATTTTCAATTATTTTAATCATTAGTATGACGTTAGCTGTAGCTGTGATAGATTTAATAAACCATTTAGTACCTAATCACTAACACCATTAATAATAGCTTTGACGTGATATCAATTTAAAATTTGACAGCGAGCATCTTTGAAAATAACAACATGTTACTAATTTGTACCTACTCAAAATGTGGCCCGTGGGTTAATAAAAAGTTTTTCATTTTTCACGTTTCAATCAGAGCACTATCATCTCACTAAGTATAACTAACGGTCAAATAAAAAAAAACATCAAAATCAGTCCACAAACCTCGGACATATGCTCAAAACACAATAAAAAATAACTGACGAATTGAAACACTTCCTCCTTTATGAAATCAAATAAAAATCTATCGTTTAGTCTAGATAGCCTCAGTTGCTACCTTGTGTCTGCCTTCATGAGTTTTATGTGAAAGTGAGCAATACAAAGCCTAAAAATTATTACACCTCACCTGTTGAAGGTTCTCCAGCCATCCTCACCTTGCTGACCTGAACCAATTTCTCTACCACTTGGATGGAGCTCTACTCAACACTCTCGATAACACCAAAAACTGCATATAGCTCTACAGTATAAAATATGGATACACATGAAACATATTATGTCTATTACAGTCAACAAAGTTACTAATTAAGCACATAGTCCAATATGCTATTCAAACATAATATCATAAAATAGGAAGAAATAATGTTATCCTATTTTATTTACTCACAGAACCCAGTGCCACGTTTTTTTTCTACTTTTTATGAAAAATGGTTTTACGCAAAATTAATAAAAACCTATAAGAGAAGTTTGCCAACTTTAACTTCGAACGCTGCACGTATTTTTAATCATATACTTAGTCGTATGATTAAAAATACCTGTATATTCTTGTTATTAGATCGAAACGGATTATATTGGTACTATAACATACCTATCGGTCAATCTCACAAAGTTACAACAATGTTGTTCGGTTTTGCGAGGTTTGAACTTGTTCTTGACCACAGAGAAAATAAGCTTAAGACATAAAGTTTTAAGCACCACATACCTATTCTACCATGTACTTTCATATGTTTTCATTTAAAGTTATGAAGTTGTGGTAAGCTTAAACATTCTTCTTAGTCACAACTTGTCCCTAATTGAATGAGTGCACGTCCGTCTCACATACATTACGCCTAAACAGTGCATTAGCATAGAAATTCCTACGTGGATATTAAATTATCTACGTAAGTAAGACTTGATTGGAGTTGCGTTACTGGAATATTAAACGCTTCATTATACTGATTCAATTGTGCATTAGGTTTGTGCAGTAAGAAATCAAACGTAAAAATAAATTTTCTTTTCCACTGTTGTCAATGTAATGGTTGAAGTTGGATTGTAGACAATGACGCATTCCGAGAGCCTATTATGTCCATACTCCGGATGTCATTTGATAGGGTGCCTAGTGATAGGTAGTACATTTACTGCTGATTTTAAGTATAAATAAATATTTTCAACACTCACACCAATTAGCTTAGCCCCAGAGTACGCACTGTAGGCTTGTGTTATGGGATACTAGGGTAACGGATAGAATACATATCATCATCATCATCATCAGCCTATTAATGTCCCCACTGCTGGGGCACAGGCATTCCCTATGGATGGAATAGGGAGATTGGGCCATGACCCACCACGCGGGCCCAGTGCGGATTGGTGGGTGCTAACGACTGCAGATGCAGCCGGGACCAACGGCTTAACGTGCCTTCCGAAGCACGGAGGAACTCGAGATAGAAGATTTTTGGTCACCCATCCAATGACCGACCACTGCGAAAGTTGCTTAACTTCAACGATCGCAGCGGAAAGCGCTATCCACCTGCGCCATCGAGCTCTTCATATACTGATACATATATAAGTACATTTTTATAGCAAAAAAAACATATCACACATCCATGACTGGAGTACAAATGCTCGTATTCATCACACAAACATCTGCCCCACCGGCATTCGAACCCGGAGGAGCTCTCGAATTGGCGACACCATGAAACCCGGCGTACTTACCACTCGGCCACGGAGTTCAAATCTTTTCATTATTTTTTATTACACTGGAATAAAATCTTCCGATAGATAACACTTCATTGTGCACACAACTTTTTATTTTACACACTAGGATATCATTTTAAATCTTATTGCTATATACCTAACTATTGCATCCAGACAACCATAAAATGATAAGACGAAAATGAATAAAAGACCCCTCTTTTATTCAATTTCGTATTCACACCCCCGTGTGCAATTATAAATTTAAAAAAACTTTATAAATGAAAGGCACCTCATCAATTCACCGAATGTGAACTACACATTACCATAAAGTGACATTCACATTGTGAAAGTAGATCTCTATTATATACTATGTAGATACTTGCCACACAGTAATTTTTCTTACGGTCTGAATCTTATTCATTGACCCAGTGCAGCTCTTGCAACTTTAATGGCCTGCGCAGACAAGGTTTATCCGCCAAAACAGATCGCTTACAACTGTATTGAGTAATGCACACGAGGAATTAATATACTTAATTCCTGACAAGATAGGAGAACGAACACGACAAAAGTACGCGAGAGTCCCTGAAAAAATATAGAGCTCTTGTTACTAGGCGCAGCAACACACACAGCTAACTTTAGTCCACGACGTCCGCGTTGCGCGCTCAATCCGATTTAAAGAGGCCCAGTATTCTCTTTTAAAACGTCTTCTCTTTTTCTTAAACTTCATGTTAACTACAATACAACGTAATCTGTGAATATTTATTTTCATAGCGTGTGCTTGTCTACATTTTCGGGCAACAAATGTTCGGACATCGTTGTGCGTTGAGTCTGTGACAAGTCCTCGTCGGATTTTTTTTTCACGATTCAGGGACTTTTGTCCTCAGCGAAAAAGAGCCCCTCGTCTGTTCAGGCCATTATTAGAACTATTTATTGTAATAAATTGAAATTAATCTAATGCCCTCTGACTCTATCCAAGAACCGGTATTTTGAGTCTATTATCCCTTAATAATTTAGCGACTGTAATGATAAAATTAAATTTCGATTTATCATGTTTGTCGTCAATCCTATTCTAACTTACAAAGTTTTTAATGCCGTAAAGTTATATTTTTCATGTTCTTCTTTTGTAAGGTTGTAAATAATAAATAAGTTTAAGAAATTGCATGTTTTGAACTCGACGGACACGACACGTCGAAGTTCACGATACACCGATTTTAAGAGTACCTCTAGTACCAATTTTTTTTACTCTACTCACACCGATTTAGCCTAGCCGCAAAGTAAACACTGTAGCACTTGTGTTATAGAATGTAACAGATAGAAATACCGATAACGATACTTACATAATCTTATTTTCCTAGCAATATATATCAATAGCCGTGACTTGTGTACCTACAAATGCTATTCCAGCACATCTGAGTAGGCGACATTTTAAAGTACCTCTCGCACCATGTAAGTTGTAAATCTAACGGTCGGATCTCTTTCCAGGATGCGGCACAGAATGCGTACGGTGCGCGGTAGACGGTTGCGTGAAGTGCACGAAACTGCTGATGTGGCCGGAGGGAACATGTACGCAGGCCTGCCCAACAGGCACGCGCGAGTCCTGGGCGCACGATGATCGGCTTATGGGCCGCGTTTGCTACCCGGCACACACCTACAACGAGGTACGCGGCACATTATATAACTAGATTTACGATACTGCTGGTGTGGCCGGACAGAATATGCAGGCGGACCTGCTCTACCGGCACGCTAGAGTCCTGGGCGCCCGATGACCGGCTCATGGGCTGCGTCTGCTACCCGGCTTACACCTACAACAAAGTATGACCCACATTATATAAATACATTCAAGAGACTGCCGGTGTGGCCGGAGGGAACATGTACACGGGCCTGCCCAACCGACATGCGAGAGTCCTGGGCACACGATAGCCGGCTCATGGGCCGCGTCTTCTACCCGGCTCACACCTACGATGAGGTGTGCCCCCATTTTATAACTAATCTTTAACTTGTACCTTAAGTATTGTTAATAAGGCCATTCACAAGACTGCTTGTGTGCTTAGAAGGAACGTGCACGCGGGCGTTCTAAACCGGCACGCGGGAGTCTTGGACTCACGATGACTGAGCCAGTCCGTCCGTAGGCCGCGTCTAGTACCCGGCCCACACCTACAACGAAATATGACATGATCCCCATTTTTAACACTTATTTCAACCTGTACTAATACATAACTTCATTTACGAGACTGCTGGTGTAGCCAGAGGAAACGTACACGCGGGCCTGCCAGGCCGTAAGAGTTCTAAATGCATGACAGGCTTATGGGCTGCGTCTACTACTCGGGCCCATACAAACAACGAACTTAATATTAAACCATCAGATATGAAAGCTATCACCGAAGAGGACCGAGAATTAAATTGTGCGACCATTCATTACTAAAAAAACCCGGGTTGCACTCCGGGAGTGCCGGCAGAAGTGAATACTTGAATAGAAACGTTGTGCATTTTTGATATTTTGGAATGGTTAGGGAATAATTTTGCACGAATTGCTTAAATTAATTATCAGTATATAAGTACTATCATGTTTGTGGTAGAATACAATATTTATTAAGTGCGCTAACGTACACAAACATGACAATTTATATTACATTAAAAAAGTTTATCTCTTAGAAAAATCAACTTACATGAATCACGTTTAAGCGCACTTAGCGACATCTATTGTAAAGAAATCAACTTACATGAATCACATTTAAGTGCACCTAGCGACATCTATTGTAAAAAAATGCATTTTCTTCGCAATAAAGCTGCCACATGGACGTCCTAGATAGAGACTTATTATTAAAATACGATAAAATAAAATATTACTATGTTTCGTCCAATATATTGAAAGTCAACAACCTTTCCAATTTTATTGTGTATCATGATGCGACCAGCCCACGTGTTTAACCTGACACTAGTTTAACATTTTTTACCCATACAAAAAAAAGTGTACAACGCCGCTAAAGAAGTTTTCACTTCAAAAAATATTGGCTCTAATCTGGGTGGTGATTGTGTTTTTTCAGTTTCATAACTTGGTATGAAAGCAAACAAAGAGAGTGGACATAATGACGTTTTCTTACAGGTGATAAATATATTACTTATCAACTAAGATGAAATTTTCACTGTTACTTTACCATTTTTTTCACTTCGTTATTTCAAAACCAGTACGAGTATAAATATGTTGTTTTAAAATAATGTCTTAAACAAAAACAGCCAAAACAGAATAAAGTCTTAAACATCTGGTACAAACTAATGCGATGCAAAGGTGTATCCTGAAATAGTTTAAATAAAAAAAACAGTTTAGTGTGTCAGAGAGAGCATCTTAGATGTAAACAGATGCTTTTAAAACGCATAACACAATGATGTAGCAACGCTATGCATCACAGCTTTGATAGAGCAACCGGTATAATCAAAAATCGTTAATCTAAGGAATGCATGTGTGGCGATTGCACAAGAGTTAGTAATAAAAGAGATATAAAAGTGACTTTATAATGTTATTCAGATTTATAATTTATCTGTTTATTACGTAACCGGGTTTATCAATGTATCATGATTGCATTAATGCAAGCCTTGAGCAGTGATGTGCAGTCAGTTGGATAGATAAAACTGCCACGCTTTCGTTGCAAAATAAACATTACCCAGCTACGGTGTAGGTGATTTTTTAAACCAGCCAAGTGCGTGTCGGTTAACGCGTAATGCAGAGTTGGTATTTTCACTTATACAAATAACATTTCTGGCAGAGTGGAGGGGACACAATCACAAGTGTCTCCCTATGAGTATAACTAAAAATAGTATTTTCAAAAGCTAAAAGATGTATGAATTTTCATAACCTAAATATAAGTTAGACCATGATTATATATAGTTATTAATAATTTAAATTCTACGCCCTAAAATTACCGATTCGATAAATTTTATGACTAAATGCGCATCTCTTAGCCAATGAAGAACAATAATTATTTCTTTCAAATGTACAACTAATTTCGAAATTAGAATATAAAACGTCATGAACGTGCAAACGTCAAAATGGCCATAATAGCGTGCCCCTACTATAGAACTATTAGTCCCTGAACTGAGCCGCGGACTAATATATAAGGGTTCCTTGTTGACTTGGAAGCCTAAAAGGGGTAGCAAAGAACTATAAGCTATGGGCTCTTTGGATACAAGGGAATCACTCACACGTTGCCTACCATCTAACCTTACCCCTTGCACATTGGAGCCGTAAAACGGGATTAGCCGTGCCTAAGTGCAAAGCAGTATCCTACTTTCTGCTTATATTATAATGTGAAAGTTTGTATGTTTGTTACTCAATCACGCAGAAACAACTAGTAGTTTATTACCTGGATTGAGACATATGATATTATTTATCCCGAAGAAATCTCAAAAAAAATAAAGTTAACGCGGACGACGGCCGTCAGTGAGATATTTTTTTTTGTTAACTATCCTATGATCTACCATTGCTGTCGCTGTAGCTGTATGTTTAAGTTGCTTATCTTCCGCTAAAGCAGACAGAACATGCTAGCTACTGCGCCATTGAGCTCCTTGTGTAGCTTAAAATCAGAGATGTCAGGTCGACTGCGCTATGTTGTTTCTCTTTTGATGTGTTTATTATATTGTTGCCACCAGGTTCTCGTCGGAGGTGCATGCGGTGCCGTTGCCTGTATAGCACTGATAGCAGCTGGGGCGGCTTACGCGAAATGCCGTTCGTCTGCGCGGGCGCAAGCCCAGCCGCTGCCGCAGCGGCCGAGGCACGACGATGACACGCATCTAAGAGAATTCCACAAACAACTCGACTGCTTAAGAGTAAGTAACTATTTCTAATAGTCTTTACTTTTAGTAGTAAGTATATAAAATACACCTCGGCAATAGTTCACCGCAAAAACCATAAACTTAGTACGTTTTTATACGGAAGTTGGTAATTACCTTCTTCTCTTTAGTGTTAAAGTTATTTGTACTCGATATTATTGAGTTCTAAAAATTATAAAATTGTCATAGACAGTTATCGTTTTCGTTTGTGCAGTGATGATACTTTAAGCCATTATTCATTGTAAACAATGTTTAGGAAGCAATGTTTGCTGAAACACCACGTAGATGTTTACAAAAACAATGTTTCTAGAACTTGACCGTCCACATCTCAGGTGTTTCAATTCAAATATTTCTATCAATTTGTCTATAAATAACTGAACCATACGTCCACACCTGTAAACATTTGTTGCGAAACTCATTTGTGTCCATGCTCTCCACTGCAATCGGGGAGCACAGAAACATCGCGAGAAACACGTGGTGTTTACCGAAATAGTTTCACGTGTTTCAGAAACATATAAAAATGTTTTAGAAACACACATTTTGTTTATGAAACAGAGTTTATATAAAATTGTTTCTTAGTGAAGACATGTTACAGCAAATATCACTTTCGGTCTTACATCTACCTTTTATTAGTTTGATCCCTGTGAGGCATGTAAATGCATTGAAGCCAGTCGTGGAATAAATCCTTACCGCAGTGGTACCACAAAAAAGCTACTCAAGCGTTTAACACGAGTTTAAGTAGAAAATGACATACAAAATTTGCCTAAACACGGATTAAAACAGTATTTTACTTTTTCATGGCAACACACTTAGTCTGTCTACAAACAAATATTTTGTTTTTATTGATATGAAACTAACAGTCATACGCTATAATAAAATACGGATGTTTCCGGGATACCAAACCTAGTGCCTGCTAGATATAATCCTATATGATCGATCCTACTACTAGCTAAGTATCTACTACTGCAATAAGCCAAAGTACTTATAACACCTAGCGATAGCGTATAATAAAAAAGAGGACATGTGAAAGCGTTTCCAAATTAGTGTTCACATCAGCGATAGCCATTCAGACTTTATTGTAAAGACCCTGCCTATACTTTAATGATTCTCAGTTAATCCATCTATTTATTAAAACAGCCAACAGTTTTTGCTTCGCAGTCTATTCACACTTTTGGCAATTATAATAAGATAACAATATTCACATTTGCATTTTGTTATGCAACAAGTGGATTTAAGTATCTCATTCCATCCGAATAACGAAGTCATTAGCAACGTTATTTTAGCTGTGTAAAATTGTGTAGCAATTTTTATATACCTAATTATTCATTTAGATTGAATCAAAAATTTGTAATGCATATGTCGTTGAATGATATGATAAATCGAATTTTCACGAAAAAAGTTGTGATTTTACGTACAAGGTAAACAATGGCGATGACATTATTCTCAATTTTACTGAAAAAAGATAAGACTTTTGCGAAAACAGAGTCGCCTCAGTAAGATTGTGAAAAGAATCGTTGGTTTATTATAAATATTCTTGGGTTCACACTAGGTTAGGTTAGATTAGTTCCTTAACAGTAAGATTGAGTCATGTCAGCGTCATTGTCTAATTATAATCAAAAATTTGATTTATCATAATATCGTCCCACTACACATAAATTTCCAAAAAAAATAATTTAAAAATTTTTCGCTCATAAAACTTTAATGGAGGCACTAGGTCCATAGGCCATTTCCCGCTCAAATTAGAGCGCGATCAGCAATAAGTAACACTCGCTTCATGGATTATGGAGGATATGGAGCGCCATCCAGGTCGATTATTTATTTATCTAGTCTGCAGTGGGTTTGAAAAATTCAAACGCAGTTGTGAGATTTGATTTGAAAAACACAAAGGCAAACAGACAATCATTTCTCTTAAGGTCAGGAAGTGGATCTTAAGCAATTTTTACAAATACACAATATACTTATCTACGAGTACACGCGGATTTTCACTTCATATTAGTTTTTTATGTTTAGTTACATACACGTTGTGATATACTCTTTTCCTGAGTTAGTAAACACTTCGTCGGGCAGAAACGACGTGGGAGTAATAACAAAAATAACTATCGAGTGACAGGAGTAATTAATAAAAAAAATAGGTCGATCTGCAACGAGCTGACAATCTGACACTATTGTTTCGACAAAAATATATTTCTATTAATTGTTTCTTAGGTTTTCACGGACATCGCTCATTAAATAAAACTAGTTTTAACGGATTAATACACGAACTTTATTTATTTATTGAAGAATAATGATTTTTTATTTACTTTGTCGAGCTTTGTCTTTCGAAGGTAGCTCGACAAAGTAAATAAAAAATCATTATTCTGACGATGCAGACCTAAAAAGGCTGCGACACGTCAATAAATAACTAAAGTTCGTGCATTAATCCGTTAAAACTAGTTTTATTTATTTCTATTAAGTTAATATTATTAATGTGTTACTTCTTCTTTGTGTTTTGATACTATACTAACTCCAGGATATGTACACGATGTGAAGTTAATAAAATACGTTGTATGTAATTTTTCCTTTTCAGCCACACGCTTACACTTTGCTGGCTATACTGAATCACACACGGAATCAAGTGAGAGAGCTCTATCAACTAGGCAACAACGACGCTGCTATGGCTTACAGGTAAAACACTTACTAAAACTATTTTATATACATTCGTTTATTGCATTTGTTGGCTTAAGGTTAAGGTGCATCTTAATTAAATTGTGTGACTGCATGAATTGCAACTGAATTTTAGGTGTCATAGTTCAGACAGTAGCTTATTATTGATAAACTGTTATTAATAAACTTATAAACATTATTAAACGAGAAATACCTTATTCCTTCTTAACTAGCACACAAGCTCATTTGCTGTTAAGCATTAAATTAATAAGACAATAATAATTTAAAATAAATTACTAAATATTTCCAACACTCACACCAATTAGCCTAGCCCCAAAAGTAAGTACTGTAAGGCTTGTGTTATGTGATACTAGGGTAACAGATAGAATACAGTCATAAACTGTACTTATATATATATATTAATATAGAAATACATATCAAACATCCATGACTGGAGTACAAATGCTCGTATTCATCACACAAACATCTGCCCCCACCGGGATTCGAACCTGAGACCTCTCGAGTCGGCGACACCATAAAACCGTACAAACCACCCGGACACGCCGGTCGCCAAAAAATTTTTTTGTGGGCGCGCATGTAATTTTAATAAAACTTATAAATATATGTATATTTACAGTAATCTGGCACTCGCACTAATATTTCACTTCTTCGCCAGATTACTGTGAATATACACATATGTATGAGTTTTATTACTTATAACAATATGAAAACACAGTAACAATACTGTGTATTATTTTGTTGATTCGACACTCTTTCAAGTAAAACTTCTATCTTAAACCAATTTTAGATTTATTAAATATAGTAAACATACATTAAAAAGGTACAAAGGTGAATAAATAGAGGCAAAGTTGTGCAGTGGCGCTATATTAGCTTCTTAAAACTAAGGAAGCATATTCCTTCACTCTTAAACAGCTATTATATCGCCACATTAAAACGTTTGGAATGCCACTATAGAGCGCTTGTAAAGTTATATAAGCTGTATAATTTGTGCCCAATTAGAAGGTACAAAAGCTCTGTAGCCTCTTATACGAATACTGTAGAGCTTCTTTATACAGCTGAAGCCATCGCCAGTTTTTATTATACGGCTGTTACATGTGGTTTTACAGCTAGTGTCCTAGTTGGGTTATATAATGGCTTAGACTGCCGAGTTTTGTTCATATCACTCAAGTGCCTTTTTTAATGAGGTTGTTTCGGAAAATTTACGTCACCAGTTGGCGCCACTCTAAAAAGAGGTCTTCTGTATGAAGTTTTTGGCGCGAGTTAATCGATCGAGCATTGAAATTGATCCATAGACTATGACGATATAAGTGATTTGACGGATGAGTAGACCTTTCGTCTCAGTGCTACCACCTGATGCCTGTCATTCCAGAAACCCCTCATTCAATGAAGAGAGGCGTAGCTTAAGTAATCCAAGCTTTATTCGTCGATTTATAACAAGGGGGTCAAGATTACCCGGAATTTAATTATTTAAAATTCATAAGATTTATAACCATTATTAATAATCATATTTTAAAACCATGGAGGAGTTTGATGGCGCAAGTGGACGCGCTGTTCGGCGGCGATCGTTGAAATTAAGCAACTATCGAAGTGGTCGGTCATTGGATGGGTGACCAAAAATATACTATCTTGATCTCCTCCGAGCTTCGGAAGGCACGTTAAGCGGTTGGTCCCAGCTGCTACTGCAGTTGTTAGCACCTACAACACCCACCAAACCGGACTGGGCTAGCGAGGTGGGTCATGACCCAATCTCCTTATTTCATCCATAGGGTTGTCTGTACCTCAGCAGTGGGACATTAATAGGTTTATGAAGCTGATATTAACATGCAAGAAACTAACATGAACTATAATTGTTTTGTACTTATATCCTCTTTAATTAGGCCACAACCTAAGAATAAACAAAACACACTAGTTACAAGCTCACCATAATAAGCTTCCCAAAGCACATTAACCTTTCAACGTTTTGTACAGTGAACGCAGTCTGAATGTTTATTGACTTTAGTCACCTACTCCGTTTTAAAATTGGACGGTTGATTCTGTATGCAATGCTTGCTTGATAGTGTTTTATGCATTGTGTCCTTTAGAAGGTATAGAAGGTACCCATGAAGTAACTATGTATGTTTACGTGTCGTGATGTGATTTGAAATTATATGCCAGTTCACGCTTGAAAATTCTTTATTCACCACATAGTTCACACAGTTCTTTCTTAAACACACACTTCTATTATACATTAAACAAGTCTTTCAACAATCGCAATTGAACACTTTACTTGCATATTTATCGCCTTTGTATTCGTTCCGAAATCGCTGTTGAAACTCAACTGTTCATTACGCGGCGCCGAACGCGCTTATATACACCAATTTTACCAATAAATAGATATTCCAGAAAAGTCCAGTTTAATTGAGCGTTCACTAACACCGCCGTGCACGTAGTACCTAGTTATACGTAGGTATCGCGTATGAGTTGTAGTGCAGATAAGTTAGCACTTAGCACACATGGCTCATATTTGAATGAACCGCACCACTCGGTCTCAAGCCGCGGCGTTTTGGTTAAATCTGTTTCCCTGCTGTTTCCAGCAGGGCTTGAAACCGGTTTCGAAAATACCGGTAAATAAAGGTTAATACGGTTTTTAGTAAAGGTTTCGTTCGGAGCGTGTCCTAAATGAAAGCGGTACCTAAAACCTTAATAAACCGGTTTAATCCAGAGTGACAGGTGCACGCGTCGGCATCGCTTAAAATTTGTTTTGTTTGAACTAATCAAGTCACAACTTGTTAATGCTCAGAGATTGATGCATTTATTGACACGATCGCTTGCGTCTAGTGAGTCAAGTTATTCATTTATTATCGATGTCGTCAGAAAGAGCGAAATGAAACCCTTTAAAAACCGCTACATTGATTCAAAACCTATTTGATTTCGCTCTTTAGGAAAACCGGTTTTTTAAGGTTAAGGTAGAGCCAAACCTAAATAAAACGCTCCTAATGTACTTGACACTGATTTAGGTTTGAAAATTAACCGGTAAACAAGCCCTGGTTTCCAGTATGTTCTCGATTTTGGTTCGAGAGCGTTTTGCGACAATATCTATTCCATGAGTATACAAATATGTTTAAAGCCCTGAGATCCAATACATCGTCCTTGATATGTAGAGTAGATCAACTACCCACATCGCAGAGGTTTTAGTTTGTGCGATGCCCTTAGTCAGCCAACAGAAAATCCAATTTTCATCAACAAAAATAAAACGACTTGGAAAATGAGGTCCAACAGTCCAGTCAGTGGGTCTAAGACCAATTGTAGCGTAGCTATTGTAGTTTACAAGCCTATTGAGAATCTCTTATATAATATCAAACTGTACTTCTCAGAATAATAAAGCTTCACTTGACAAACAGAGACAGCTGTCTCTCTATTAATTCCACTTCAATGAACCAATTGTACTTAGATGTTTCTTTGTTTGATATGAAATTATGACAGAAACGACAAGGCAATTTGCACATCCATAATTTAAGTAAGTATCTTGTTTTGTGAAATCCCATGAGTGTAAAACAACTCACAGAAATACGTTTCAAACTACCTACTTGGTCATTAAACGTAGGGTTAAACTAGGGAGCATAGAACTTTTTATATACTGGTGTGTTGCAAAAACCACACAAAAAATCGGCTATAAACCTGGACACTTATATATGGCTTCTGTCTGCCGCCTGTCGCCGCGGACCAAAAATATGCCTCTGTTCTTATGTAATAATTTTACGTTTTTTCACAGTTGTGTTCTGAGCGATTTGGCAAAGTTACTCATCTTGCTCAACAAGCAGCATGTACCAGTTGTTCCAGAAGAATGGCCTCGGTTATCTAGCTGGGCTGAAAGGTAAATAAAAAGTTTTAATTTATGAAGCCCTTCGCAAATACATCAGAAACTTTTCAATAAAAGTATAGGTACCTAACTTGAACTTCTACTGTAAAGTACGTCTAAGTTACTATTAGTTACTGGGGTAAGGAAATTTTAGATTATATAAACGAATTATAATTTAATACCATACATATATATAGATCTCAATTCTAGATCATTAGTTTTATATTAAATTTTTACTTGTAAAATGAAGTCCTTACTTGCATTCATTATGATTAGTTTAAGTGTTTATGAATGTTAAGAACTTATTAGACTTGTTTAATGCATTTTTCACCACTTTACCAAAAAATAATAATAGGTACTTATCTGCTTTCAGAATATTAAAACGCTACAGTCGAGCGGCCGTCACTCAGCCGCAACAAGAAGGTCAGCTCGTGAATTTCATCGAACCTCCAGCCAGTCAAGGGTCCGACTCGGAAGCAACCCAGCAATCCTTCTCGACCTTTAAACCTCCATCCTATTCCCCCACTTCTTACGACAGCAATATAGACAAGGAGAGCCATTGCGAGTGGAGCGACGTTGGTAGACCGCCGAGCTACACTCAAATCGAGAGGGAGAGAGACAGAGAAACAATTGTTCTCTCAGACCCTTGGGAGAGAAGACCGATTGTGAGACGAGAGAGCGTGTGGCTCGAAGATGAGCTGTTCGAAATGACAAGGCGACCGCAAGACGAACTTACTACCGAACTTTAACTGTATTTAGTTTAGCATAATTATTTAACCTTACAAGGCATTAAGAAGGTTATGTAAATAATACCTTTAATGATTAATTATTATTATTGTAATCAGCCAGAGGCCGAACTGTGAACTTTATAACTTTAGCTATCCTAACTAATGTTACAAATATGAAAGTACCTAAGTTTTTTTTTTCTTACTTTTTCTCGTCTAAACGTCGATTATCAGTAAGTCGATTATCATAAATTTTGACATTGATATATAGGAGCTGAATTATAGACTACTACTTTTACTCGATATAACATAATTTGATTATTGCACTCAGACGAAGTCGCAGGCACCGCACTAGTAATAGCATAAAAGAAGGAAATTCTGAAAAGTGTTGGATCGCTGAAAACGTAGCATGAATAAAATGATAACTACCTATATATTGATTTCCTACCAATTATTTTTTACTCTCCGTTAATGTGCCTATGTACATATTTTATTTTAAGTAACAACATAATTTTATTCAGATTTGTAAAAGTACAAACACTGATTTGATAAGAGATGTTATTAAATTATATAAGCCAAATGGTGCTTACGATGTTTCAAAATATTTAGACTATAATTTAGCGGTTATGAGCACAGTGCCTAAAATGCAAGATGCCATTGCTGCAAAAATGCCTAACACATCAATAGACTAAGGCCCATATTATAGAAAGATTCTCAGTGATAGATCTAGTCTTGAGCATAGTTAGAAAGGGATATCGCTATATATAGCACATAGCGACATCCCTTTCTAACTGTACTCAAGTAAAGATCAACACTAGTTGTCATTTTGTAATACGGGCCTAAGAAACAGATTGCCTACCCACAATGCCTAGACATTGTAATTGCCTAAATATTATTTCGTCTACAAATCGAAATACCTAAAATGCAGTATGCCTAATGCCACGGTTCCCAACTTAGGGGTTTTGCCCCCAGATTTAGGGGCTAGAAGTGTTAAAACGGACTTTTTTAGGGGCTGGAATTTTTTGGGGGTTCTTTTAGGGGCCTTTTATCAAAACTTTCAATTAAATCGAAAAACAAGTTCAGTTTTTTGCGTAGAATGGAACGCACCAATGAAATGACTGAACTGACTGTGTGGCGGGTCGTTTCCTAAGACTGTATGGACTAAAGTTAAAAAACAGCTAAATAAGATTTAACAGCCTGTCAGCTCATTTTCGTTTGATTGTCCTTTGGGAAACTGTATTTATTCAATAAAATAATTTACTATAACTAAATATGTAAAGTTTTTATTTATGAGCAACGAAAGAAATTGGGTAATACGTAGGTACATATAAATTTCTATATTTAGGGGATTTTAGGGGAATTTAAAAAATACTTAGGGGAAAATTTTGGTAAGGGTTGGTAACACTACCTAATGCGCAAGTTTGTTTGGAAACTCTTGTTGTAAAGGTAATTACAACAACACTTGAAAATTATAAGATAGTCTTATTTGTCCTTATGCTCAGTTTTTAGTTTAAATAAATATTTGTATGTTTAAGGAGTGTGTAAACATATTTTATTTTTATTTTTAAGGAATAGAAGTTTTTTTTTTTAGTTTTAAGAATATATTTCTTTTATTATTTATTAATATTTCAAAAATTTTAAATTGACGGTTAACAGCAAACATTATTGTCACGATACATTGTAGGCAATCTGCTCCTCCTCTTTCATTCTAGTTAGTCGGCTTTTTAATCATAATGACGTGTTAGGCATTATTGTAGTAACCTCATAACCGTAATTTAGACTGTAAACTACCATTCCGTACCTGTAAAATAAATCTTACTGGAGCTAATAATAATTGTGAACGTGTTTAAGTATGGTTTTATCGTAGCCGATAATATTTGAATTTATAAGTAAGTAGTTTAGTTAAATACTAATGTATCTCACATAGGACTAAAGTTTTTAAAATGAAAAAAATAAGAGCACTGCCTGAATTACTTTAATTAGTTAACTAGGTAACAAATTTATACAACGTAATTATCTTACATTTGAAAATTTGATTTCCCATTAGGCAAGTTGTCGGATCAAGACAATGACGTATAATAAATAGACCGGTTATACGCCAACATTATTGCATTTTTAAATGGCACAAGTAGTCCCCGCCCCAACTTCCCTTGGCAACAGGCGCCTATAGAAAGCACTAAAGTAGTCTCATTCATAAAGCAGATTACGTCTCGCTCTTTAGCCTCTGTGTGTCAACGGTGTCAGCAACTGTCAAAATAAGTAATCACTAAATATTTTGTATATTAATTTCTTTAAAACTGTACTTATGAATGAAATTACCCGTTTTTCTTGTATCTAATAGTTCCCGTGTACTTTGTGTGCTATCTAAAAACAGATATAGTGCTTTTTGTCTGGAAAAACGTTAAATATAATATTTACACGTTGTAGCAAAGTGTAGCATAGGCGAGAGAGCGTGCACGATTGAATGCAAGTCGTGCAATTGCCTGACTTTCGTATTACCAAATTACATGCGTGTATGACGTATCTTTAACTTTAAAATATCATAGGATCAAGGCATCATATTATCATCATCGGGTAATATGTTAGGTGATAGGCGTTGCGTTGCTGCGGTGATAAATGAAGAACTTTCTAGTAATCTTCTTTAGTATATCTAATGAATTTGATTTTTTTTTTCAATAAACAGTTCTTTGTTTAATTTTAATGATTAATTAGGTAATTCCTTGATATACTTATAGATAAAGTAATTTTAAACCAAAGTAGTAAGTAATTTAGATGTCTAGTCTTCTCAGTTGAATTAAAGGATTTTCGATTTTGATCCCTCTGGATATACGGAATTAATTTAATGGAAATATAAATTATTATGCTCTGTCTAGTAAAAAGGTATAAACTTCAATAGTATTTCAGGATGTCTAAAGATGCATACGGATACCGCGTGGATCGCGCTATCCATATTCATAGCAACTCGTGGATCCAAAAACCCGCAATCCGTACGCAGCTTAAAGTTGGCGAGATCTCCCATAGAGTTTTGTCTATTGTTCTGTTATTAAATGAATTTCAGTTACTTAATGCACTTTTTTTCAATAAAGCGTTTCCTTCAGAAAATACTTGCATTAGAATATTTTAATTAGAACCTTTGCGATAAAGATACAGTTTTTTAATTATTATCTAGATATTTTTTTGCGTTAGACAAAATTTTTGCGCGTTTGACTTATATTTACATATTTACGAAATAAATTATTAATGTTAGAATAGCAACGAAGTTATAATGATTGTTAATAAAGATGTTAGTACTGTTGACATTTCATTTATTTTCACCTTTTTCGATTATGGATAGGTATTACAGAAATCTTTCTATTTATTTTTTTTGAAGTTATACTTCTTTAGGCGCGTTATGAAAAAATGATGAGAGTGAAATTTTAAGATGCGCGCGCATCACTGTAACACAAAATTTTAACAGCATGAAGTTGGTCGCTTTAGCGACCAACTTCATATGCTGTTACTTTTGTGTTTACCGAACATTAAGAAAATCTACTAACAAAATAGAAATAGAATCTCTATTTAGTGGGTGCTAACGACTGCATTGTGAAGGCCTATCAAAAGTATTTATTAATCTGGAACAACGGAACCAAAGCGCGATTCAGGAGACTACAGCGCCATCTCTTGACCATTGGTGTAGTAGAACCAAAAACCACATCTTTATTTTTTGTAATAAAGTAACAGTTATAGGTATTCATATTTATAATATTTATCCACATGTTTCTAGTTTGTATATTCGGAATACGTGTTTGAGTTTCATACAAGTGCAATTCACATATGTTCTAATAAATTATATTCAGTAGCGATTTTAATTGAATATTTTGATTATTTATTTATTTTTTCAAATTAAAACTGAAATTTATTGACTGTGTCCTTTTCCAGACTTTTTATTAATTTATTGTAATTAATTATTTGCATGCAATCAAAAACTGATTTTAAACGATGCCAAAGAAGGATAACTTCTCACGCGCCTACATAAGTACACGCACCCATTTTTCTATTTTTTTTACTTTTTTACCCAACCCTCTCAGTGGGGGGAGAGTAATTTAGTCAGCTTTCATGCCTTCTAGACGCAAGCATGTCTCATGTCTGTTCACCGCTAAAAGGATTCCTTTCATCATGACTTGATTCTTTTTCACTTTCATAAAGGAATACTTTCCGAAGTACGTCTGTCTCTGTGATCGATAGTCTTGAGCTCCTTGACATAAAGTTATCTAATGACCTCAACTTCAGCGCAGCCATCGAATCGAAGGCGCAAACTGCAGCTGGGCGTCCTAAATAGGGTGAAGCGATATTTCATGCCGGGACAGCTTTTAACCTCAGCTCCGATCATGCATGGAGTATTGCAGTCACATTTGAAATGGCACAGCCAAATACTAACTTGACGCCCTGGACTCGTTGGAACGCAAAGTAAAGACAATTATAGGCGACCACATATTGGTGGAAGCTAAGCTTCACACCTTGGGTCACCGCCGCAAGGTTGCCTGCCTTTCTGTTTTTACAGGCTGTACTTTAGGGATTGCGCTCAGGAGTTACACGAACCCATTCCACCTTCTCTCTCTACCATCGGACGTCGAGACGCACTGCAGGTTACCATCCTTACTTGGTTGCTGTTCCTCCCCTTCGCACCAAACGCTTCTCAACTCAAATACTTTTATAATATGCACAGCGAAGGAGTGGAATTGCCTGTTTGCGTCTGTCTTTCCGGCCACTTATAATCCAAGTCATTTTAAAGCCGGAGTAAATAAGCAGGCTCCTTCTGGATAAGCCGCTACACTGGATAGAGGATCATGCGTAACCAAATGGAGTGGATTATGAAAAAAAACTTGTTTTAACTACTATATTACGTAGTTCAATTGATCTTAGTAACATACAACTCTTTCTCTTCTCGGCTTTTTCACAAGTCTGATATTAAAAATCAATAAACGGTGTGAGAATCTAAAAACCTCTAGGTGCGACAATCGAGTTAGAGACCTGCAAACATGGAGCCGCTCTTCTTCTCTTCAGCAATAACCAACATTTGAACTTTACTAAGAACTTACCCATTGTAATGTCAGTACAAAACATAACAACGTGTTATGAATCAAAAAAACTAAGGAATTGGTGTCGATTCTGGCACGATTCTCTAAACCTAAATTTGACAACAGTGGTATCGATTCTGGCAAGATTCTCTAAACTTAAAACTAAATATAAGATCAGTCTGTCCTTTTCATTCTGTATAATGAATGACAGGCATACACTCGTATCGATTCTGACATGATTCTCTAAATCTAAACTTAAATTTGACAACAGTTTATCCTTGTCATTCTCTATACAGAGTGAAAAGGAAAGACTGATGTTAAATTTAGTTTTCAGTTTAGAGAATCACGCCAGAATCGGCACCACTGTTGTCAAATTTAAGTTTAGCTTTAGAGAATCATGCTAGAATCGATACCAGTGTATCCTTGTCATTCTCTATACAGAATGAAAAGGAGAGACTGATGTTAAATTTAGTTTTAAGTTTAAAGAATCACGCCAGAATCGACACCATTGACTGTATAAATTTAAAATCCTTTGCTAAAAAAGGAAACATAAACGGGAAAAAAAATTCGCCAAATTGCCAGGTACTGGATTCCCTGTACATTCGGAGTTTTTTTAATTCTCAGAGAGTTTCGAACTTTATTTATTTACTAGCTGTTGCCCGCGACTTCGTACGCGTGGAATTAGTAATTTTAAGTAGCCTATTGTTTATCCAATCTGATTTTTCTCAGTCTGTTTACGGTTTGTATTTGAGTCAAGTTTTAAGTCTCTTAGTTTACCCAAGGAATAAGATTTTTCATACAACCTTTCATTAAAACCTAAAACCCCTATTTGAAACCCTTCGGGGGGTGAGTGGGGGGTTCCTTTCTTAGTGCACCCTTAGACCGTGTACTGTTATACTTTCAATAAAATATTTTTTTCAATTTCTTTCAATAAATAAGAGCGACAGGCGACCAGCAAGCTCCGCCTCCTCGTCTCGCCCGCCGCCGCGCCGCCAGCGTCTTGTCTTGCTTGCATCAAGCGCGCGTGGATTTCCTTAGCCGAGTTATTTTAGAAATGTATTTATTATACTCTTCAAAGATCTTATACTTACGATCATCAACAAATTATATTTCGAAAAAGATTATAACAGGATTTTATGTTGATAAAAAACTCTATAGTCCATAACTCATTAATAGGTACCAACTCTTAACATCTTACACACGTAATAACTTTTAAACGAAATATCCGATTGAGATGAAACAAAAAGTATTTTACTTCTACATAAATACTCTTGATAACATAGTGCTTAATTTCGATAAAGATTAATATAACGATACATATTTAACGTAGTTTATTTTTCTTCAGACGATTTAATAATTATTTTGAACACAAAATCGGTTATTGTGATCAAACCATGATAGGTAGATATATGTTTTCGCAGACTTTTTTGTAGGTCTTAATAGGATCTACAAACCCGTAGTACATCATTTTGTTCTATTGTCAATAGTTTTTGCAGCGCACGTAAAAATAGGTTTTCAATTTTACACCTTGTGTTACAAAATAGCAATTTTATTACAGATCCCTAATTTTGAAAAAAAAATATAGCCTTCCTCGATAAATGGACTACCCAACACTGAAAGAATCATTCAAATCGGACCAGTAGTTCCAGAGATTAGCGCGTTCAAACAAACAAATAAACAAAGAAACTCTGCATCTTTATAATATTAGTATAGATTATCTTAGATTCCTTCTAATGAAATTAAAGGAAGGAAATTTTAAAGTTGAAGGAATTCTGAAGACTTTTTTTAGGCCAAATTAAATTCACGACGCTAATTTAATAATTTTATTTTTATTTCAGGTGTAAGTTTCGAGAACCTTGAAAACTGAAAATAAATTAAACATCAGTCTCCATTTCATTCAGTGTATAGAATGACATGGATGCACTGTTGTCAAGTTTAGGTTTAGAGAATCATGCCAAAATCGACACCATTGTTGTCTCTAATTTTAAGTTTAGAGAACCGTGCCCAGAATCGACAACAGTGGTGCTTACTTAATTGGTGAAGTGAGGTTGGAGGGAAATTAAGCGGCTTTCATCTGGCAACATTAGTTGTCAGTGCTGCTGTCAGTGTCAAACTGACTGCTAACTCATACCATCAATCGATTCTTTAAAAAAAATGTTTCTGCCTAATTTAAACTTTTTAAATTCTTAAATTAAAAAATAAATGTACAGCGTCGTTTGCATCGCTATACCTACTCAAAAAGTTTATTTTATAAACTCAGCGTAATAATAATTATTGGTAAAACAAAAAGATGATAATGCTAAAAATCTTAACATCTCATTCTTAACGGTAGTTTGTAAATATTATTATGAAGTGTTCTGTTTGTGCAGCTTATTTTTATTTGACGCTCTACTGAAACTACAGATCGATAGTTTCAGACGTGATAAGCTTTATCATATACACAAAAATATAGTTTGTTTATGTGTGGCTGCATACACATTCATAAAGTGATCTTTCTTTTTCAGTTTATGCCGATTATTTCTCATTTGCCAAATAAAGAAATTGATATTTGATCAAATGGTGAGCACTTGCATACGACTATATCATATCAAAAATATATGAATCTTATTTTAGATCTAATTTAGGAGATTCATAGTTTTAAAAAAGTAATTCACCTCAAGCTGTCTCTTAAATTTTGGCACATTCAGTGTCTTTCTAAATATAGAACTTCTTTTATCTGTAATCAACATGTCACCATTGTACAATCTTAATATGTAAAATATATTACTAAGTTATGTGTAATTTTCAGCTTTCAAATAAGATTGATATTGAAATATTGAGTACAAATTGCACTCACTTTGTAGATCATGAAGCAGCTGGCTGCTTGGTAAGTTACTACATTTTCTTTGCATTGTCTTTTAATATTTATCTAAAGATAAACATGTTACCATTTTTTTGTAAGATGCATTTCTGTTGCTTATTTGGGATTTGAACTTTTACCTTGAAATGTGCAGTAAAAAGTTTTTTGAGTCCTTTTGATTTCCTAAATGTTGTCTTAATTGATCTTAAATTGACCTAAGGTCAGTAGAGCTCAGCTCTCAGTATATGTATATAAAGTATTACTGCATAAACAAATATATTGTAACATGTTCAAAACATCTCATGAGTTTTGTTTGATTGAAGAGAGAGATAGAAGGCCCCTGTTTAGATTGCCTCACTTGTTCTCCTTTACCATAGATCGTTTTCGCTAGTCCATGCATTTTTATTTATTTTCTTGGGCCTCCTAGAAAAAACAAGAGGAAGAAAAATTTTAACATTACTTCACAACATAATTTTTTATCATAAGAGATGTAATACTCTTAATGTGATTAATATATTGGATAATCTTAAAAGATTATCAATATTTTTTCATCCAGGAGAAGTTTACTGTGCAGATGGCTGCGGGCCTATTCGTTTCCTCTCTTTAAAAATGCCATAGGTATTGTTATACTGTAGAAAACTTTATATTGAACCATGCTATAAAGCAAGGAAGTGTGGCTTCTACCTTTACATAATCAAAACAAAGATGAAGGGTATACGTATATAAATTTAAACTAATAAGAACATCATCAGGTCAAATAGAATTATTCTTTTATGTAAAAGGGGGTAGCGGGTTAAGGGGAGTCTGGCGGCCCCTACCGAATCTGGTAAAATCGTTCCAAAAATCTTGAAGAGGGTCGAAAAACAAGCAGTATAAGCTTTTTACCGACATTACAACCCCAAACGAAAACACAGTAATGGCGAAAAATATGTTTTTTTGTGATTTTTATTTTATTCAACCAGTTTAATTTATTTTTAAATGGTTTAAATGAAATGAAAAATTTGTGTTTGATGTGTGGAAGTCCCCTGAATTTTTTCAGATTTTTTGGTCAAGTAAAAACATGTGAATTTTAGGTTTAAATGCGAAAAAATCGTGAAAAACGCGTCATTTTCAAGATTCAACCCTCTTATTTTTAGGGTTGTTTTCATTTTCGCGAGGGGTGCTGTATAGTATATATAGCGGCAATCGCTCTCTTTCGAATGCAGGCAATTGGACTCAATTTGGTCAATTCTGGTGAGCGGGGCGATTTTTTGAAAAAAACTCGAATTCTCAACTTTCGGTAAATTACGGCGCGTACTTGGTATGCGTCTTTGCTATAAAAAATACATCTCTATAGGGGTTTTTGAGATCGCTGATCACGAATTTGATGTCAAAAAAATTTTTTGACAACAAATTCACCCATAAATATTTATTAACACAGGTTTGATAATGTAAAAAATATCATTGAATCACAGAATTTAAACAATTTTAATATCGTGTTCAACTTATATAATCAATGAAACTAAATTTTCTGGTATAAATCATATTTTATTCAAGCTTACGTAATAGTCACACAGTAATATAAAATAGCATAATGCTTTTTTACAGAGCTAAGTTAACAATTATACAGTTTTAATCCTCGTCACTATCTTCTTCAATAACAGGTTCAACGCTTTGAACAGAGAAAAGATTTGTGAGAATCTGTGCTGGACGAATAATTCGCGACAAATATCTCGCATGCCCTAAGAAGTAAATGATAGTGGCCACATGTGCACAACAACCGACAGTTCTGAGGCCATTCGCACAATCGCATACGTATTCTTCTATACCACTTCTTCCAATAGCGTTAGAAACGTATTTTACGTAACACCTGTACTTTTTCCGACTTATGTGCCTCGATTGAACTTCTTCGAACAAGTAATGCATATTAAGAACTCCATCTTCAGTACATAATTCTGCTAAATAAGAAACGGTCTGTGATAAATTAACAATATTTTTTTTAAAACTCACTTTATAGTCTTCCTTCAAGGTCTAGGAAAACCACGTCTCTACACGAAATCTTTTGTTCGGCTAGAACTATTTCATAGAATTTTGTCTGCCGGTCTTGACTTGACACGTGTATGCGACGAACGCTGACGAGGAAAAGAAAGCTAGAGTGATGCTACAGCGCTATGACAACGCCACAGCGCTATTATTATATTTTTGACTCAATAAAATAACGATGAAAATACAACAAAACCTTTTTTTTTAAATTAATGTTAATATTATTAATAATATTATTAATACTATTAATAAAACCCTGCGAACACCCTCTAAGCTGCTTAGTGCGAAGCCGCGGAATCCCCGTTTAGGGATTCTTCCGCGCCTCCGCACCTAGCAGCCTCCCGGCCTTGCCGAGGTTCCGCGGCAGGGGTCTCCCGGGGTATCGCGAGGACCCCACAGACGTGCGCAGGACGGCCCGCGCGTGGGGGCTGAGTACGCGGCCTAGTGCCCACCGTACCGCCCCCATACGTCTACTACACTAACAATTTTGTCCTTAAATAAAAAAAAAAGGCAATTGTTTCTATTATTGAAGATAAACAACCCTACGGCCGGCATTTATTTTTTGGGTGCATTGTTGAAGAGTTATCCGGTCAAATAGAGCAAAAATGGGAACAATTTTTTTTTCCATAATTACAGACTTTCAAGAGCGGATATCTCGAAAACTATACAAGATATCAAAAAATTTGACTGAATAAGACTTGTAGTAATTAAACTTGTAGTTTAATCAGCTTTCACTTTTGTGAAAGTCTCATGTCGCTAGGATGCATAGTTTTCGAGATATATGCGAAAAACCTAAAAATGGGACCTTCAACCACACACCAAACCAATTTTTTGGTCAAGTAAAAAATTCACATGTTTTTACTTGACCAAAAAATCTGAAAAAATTCAGGGGACTTCCACACATCAAACACAATTTTTTAATTGCATTTAAACCATTTAACCCGGCGTTCGCACAGTTGGGTCTATTTGACCTGAGCAGTTTTCAAATGAGCTTGTTTCTTAAAATGTTTGTGCGACGTTGCCAAACTTCTCAGTAGCTGGAGCTAATGGTACCCCCATCGCGCGGGATATCGCCATTCAGTCGTGTTGCAGCCTCAGCGGGTGATAGACACGGCCAAACGCGAAAAGGGTAAATATGACCCAACCATACTAGTAGTGTCGTAATTTTGCGCCGTTAAAAAAAGATTTTTTGTTGTTTTATATTGTTTATTTTGTTATTTTTGGCATGCTAAATATGTTTGGAATAAATGCGTACATATATTCCATAACAAGAATAACAACACTACGTCAAAGCGACACCAATTTCTAAAGAAACTTAAGCCTTCCACTGGTTCGTGAGTATTTGCGCAATCGTAAAGATGTCATTCAGTTGCAAAGACTTATGCGCAAAAGAATCAGAGAGTTTTTAGTACCTGCAAGACTGTTCTGCCAAAAAAGATAGAAAAACTAATAATACTTTTCGGAGCTGTAGCAAATACATCTGCAGTGAGCATGCAATGTTGTACTGCCGAGATTGCGCAGATGATAAGGATACTATGACTGATGTATGAGACTGATACATATAGTATAATATTATTAGTCTACTAAAGATTTGATTAACATGTAACAAATTAGTTTATGTTATAGAAAAACCTTTGTTTTGTTAAAATTTTATTACTTTAAGACAGAGGTTGTCCATTTTGTTAATAGTTTGTGACACTTTTATGAAAATGACATTAAAAAGATAGTTTCGTATCATCTTGTGTTTTTTTCTACTCAAAACCTATAACGATAATCGTATTATACAGATAGTACAACCACAAACCAAATTTATTTTAACTATTGTAATTATGGCGTTTTCTTATACGGGTCCTCTCGACCCAACCCTACTGTCGTTGTTGCATATTTTGACTGTGCTGACGCCGGGTTAAAAATAAATTAAACTGGTTGGAAAATAAAAATCACAAAAAATCATATTTTTCGCCATTACTGTGTTTTCGTTTGGGGTTGTAATGTCGGTAAAAAGCTTATACTACTTGTTTTTCGACCCTCTTCAAGATTTTTGGAACGATTTTACCAGATTCGGTGCGGGCCGCCAGACCCCCCTTAACCCGCTACCCCCTTTGGGTAAATATTGACTATTATTTGACTTAGAATCTAAATTTAAGAAAAATCATTTGTAAAGCATTAGAAATTACAATATATAGACAACCCAAAGTGAGTATGGACTTAAGACCATAATGCTCTAAGATATGTATATATCTCAGTCATCTGGTTGAATCTGCTATTTGATTGAATGACTAATGTGTTCATTGAATGACAACATTTAATTGAATGACTAAAGGACAACGAGTCAAGTTGTTTAATATAACACTCAACATCTTGACTAAACGTCATTTAGCATACTGGTTGAATGGGATATAGCCAGACCACAACACTGACCTAACCCACTTATCACGAATCTGTCGTAAATAATATGGTATTTTTCTTTTACTTACATAATAACCATATTTGGTGTTCAATTGCCTGCTCTTGTTTTCATTGATCATGGAAGGAAATGTCGATCATTGGTTCTTATCAATCATTGGTGCCTCTACCTTACTTGGCTTTTTCGACAGCAAAGGCCTGGGAGGCCTTTATTCCTTAATATCATTTTATAAAGAGGTGTCAAACTTATATCTATTAAAATGAAACTGTAAGTAATTGTTATACACCCTACAGAAACATAAAGGAATTCCCTATCTTGTCTATTACATCTGGTTATTCTTTTGCTATATTGCCATTCAAATTTTATTACTTATTTACACAAAAAAATATGTAAATATTCACAGTAAAAGAATTAGTTTTTCTTTTAATTACTATAAAGAGCCTTATATTTTTAAGACTCTTTATTACTAATCAATTATCATTGTAAAATCGTGACAAGCACAATAATTATCGACATTTTTCAGGTATCAAAAGAAAATCAGCTCGTACGACAAAGAAGAATGGGAGACGATGGTGGAACAGTTATTGATGCGCGGCACCTACAGGCGCCGAATCGTCGACTTTTCCTCTCACGCAAGATCATACCTTATTGATGTAGACTTAGTCAGAGGTACTTTACAGGATTCACATATTCGTATTATAGCACGTCTTCATCATCAACCTATTAATGTCCCCACTGTTGGGGCACCGGCCTTCCCTATGGATGGAATAGGAAGATTTGGCAATGACGCACCGCGCTGGCCCAGTTGGTGAGTGCTAACGACTGGAGATGCAGCCGGGATCAACGGCATCACGTGCCTTCCGAAGCACGGAGGAGCTCGAGGTAGTAAATTTTTGATCACATATCCATTGACTCTTTCAACAGTCGCAGCTGGATGCGCTAACCACTTGCACCATCGAACTTCTCATCCTATATAGCATGTATATGTATTGTTTGTTAAGTATTTATGATAATGAAATAAAAAATATTTAACCACATATAGTGTGTGCAAGTAGTCTTACTTGCACGCACGCACAATGGTACACTTAAAGGACTAAGTGCGGAAACCTAAACCCCTAACATAGAACATAGTCGTACTTCTACATTAACAAAGTAAAAATAATTTAGATACTGCATAATCGCATAATATAACTCAACACGACCAATGCAAAGCTATGTTCTCCCTTAAGGATCTGCACATCAACCATAACCAGATTAAGAGAAACCTTTGAAAATTTATACGGACTGTAAATGCCCTTAAGGCTCTTAACACATAAACACTATAAGACGTCGCGTCGTGCTACGATGCGGCATCTTTTCAGGATGCGACATCGTATCGTAGAAATGTACTATGAGAAATGTGAAAATTCACGGCACGACATGCCACGTGCCGCGACGCACGCAACGGTCCACGACTCACGGCACGACGAACGTCGCTGATACCGTACGGTATAGCCTGCTGTTATTAAAAAGACGTAAGTATAATAAAGAAACAGATACACAGTAAAACTCAATACGGGAATTTCTGCAATACGACGTCGTGGCACGGTGCGATGTTGTATCGTGATTTTTTTACTTTGCTCATGATAGAATTTCTTATTATTTTGATGAATGCTGTTAAAGAGAGTTTTATTTAAATTTCAAAAAGGACATAGACCGATGTATGATATTCGATCCTAGTACAGTAGGGATGTCATTTAATACTGCTAAATTACCTACAGAACATTTATAATTAAAAACTTCTAAAGAATAGTTTATCAGTGTTTACTGTGGAAGTTAGTTTAAAAGGCAACTATATTAAACATACGGAGATAGCTCTTAGGAGTACCGGAATAACCGATTACATTTGGTCCCATTTCAAGACCGACAGCTGCAGAAGCCGTGCCTAATTTAAAAACATCTGTTTACGAACTTCTAGTGAAAAGAGTGAACTAAGATGGTAAAGTTGTAAGCTTGATAAAATTCTACACTACGGATTTTGATAATATAATCCATATATTACTTATCAAATTTGCTCATCGTGAATCGATGCCGCGTTGTAGCACGACGCTACGTCGTCAACGAATTTGAAATAAATTTGAATACGGACTACGCCCAAAATTGATACCACGCAAACTGCGATCAAGTGGGCGGGGTGAAGAAAAACGATCAACACACCGATCATAGGATTAGTTGGGATTTACGTTTAACATTTCCTTATCCAATGAATGGACAGCCGAATTCATTTGCACACACTTGTTTTGTCAGAGTTTTATTTTTGTCTGTGTGCGTTTTGAACTAAATTTTAGCTGCCATTGTTGGAGAGTAATGCTTCCATATCATTTCTAATTCGTTGGACGTCGTATCGTATTTTTATGTATCAGCTCTGTTACGCAAAAGTTTAAATGAGTACATTTTTGTAGGTTCTTCATTTCCTAAAGCGAAGCCTACACTGGGCATGCGTCGAGTGGTATGGTTTGCTCTAGTGCGTCTGGTGTTCCTTCCCGGTCTGCACCAGTGGTGGGCGCAACAAACATCCCCAGCATGCGCTAAAGTCCTCCTTGCGCTATGGCTGATGCAAGTTGCCAATATCACCCTATATATTATAGCACCAGCTGATATGGAGCTGGATGTAAGTTGCCATTTTTGTCATCGGTAGTTTTAAAGAAATTTGTGAATCGCTTCTTTACTCCGTTTTTTGTACTCTTAAAGATACAAAAAGCATATCAAGCCGGTTACAATTATGGATCGCAATTTATTTTAAACATAGTGTGGCTCAAAATCTTTTGGAAGAGATGTAACAAAGACAACAGCTACAGAAATGTTCACTTTTTTATATCACTTATATGTTATAGTTTGTCATGACTCTAATATAATACTCATTTATCATTTAGGTGAATTGTTGGTTAGTCCCCCTGGGTCTAATGTTGGTGCTAAGTGTCGTCCACTCGCAGATCGTAAGCACCACAGAAATGGAGCTAGCGAGAGTGCGTCCGCGCTCCACATATCGTAGAAAATTGCCCCGATCCTTCAGGTAGTTGTTTAACTTAAATGCTTCTACATATTTATATTTTACATAACTTATTGTATATTATATTTTCTTGACAGGCGAACACGGTCTGAATGCGATGAGGGTAGTGGCGGTGGCTCTGCAGAAAGTGGGGCTACTTCGAGTCAAAGCAAAACTGCTTCCAGTAAGCCGCCCAAGTTTCGACGAAAGCATTCGCGTACGGACTTAGCTGAAAGTGGTGTAAGGTAGGTAATATATTCAATCATTTAGCTATTACTAAATAATTTGTAGAAAAGTGTTAAACCTAAACATTATTTAACTTACGGTCAACAAAGCATCTATTTGTTTTAGAAAACGCAAAAAGGAATCTATTAAGGAAAGTGCAATGAAAACTCTAAATCCAACTATTAAGAATAAGTCCTTAATCAAAGTAAAAGCTAAAGATTCTGATGACGAAGACTATATGCCGTGGAAAAAACCTGATCTCACCACACCTATTGTTACATTTACACCACCGCCTGATAATGCTACACCAGGCACATCATACAAAGCCAACTTGACAAAAAAACACCTAGAAAGCTTTAACATTAGGCAATGCCAACAAACACAAGTTACAAGAACAATCTTCGCTGATGGAGACGACGGCTTTGAAAGCCTTAACGGCTACAACTCCAATGGCAGTGATGCAGAAAATAAGACAAAAGAAATCGAAGCGGAAGTTCCGACCGAAAATAATGATGGTATTAGTAGGCGTAACGAAAATAAAGAAGTAGCAAATTCTGCTGTTACTGAAGAAAGTAATAAAGTGAGTTTAAAAGAAAATGGTTCCAAAGAGAATGAAGAAGTTAACATAAAGAATACTAAGAATGAGGACAAAGCAAATCCCGATCCCGAATCCGATATAGGTGTTCCTACAAGTAGTCCAACTACGAAACGTATCGGTGTAAGATTTAGAGGTTCCTGGATGCAAGATGCAGTACGTAAAGAATCCAGTGATGAAGAATTTAATGTTGTTGAAAAGAAACAAAAGGTAATTAACATTTGTACTACAATTCGCACATCCATTAAAATTGCTGCTTTTGTCTGTTTTGTTATTTACGCAACAACAAACATTTAAAAAACACTTTTTAACCAATAATATAAATTTTTTATAACATTAGGTGATAGAAGGAAGGGAAAAGCACAAAAGGAAAGGTATTTTGTCTGTGTATGATTTTTCAGTCACAAAAGTATTGCTAGTGCATAACAGCCATTGCTTCGCACCATAAGTAATATGTGTTGTCTGTGGTCAAAATCATAACTTGATCTATTATGTAATAATAAACATATTCAATTATTTAAGAAGAATCTACCTGAATTAATTTAACAAACCGTGATAGGTCGCATAAAATTAATAAGTCGATTGGAGAAAGTGATATACGAAGCCATTTTAAAGTTCCGTTAGACATTCTACATAATGCTGTGTTGTGTTTCTGTAGAAATTAGACAATTACCAGACGTCGTCGTCCGACGGTGAATGCTCGGCATCAGCGCCATCTATCGCCCTCCCATCGCACCATACCATGTCAGACTGGGTTGGCCAAACCACTAACAGTAAGCACATTCAATTTAAATAGAAATTAACTATTTCATGTAACATCATTACCTACACTGTCGTTCTAAGTAACTTAAAATAGGCATAACTGACGCTAATAAAAAAACGAACCCGAAAAAACGACGCAAGATATTCTGTGACCTCTCACACTATTCCTTTTAAGATGTGCTAGAGAGATAGAAATTCTTGCATCGTAATTTCCGGTTCGATAATTCTTTAAGAGGATATTTTTCAATATTGAAAAATCTAAATTAAGATTTATGCTATTTCCTTATTCTTTGTAATAAAGATAAAAAAAACAACACATTGAGACTTTCCTTCACATGCCACATGCCGGGAAAGTACCTTAAATACTTTAGACGGAAAGTCGAAGTAAAAACAACACAAACTGCATACAAACAATAAAAAAACATGTCTGAACTGGGAATCGAACCCGCTAAATGTGAAATATAAGTTAAAGTACACTAAAGTTACCGGTAACTTTAGTGTACCGATCGGAAGGCTTAATCATGTGCATCTATTTCTTCTTAGTAACATAGCATCTAAAGTAAAAAGAGAATAAAATATTTTTTTTATATAAAAATTGAAACATTCAGCAAAACTCTCTATCTACAGTATTTAAGGTACTTTCCCACCATGGGGCATGTGAAGGAAAGTCTCAATGTGTTGTTTTTTTTATCTTTATTTGAAAATTATTGTAAAGTTATGACTAGTTTCTACATTCTAATGGGTCTGGTTTTGCTATGATCCTTATTTTGAAACCAAAAGTATCATCAGTTCCTCTTATCAATTATCTATAGAGCTTTAGTGATCATCCTAATTGATTTTAGGATTAAGCCTTTGCAATAGAAGTGAACTATCATTTAAAATAGAACAAAGAGAAATGTATTTTGTTAACTGTTAAGAATAAGTCACAATCTGCTGATATTTTTTTTATTAATTTTAATGTCTTATTTTACTTTTAATAATCATAATATTTTTTTTATATCTGTGACTGAAAAATAACCTTATTAAAATCATTTTAATAATAATCTAACTAATAGGTAATCCTTTGATAGCAAAAAAAACACGACCTTAATTAAAAAGCTTATGTTTTGCTATTTTTATTTTTTTGTATCAGCATTAATATGTATCTCAACAGGTGAAGAGAGCAGTTATGGATCACAGTCGGAAGGTGGTCATTCCGATGTGGACTTCCATTATGCAGCTGATAGTTCATGGGATCCTTTTGCCCTGCTAGATCCAACAAGTGATACAGGTACTTGTCTAAATAAACACATGTTTTATTATGAAAATTTAAGTGTAGATTTAGTAATAATCGGAGTTTATTTTTTTTAAATAGAGTTAAGGTTATGACTATTTAGACACTATTTGCGTCGTTACAAAGGTGTTATCGTGGTACAACCTTTTGGAATAATTAATGCTATGTTGGTATGGTATGGTTTATTCTTATGATGAGATCTACTGCCTCACTTCGTCGGTCGCTTAAAGTTTACCCCCTCCACTTAATTTAGGGACTTTCTATAAAAAAATATTGAAATTGAGCAGTTTAAAATAAGTAGAAGTAGGCATATTCTATTTTCATGTCCATTAAGCTGTCGGAACATAGCGGTCAGTGCATTCGTCTGGATAGCGACTTACGCTGGTTAGAATCCAGCTTGATGATGCCTAGTATATTCTGGGATGAGATTTGTAGTAATTTTTTCTACGAAACTCACTAATTGTGCAATTAAGAAACCTTAAGAATTTTAACTGTCATAAATTAATTCAAATACTACTTTTAGGATGTACGTACTCAAATCGGATAATAATTGCTTAATAGGTATGTTCATTACATATATGCGTTTTGGTATATTCTGTAGACAAGCAATATGTTTGTATGGGGGTGTAGTTCGTTTACCGTATTTAACCGTTCGGTATTAAATTTAATTTTACTATAGGGCAGCAGGGGGGTCTTTGCTTTGCTTATTTTTGATGACATGGGGGGGGGGGGGGGGTTCGAGCTAGCGATTACGTCAGCATCATTCGGGTGCCATGAACTGAAGACAGTTAAGTAATTGGAATTAATATAAATACCAAAAATTCGAAAGAAGTTGGTTTTGTTCGTAATAGTACTTAATAAGATTATAATATGTGTACCTTACTCTATGTTAAATACTGTGTCAATAAAGTTTGTTTAAATGAATATTATATGCGTTAAAGTCCTCTATCCTAAGTACTGCTGCTCATGAAAGCTCATGAATCAATAAAAAAACAATACATTAAAGGAAAAATGCTTAAATGTACCAATGTTTACGTAAGCATGGGACGGGGGGTAAGAGCTTTGCTTACTTTTGCTGACACGGGTGCGGAGGGGGTAAATAATTGTAATAAATCTGCTTACGTAATACTTGAACGGCCCCTAATTATATATTGTATATCATAGTGAAATGCACTATGTGGGAACGCGGTTCGACTCTAAGAGCCGAACTGTCAGCGGTAGACATAAGCTGGTACGTTGTGGCGCGGGCAGAACGAGCTATGGCGGCCGACGGTTGTCTATGGGCGGGGATTGCTATGGCCGCCGCTATAGCACTGTTCGCTCCGATTTCAAGACTCGTTCAGGTATACACTCTGGCAAACTTATTGAGCAACGACCGTAGACAAGCAAGTCTGCGCAGTAGCAATTTCACATACAAAAACGTCTACTGCGCAAGTTTATTTGTCTGTGGTTTTGCTCAAGAAGTTTGCCGCTAGCTACTTATAACTTTTTAAAATCCATACCTTTTTTACAGTGCGAGCAAGATCTTGTGGTGGCCGTGGCTGAAATCGGAAACCAGGCAGTCCTCGTACTTACGGCATGTTATGTTCTCGAAATACGCGACGTAAATCGAAACGACGCGACGTAAGTCGCGACATATTTTTCATAGGTTTACATGTAAAACTCAATGGTTAACTTCGCGACAAGTGAATTCTAACGTAACTTGAAACGACGTAAGTCGAGGAATGCCTGTAATTTAAAAAGGTATAATTATAAGCCTTTTTATGTATATAAGAAGGTGTAAATAAAGGCAGAAATATATTTATGTTTCGTGTTGTGTTGTGACGCATCAGAGTGCTATCGGTTTCATACATTTAGTACTGTTAGAACTATACTTGTGTGTCGTGATGTGTAAACAGCGTTCTTACTCTAACCTTACGAAATGTATGAAACCGATAGCTCTCTGTCGCGTCAGAATACAACACGTCAGATAAGTGTTGTTCTGCCATATGGATTTTATATTATTTATTACTCTTTCCGAGTTATTGTAAATTATAACGTTTCCTTTAGTAAGGAGATTTTACGTACTTAGTAATCCTCATTTCACCACTTATTCACTAGAAGCGCCCTCCGTTCAATGATATTTGATTGCCACAAGATCTTATTCGCGCCAATAGATCAAATGTACTCAATACTCAAATTCATTCAGTTTAGGCTATTACAAGTTTATATGAAATTAACTAGCGGCCGCCCGCGACTACGTACGCGTGGAGTTAGAAATAAAGGTTCACTGCCCGTTCCCCGTAGGTGATAGCGTGATAATATGTAGCCTATATGTTGACTCGGCTTCTTAATAATATTCGTGCCAAATTTTAAATAAATCCATGCAGTACTTTTTAAGTTTATCCCGGACATACATACAGACTAAATTCTAAAAACTATATTTTTGGCTTCGGTATCGATTGTCGATCACAACCCCAAGTATTCTTTTAAAAAATATTTAATGTACAGTTTTGACTTTCCTACCATTTTATTATATGTATAGATGTTGAAAAGCTACGCCATGTATGCCATGTGGCGTTATTTATTACATCATCACCACAAATCACATTGGTTACGGTTTAGGTTATTTCACTAAACATAGTGGTTCACTGAGAGAGTATTTTCCTTACCCAACTTGAACTCGACCCGAAATCCACGAAAAGCTAAATTTTCTAGATTTACGAAAAATAAAAATAATTGAGCAACCTCACTTTTTTTTAAATATGAGATTTCCATTTTCATTACATTAATATTATAAAGGCGAAAGTTTGTGAGTTACTTCTTCACGTCTAAACGGCTGTAGCGATTTTAATAAAATTTTATATGGAGTCAGCTGTCACCCTGAATTAACATAGGCTACGTTTTACTGTGGGAAAATATCCCTAATAAACCAGGGGTAACACTGCGGGGCACAGCTAGTTGTCATATAAAGTTTCATTCATTGTATTTTTGTTCTAGGTGGCAATAGATCAAGAAACCAGAACAGAAGAGGAACTGCAAGCGGTGTCACCGATCACTTACATCCCCTATTTAGTGATTAGCTACAGTCAGGGATCGATGTCTTGTTTGTTTAATGGTGCATTCGGTGATAACTTTTGGTATGTATTATTAAAAATCAGAAGCAGGTTGATAGTTTAAAACTTAAATATAATATTGTTTGCAATTTTAAAATTAATAGAATTTCGCAATTTAGATATTTAAGTACTACGCTTCGTCATACTTATGTAAGTTAAGCAGTTGGTTGTTGCAACTTTGAATATTTTTACTCCACTGGGTTATAAAATATTCTCTTTGGCACACTTTATTTAAGGAAGGAGAATTCCTACTAGGTAAAGACTGATTCGCCTTATTTCATCCATAAGGAAGGCCTGTGCACTTTGTGCTTTGTATACATATTTTATTTAGGTGAAGACGTAGACTTAGTAGAAATAATCGCTAAACCTATTAAGAAAAAACTATTTTGCTCGGAAGACCAATTAGTAGTAGTCACAACGATATTAAATACCCTAGATACAACAACACGAACAAAATTGTGGCCGAAACGTGTCCAAGAGGTATATTCGACGAAGCACGACGCGTCGGCGACGACGAGCTCCGTAAGATGATCGCGTGGTCAAAAACAATATAAGGCATTATTTAAACATTGAAAGTCGCCTTTAATGGTCTAAAGAATATAGACCTTATTCAGTTTGACTGTATGCGCAATTCTGAATGCGCTGCTAGCAATATAGCACGTACGGACCGCGAGGGAAAGAGACCAAAATTTGCTTCAAATTCGTTAAATTAACAAACATTTCGATACCTGTCGAAAAAACGACACTTTACATACAATAAGTATTTTTTCATGGAGCTCTACGGCATCTTGACTTTTCAACGGTGCTTGGGTGGAGTTCAAGCACTTCTTGTTTGGTTCACATTTTGAGTGGTCGTGTATCTAGGGTATTTAATATCGTTGAGTAGTCATCGTAAGTACACATGGATAATTTTCAAACCCCATTTTGATATTATTTAGCTTATTCATAAAAAAAAGTTAATTCTCGCATATCTTCCAAAACAGGGAGATATCGACAAACATGCTGTCTTGCTTACTCCGTTTCGCGCTGAGCGGTCTCATATTCTTCTTGCTAGCGGTAGCGGAGCGGGCGTTCAAACAAAGATTCCTATACGCGAAACTGTTCTCGCACCTAACTTCAGCACGCCGCGCTAGGAAGTCAGAGTTGCCTCACTTCAGACTGAACACCGTGCGAAACATAAAGACTTGGCTGTCCACACGGTCTTATTTAAGGGTACGTGGAATGTTTTATTGATTGATTGCAGCTTGCCTGTGTTAAATTAGTCACTACAAATCTTAACCCCTGGTCTGTATAGCCCTCTACTTCGTTTTTCACGACCGAGAAATCAAAAATATTCCGGCCGATTTTCCTCTTCTTAATTGAGTTCTTCTGTACATCCAGGCTTCATTTATATATTAAATCAATCCTGAATAGTTTATCTTTAAACTTATCTATATATTAGATGTGTTAATTAAAAACCATTACTACATATTTAGTATTTTTATCATAATAAAAAGCAAAATATATTAATTTAAACTTTCATGGTAACTAACATTATAGCTATTAACGGGATTGTTATATACTTAATGTAATATCGGAGACACGTTAAAAACAAGGTGCATGGTAACAATCCCGTTAAGAGCTATAAAGCAAAATATAAAAATAATTTTCACAACTCGTGGCCTAAATCATCCACTTACACAGACTAGGGGTTAATGCTACAGACGAGTTAGTACTAAGAATCTTAATGTTCTCTTTTTGTTTTTGCTCGACAAAATATCGGACATTATCTGCACCGTAACATGCAGAAATTTCGTTTAAATATTATTTTATTTCTTGCTTACCTGTTAAAGTAACCATATTGAGTAAATAGCTCCCCCATTCGGCGTTAGTTGGGACTAATGTCCAAAAAAATTAAGTATGCCAAAATAGTTTTTAATTATTTTTTTTTTTATTTTTTTTTTAAGCATTTTACTGCTAGATGTTTAAATCTAAAGAAAAGTTTACTAGAAAAAAATCCACATCGACCATGCAGCGGACGGGACTCGAACCCGCATCCTTCGCTATCCGGGCGAATGCACTGACCATTATGCTACCACGGCCCTTTTAGCCGCGTCGAAATTTTTTCCTAGCCTTAAGCTGCAAGGCAGCGCGATCTCTTCGCATTGTAGGTAACCCACAATGTCAAATGAATACTTTTTCACGTATTAAACATTTGAAAGAAGAAATAGCAATTATAGTTATGATTTTTTTTTTTTTTTTTTAAGCATTTTACTGCTAGATGTTTAAATCTAAAGAAAAGTTTACTAGAAAAAAATCCACGCGGACCAGGCAGCGGACGGGACTCGAACCCGCATCCTTCGCTATCCGGGCGAATGCACTGACCATTATGCTACCACGGCCCTTTTAGCCGCGTCGAAATTTTTTCCTAGCCTTAAGCTGCAAGGCAGCGCGATCTCTTCGCATTGTAGGTAACCCACAATGTCAAATGAATACTTTTTCAAGTATTAAACATTTGAAAGAAGAAATAGCAATTATAGTTATGATATATTTTTATTTTTTTTAAGCATTTTACTGCTAGATGTTTAAATCTAAAGAAAAGTTTACTAGAAAAAAATCCACGCGGACCAGGCAGCGGACGGGACTCGAACCCGCATCCTTCGCTATCCGGGCGAATGCACTGACCATTATGCTACCACGGCCCTTTTAGCCGCGTCGAAATTTTTTCCCTAGCCTTAAGCTGCAAGGCAGCGCGATCTCTTCGCATTGTAGGTAACCCACAATGTCAAATGAATACTTTTTCAAGTATTAAACATTTGAAAGAAGAAATAGCAATTATAGTTATGATATTATTTTTTTTTTTAAGCATTTTACTGCTAGATGTTTAAATCTAAAGAAAAGTTTACTAGAAAAAAAATCCACGCGGACCAGGCAGCGGACGGGACTCGAACCCGCATCCTTCGCTATCCGGGCGAATGCACTGACCATTATGCTACCACAGCCCTTTTAGCCGCGTCGAAATTTTTTCCTAGCCTTAAGCTGCAAGGCAGCGCGATCTCTTCGCATTGTAGGTAATCCACAATGTCAAATGAATACTTTTTCAAGTATTAAACATTTGAAAGAAGAAATAGCAATTATAGTTATGATTTTATTTTTATTTTTTTTAAGCATTTTACTGCTAGATGTTTAAATCTAAAGAAAAGTTTAATAGAAAAAAATCCACGCGGACCAGGCAGCGGACGGGACTCGAACCCGCATCCTTCGCTATCCGGGCGAATGCACTGACCATTATGCTACCACGGCCCTTTTAGCCGCGTCGAAATTTTTTCCTAGCCTTAAGCTGCAAGGCAGCGCGATCTCTTCGCATTGTAGGTAACCCACAATGTCAAATGAATACTTTTTCAAGTATTAAACATTTGAAAGAAGAAATAGCAATTATAGTTATGATTTTATTTTTATTTTTTTTAAGCATTTTACTGCTAGATGTTTAAATCTAAAGAAAAGTTTACTTGAAAAAAAATCCACGCGGACCAGGCAGCGGACGGGACTCGAACCCGCATCCTTCGCTATCCGGGCGAATGCACTGACCATTATGCTACCACGGCCCTTTTCGCCGCGTCGAAATTTTTTCCTAGCCTTAAGCTGCAAGGCAGCGCGATCTCTTCGCATTGTAGGTAACCCACAATGTCAAATGAATACTTTTTCAAATATTAAACATTTGAAAGAAGAAATAGCAATTATACTTATGATTTTATTTTTATTTATTTTTTTAAGCATTTTACTGCTAGATGTTTAAATCTAAAGAAAAGTTTACTAGAAAAAAATCCACGCGGACCAGGCAGCGGACGGGACTCGAACCCGCATCCTTCGCTATCCGGGCGAATGCACTGACCATTATGCTACCACGGCCCTTTTAGCCGCGTCGAAATTTTTTCCTAGCCTTAAGCTGCAAGGCAGCGCGATCTCTTCGCATTGTAGGTAACCCACAATGTCAAATGAATACTTTTTCAAGTATTAAACATTTGAAAGAAGAAATAGCAATTATAGTTATGATTTTATTTTTATTTTTTTTTAAGCATTTTACTGCTAGATGTTTAAATCTAAAGAAAAGTTTACTAGAAAAAAAAAATCCACGCGGACCAGGCAGCGGACGTGACTCGAACCCGCATCATATTCATTTGACATTGTGGGTTACCTACAATGCGAAGAGATCGCGCTGCCTTGCAGCTTAAGGCTAGGAAAAAATTTCGACGCGGCTAAAAGGGCCGTGGTAGCATAATGGTCAGTGCATTCGCCCGGATAGCGAAGGATGCGGGTTCGAGTCCCGTCCGCTGCCTGGTCCGCGTGGATTTTTTTCTAGTAAACTTTTCTTTAGATTTAAACATCTAGCAGTAAAATGCTTTAAAAAAAAATAAAAATAAAATCATAACTATAATTGCTATTTCTTCTTTCAAATGTTTAATACTTGAAAAAGTATTCATTTGACATTGTGGGTTACCTACAATGCGAAGAGATCGCGCTGCCTTGCAGCTTAAGGCTAGGAAAAAATTTCGACGCGGCTAAAAGGGCCATGGTAGCATAATGGTCAGTGCATTCGCCCGGATAGCGAAGGATGCGGGTTCGAGTCCCGTCCGCTGCCTGGTCCGCGTGGATTTTTTTCTAGTAAACTTTTCTTTAGATTTAAACATCTAGCAGTAAAATGCTTAAAAAAAATAAAAATAAAATCATAACTATAATTGCTATTTCTTCTTTCAAATGTTTAATACTTGAAAAAGTATTCATTTGACATTGTGGGTTACCTACAATGCGAAGAGATCGCGCTGCCTTGCAGCTTAAGGCTAGGAAAAAATTTCGACGCGGCTAAAAGGGCCGTGGTAGCATAATGGTCAGTGCATTCGCCCGGATAGCGAAGGATGCGGGTTCGAGTCCCGTCCGCTGCCTGGTCCGCGTGGATTTTTTTTCTAGTAAACTTTTCTTTAGTTTTTAATTCTTCCGTTAAATAGTTAAATTCAGTCCTATGAATAGAAGTTGACATACCCATAACGCATTCTGTTATTATTTACCTACGAATATAGAATAGGAATATAAAATAAATGAAATTACGCTATGGTTTAAATATTGTAAATATTCTTATTACTCGTTGACAGCGCCGCGGGCCCCAACGTTCGGTAGATGTAATAGTGTCAGCAGCTTTTATGTTGACGCTAATACTGCTTGCGTGCGTAAGCGCACAGCTTCTCAGGGTAAGTTTATTTTTATATTTATTCCTAGTACAGTATTTTTTAAGAAGGAAAATATGCAGCGTCGTTAACACGTTTAAATAAAAAGGAAACTCTTTAACAAAAAAAATATACCACCGAAAAGTAAAAAATAATATATGTTTTTTATCTTTAGTCTAATTAATATTTGGAGTCGATGCCAGTGCCAGGCCAACCTAAATAGTAAATGGGAACTCAGATCTATCAGACCTGCATGGCCCCGACTCCAAATATTTATTTGACTAAAGATAGAAAAGGTTTATTATTTATTACTTTTCGATGGTTTCATTTTTTTTGTTAAAAGTTTTTATTTTAATTTTTTTTGTGGCTATAATTTCTGTAAAATACAACTCGGCATCAAAATCTGTGAGTGAAAAATCACCCCTATATTCCCACCCTTAGGGTAGCTTTTTTCCAAATGTATGTGAATATTGATGTATGTTCTTTCCCAAAAAAAAAAGAAAAAAGAATTATCAAAATCAGACTACTCTGGAAAAAGTTATAAAAAAAATATACGCGTCGAAATGAGAACTTTTCGTTTTTTCGTCAGTTAAAAATAGTAATCCACTACCGTACAGAATGTAATAAAAAACAAACTTGTCATATCTAGCTACACACTTGCCAAAAAAAATTAACTCCTGCATTATTTCGAGGAATTCAATTTTATAATATCTGTTTTATTATTATAAAATACAGAACTTCAAATAAATTTATTCTCACTTTCTGTATAACATCCAAATACACGTCCGTCCAATACCAGCGCCCAACCACAAAAGAATGCCACACGCTAGATGTGAGCGTTCTAAAGACGAACCGGTTTCAAGGACCGTTTTGTGTTCCGCGACGATAGAACCGTTTTACGTTTCGGATCAAAACAGTCTTCGTCGAACAACTACTCCTCGGATTGTCTGCACGCCAATATGTACTTTATGATGAAGTAAATACAGTCTATAATAGAACGCAATGATATGAGGCCGTTTCGTTCTATGATAAATTAAGCTTTGATTTTACAATAATATAATCTTTATTTCTGAACATTTATAGTCGATTATCGTATTACACTCTTAGATTAAAACAAATAGGGTAGATACGGTACGCTCATACTTGCATCAAACAAAAACTGATCCCACGGCAGCGCGAACGGGACGGCGAGATCCGCGACACTGCATTACCGACCCGAACGAAACAGCATGTTAAGTTTCAACGGCAGCGCGAACGAGACGGCGAGATCCGCGTCACTGCATTACCGACCAATCACGCGACCAGTACTCGACGTCACTACCGAATAAGATTCAAAACAAACAGCAATTTTTATGTCGTGGACCACAATTTATGCAGATCACTTTTGTGAGGCTAGTGCCGTATCTACCCTTTTTGTTTTAATCTAAGATAACACTACATTTATTTCGATGTTTCGTCTCGTTCGCAGCAACGAAACGAACGTTAACAAAATTTCATTTAGTTCAGTTTCGTTGCGTTACTTTCGTTCGACCGTTGAGTATCGTTTCGTTGCGTCTCCCAGCCGCAACCAAAATCAGTTGCGAACGAGAACCGTTTCGAGGACTAGTTTTCGTTTAAGTGAAAACGGTTGCGTTTCGTCGTCAGAAAATTTGAAAACGACCCACCGCTACCACACGCCGTGTCAGTGTTGCCATCAAGTTTGATAGAATTGCCGTATTTTTAAATAAAAATTATGATAGTGATGTCGATTCTGGCATGATTCTCTAAAGCTAAACTTAAATTTGACAACAGTGCATCCTTGTCATTCTCTATACAGAATGAAAAGGAGAGACTGGTGTTAAATTTAGTGTTAAGTTTAGAGAATCGCGCCAGAATCGACACGATTGCCGTATTACCTATTTTTATTTATTAATATTTATAGGTAGTAACTAATTAATAGTAACTACTATTGCCAAAAGACTTCCATTTACAGTTTCAGTAACTAATGTAGTTATACTGTATGTGGATTGGATTCGTAATTAACTCATAACATTATCCTCTTAAATCGATACAAAATAGGATTGCCGTATACTCTGAAATTATGATCTGAAATTATCGTATATTACGGTAATTGCCGTATCAATGGTAACGTTGCGCCGCGTGCACAAGTCATCTTGACCTTACTACTCTCATAACGCTAGTCAATTGACATAAATTAAATGAATAAAAATACACTTCCTTACATACAAAACCTATCTGCATTATTGGCTATTTAAAATCGTGTTTTGACTGTAGGACTCTATAACACTAGAACGGGGTTGGTTGATCGAAGCCATGCTGTGGAGTACTTGTCTCGGCATTTACCTCCTCCGGCTTCTAACTTTGGGCAGCAACGTAAACCGGAAGTACCGGGGCTGTCTGTCTGCCATATTGACAGAGCAAATAAACCTCCATCTTGCCATGGAGCAACGACCGGAGAGCAAGGAGCAACTCACCGTCGCAAACAATGTGCTGAAGTTAGCAGCTGATCTCCTCAAGGTTAGTTTTTCTAATTATTGTAATCAATTCCAATTTTTTTAGACGACCTCCGTGGCCGAGTGTACGCCGGGTTTCAAGGTGTCGCCTACTCGAGAGGTCCCGGGTTCGAATCCCGGTGGGAGCAGATGTTTGTGTGATGAATACGAGCATTTGTACTCCAGTCGTGGATGTTTAATATGTATTTCTAAATAAATATACATATATATGTACTGTTTAATTATGTATTCTATCCATTACCCTAGTATCCCATAACACAAGCCGTACAGTGCTTACTTTGGGGCTAGAGTCATTGGTGTGAATGTTGAAAATATTTATTATTATTTAATTACTTACTGTGAATGAATACGTTTAATTACTCTATTATTCTTTCCAGGAACTGGACTCACCGTTCAAAATATCGGGAATATGTGCCAATCACTATTTATATACGATAACCAAGGTAGTCATTCTTTCCGCACTCTCAGGGGTACTGTCAGAGATGCTAGGTTTTAAATTAAAGCTACACAAAATTAAAATCAAATAAATATAATCTAGTTTTGACTGAAAAGGGTTTGCTATGGAAGAATTTAGGTAATTAATGTTTTGTCAGAATTGAATCAATTAATATGATTAATTGATACAATTTTTGCGTACGGACTGTTTTCCTTGAATTCTACTCTGTTAATAGAGAAATTAGGTAATTTTTTAGTAAATCATAGCGATTCAATGACCAAGATGAGTAATATCTGGAAATTCTAAACCTTGTATTTATTTAATTATAGAAAAACACCAAAATATCATATAGGCGTCGACTGTAAATGATGCACTGTTTTAATCACCTTATTATATGCAACCTTCGTAGCTGTATACGTTTTATTACCTATAGATGTGAAATCGCAAATATTTTTTGTAATGGCAGAGATAGATATTTTCTATAAAAATAAAAACTATGACTATCGTGAAGTATGCTGTATTTTTAACTTGAATATACCTTTTTCGTATATTTGCCGTTACCTACAACAACACGTTGCATGTTATAGCTTTTTAGGATCAGTCACTTCAATCTTTCTTGTACTACTCCTACGATCATTATTGTTTAGTTCTACGCCGAAGAGTCCAGTTAAAATTAATGTAGCATATTGGTTCAAAAACTGATGTGAAGAGAGACTAAAAGAGTTCTTTATTAGAGCAAGAAATGTTGTCACAAACAAAAATAGAAATGTAGTTTTTTTTTTATACTTTATAACCGTGCCACAAATATTAATATACTTTTAATACTAGTGAATCACTGATAGTGCAAAAATAATACTGTTTATAGAAATGCCAGAGCTTTAATTATTTTTCTGTTTAACTTGCATAATCAATCATTGTAGATTTAAATTAGCATTTGCAAAGAAGATTGTGCATAATAAAAGTAATTAACCGTATTGAGGGATATGCACTATCTGTGTTACACTAAAATGTTTGCGCTACTTGAGCGACTGTAGTGAGAAACAAAGTTTTTTCAAGTTATTATTAAGTAAGTAATAATTTTAGAAGCATAATACTGGACGAGATGATGTTTTAATTGTTTTGACACGAGTTGAGGTTTTTCTCTCTGCTCTCTGCAGTTCTTTTGCAAGTCGACCTGTCCTCGCAGCTCGAAGATCCTTTCTCGCGAATTCGCGATCGATCCCTTTCAGGCATTGTCCTAATACAACGCGAATGAGCGATGCGATCATCGTACGAGTCGACGATCAAACATATTGATCTAGAATAGGTGTCCTAATAGGCGATCGAGCGATGCATTCGCGCGACTAAAATGTTTAAAAATCTATTCGCGGGAACATAGTTCGCGCGAACGCGCAATCAAACCTATTAATGATGAATAGGTGTCCTAACTGAAGTTCGCGCGATGATAGCGTCGCATCGATAGGAAGCGGGGAGAAGGGCAGGGCTAACCCGACCAAACTGTGTGTCAATCGTGATCGCGTATTCGCGTTCTATTAGGACACCCAGTTCGCGATCACGCGATAGTCGCATCGTTTAAACGCGCGATGATTGCGCGCGTTATCGCGTTGTATTAGGACAATGCCTCAAAGCTAGGGGAGTGTCAATTTGACTTTCCACAATTATAAAACAGGGATAGCGAAAGACTGCTGATTTCCTGTTGCCCGAGTGTCAGTAATCGTTCAACCAAAATCATTATAACTCTTGAGTTCTCTTTCAAATCACAATTCTTTTTGCTGTACTGTTACCCTGTACCTGCCTACTTTATACTTGTATATCATCGTGGTTGACCCCCGTCAGCCGTTAGGGTCTTTTAACTCCTTCGTTGCCCCGGTACACCTCTTATCAGATTATAGCTTCCTACTTATCTCTAGTTTATTATTTTACTGTAGTTGTAATGTTATGAAATTTATTTGCTTAAAAAAATATTAAAAATTTGTTGCACTTTCCCCTTCCCTAATCATTAAAATGTTTGCGAACATTGCCCTATTAAAAAATCCTTTTTTATAATTAATATCAGTTGATATTTTTGGTTACTTGTTTCGATCTCATTCTAATTTTGTATATTGAGAACTGAACTTAATTGTATTTGTTTTATTTAGGTACTTTAATTAGCAAATTTTTGTACGTTTATTTGTACTGACAAAATTATAGACTACACCTGCAGAGGCTGCGTATAATCCGCTGCATGCTTCGGAATAGCACCTGTATATTTTATCCACCTTATCAGGAGACATAGACTAAAGTTAATACTGGGCTAAAACTGTTGCTGTCACTTTAGTTTGCTAAAATAAGACAGAGACAGCATAAGGTTTAAACCAAGATTAACTTTGGTCCACGTTTTGGAATAAGGCGCTATATGTTTTCATAAACAATATTTACTATTAATTCAAATTTATTTACTCAATGAAAACAATAAATCAATTGAAAATATGTATTCTATTTACATGAATACTATATTATCAATAGTTATGAGAATTCTTTATAGGAATGGTAAAACAAAATCATATATATGACTATAATTCAAATAAACTGTGAATAATAATAAATAGAATGTAGCAATCAATGGGAGATGCATGCTAACCTATTGCGTATATGAATGTTACATTTGTGATGAATACAAATTGGTCTCGATTCAGGGCGTGATCTCTAAATGTAAAACTAAAAATAAGACAATAGTCCTGTCCTCGACTAGAAATGCTCTTTAAAAATGAAATGGAGAGACTGCTAACAACAATGTTAAAATTGGCCTAAGAACCAACACCAATTTGGCATTTATGATAATTCTTAGTATATTTTTTGCGATAATTATCAGTATTTAGATTGTGACGGACACTTCCAGTTAAGTAAGCTAAATTAAAAAGTTAAAAAATAATCTGAGACAATAAATACTATTTTATCTGTATAATCTATGGCAGCGCTGCAAACAAAACACTCTTTCTACCTAATGCCGGCACTTCACTTGGCTATTCGTATTTGCTATTTTAAAACATGACATCAGTCTGTCACTTTCATTCCTTATTAAGCATGACAAGGACAAACTCTTGTCAAGTGAAGTGCCGGCATAAAACTCGTTACTCTGTGGTTGTGGTGCATGCAGTTTGCATTCGTAGTAATCTGTGGCATTCGTGCATTCCAAAGAGTAGTATAATAAACCGGAAAGTGCATTCTCGTTTCAGATTACCTGTTGTGTGTGTTTATTTGCGATTGTTTTTCCTTTAATTTAACTATTTCGGTTATCTAATATGCCATCGATGTTACCAAAGAGCAGAACCCTTATTACCAAGTGCTGGTGAACCTGTGCCACAACATCCTGAGAGGATCATACTGCCAAATTATTCAAGAACACCTGATACACATTCACGCTGCATATTTACACAATATACATGTGATATACAAATAAATACAATAAACAATATGATAGAATTATGTGAAAATTAGTCAATAAACAAGAAGCAAAACTAGTTTTAATTTTATTCATTTTTCCTACCTAACCAAGTTTTTCCTAATAGTTATTCTTTGAAATCGCACCGAATAAAATGAATTAGTTGTATTATCAATTCACTTCAAACTGAGTTCATACTAAATTCGTAGGTTGACCTATGTTTCATTGAATATTAAACATAACCTCAAAAAAAATCTACTTTTCCTAATAATTTAAGTTCTCAGGAGTGTCCGTCAATAATCTTTCTTTTTACAGTCATTTACTTACGATTTTGAACCTAGAAAATAATATTTCATGATTGTTGATTCTTAGGCTAACTATGTATGGACGCTGAACAATGTCCTTTAGGTTTATGTTTAGTGAATCATACCAGAATGTGGCCCAATGTTTAGTCTTTTAGACAACCATAGCCATTATTATTTACTAAATTATAAATGTTCCTATTTGCTTTGTCATAGGTATCTACGTCTAGATGTAGGCACTCTTTATCTATGTAGTGATCAAATATTTATCTTTAATTGTGTTTGAAATTGAATAACTTTTATTTGGACTACGAGTTAGAAAAGTTGTAAAAATGCAATAAAAAAAATAGTTTCAGTATTTGTTTTATTTCTTAAACGAAGTGTGATTGTATCGTTCATCAATTAATGTCGGAATGATTACAGTGAATATACGTAAGTTTGTAATAAATATTTCTCATATTTCTTTGTAATTAAGGCGATGTCTTATTTTATTTTGTGTATTTCATTCCACAAATTCGACTTTTAATTTACAAAAACGACCCTCTCCATATTTCTTTACTCTCATTAGACTACAATACCGTGATTTGCGTTAAAGATCTGACGTTACTATGATATGAATGTAAAAAGCTACTTGAAAAAGTCCGCGTGAGTGTGCAGGAATATGCCTATTATATACTTCAGCGCATAATGAATAAAATTATCATCCGCATTCCTAAAGCTTCTCACATAACACACAAAATAGTACAGAAGGTAATCTCTGAAAGTATCTTAAGTTTACATACCTACGCGCCGCATTTGCACTAAGTTTGTCAGCTACGTATCTAGTAGTTTGATTTATTATTGATACATTGATTACATTGAAGAATGGAAATATAAATAAACAAATAAAGTATTTCAATGTGATTGTTATACTAGGGACAAATTAAAAAAACAAGCAGGATTCACGCGTTTGTTCCTGTTGCGCTCCTTCGGAGTTGCTGTCAAGGGTATAAAGTAGAATCCACAAGTCGGTACCATTCATCCCAGCCGTCTCGCTCCGTTAACAGGGCAGTTGGGAAAAACTGTTCTATCGACCCCGGTCACGGTATATTACTAGCATAATAGAAGTTATTATGCTAGTAATTAGTTCATAGTCTCGGCGCTCAAATCCTTACCCAGCTAGACTAAGTTATTATAATCCTGAACTCTAAAGAGTAACGACAGTACCTATACGTCGGGATGTCTGGGAATCGGTGAATGCGGGGCGGCTTTGCTAGACGGCCATGCTTCTTCACTATTAGATTTTAAATTATCGTTTTATCCAAAGGTCCTGGGTTCGAGTCCCGTTACGGGCATTTATTTGTGTGATGATTGGGTTGGTTGGGTCGTTGAAAGTTATTTAGCTCTTCTTAATTTAAGTAATGTTGTGAGTTGATATAATTGATTTTATTATTTCACTATGAAATGAAATATATTTTATTAAAACCATAACAAAGATACAATAACAATAGTCATCGATAATAACTGCATTAGTTATAAAACTGTATGGTTTCAACGATATTAAATACTCTAGATACAAGAACAAAATCGTGGCCGAAACCTGTCCAAAAGGTAGATTGGACGATCCACGGAGCTCTGTAAGATGATCGTGTTGTCAAAAACAATATAAGGCATTATTTAAACATTGAAAGTCACCTTTAACGCATACTTGATAAGGTCTTAATTAAAACGCTTGCGTCAAAGAGTTATGACAGTTCGAAATGCAAGATTGCGGAAGAATATAGACTATTTCTTTGACTCTACGCACAATTCTGAATGCGCTGTTAGCAATACGGATATATTTAGCAAGAACGGACAGCGAGGAAAAGAGACCGCTACTTATGTGACCATGCATTTGATTTTTTTTTCTAATTAATATCATTTATATTTATTATTATCATAAATATTTTCTATTAAATCAGTTTATATTAAGTATTACAGCTAAATTTGGTTTAAATGTGTTAAATCAACACACATTCGATTAGATACCTGTTGAAAAACTACACTATTTTTTTACGTAGCTCTGCGGCATCTTGGCTTTTCAACGTTTCGCGCATGACTGTGAACTAAGAAGTGCTTGAGTGGAGTTCAAGCACTTATGACGACCTCCGTGGCCGAGTGGTTTATACGCCGAGTTTCATGGCGTCGCCGACTCGAGAGGTCCCGGGTTCGAATCCCAGTGGGGGCAGATGTTTGTGTGATGAATACGAGCATTTGTACTCCAGTCATGGATGTTTAATATGTATTTCATATAAATATACTTATATATGTACAACATATGTATTCTATCCATTACCCTAGTATCCCAAAACACTAGCCTTTACAGTGCTTACTTTGGGGCTAAGCTAATTAGAGTGAGTTGGAAATATTTATTATTTATTTATTTATTAAATAGGGGTAGGGACACATTTTGAGCGCACATGGCGTATCTAGGGTATTTAATATCGTTGTATGATTTCTAGCAAATATGCTACCTGAGATGATTGTCTTTTTATTTAAATTGGTAAAATGGGTGTAATTAAAATACCATTCTCTAACATTACGATTTATTAAAATAACAAAAATAGCACTGTTCCCCTATATGATTCAAACATGCATTATTTGCACTCTGCTGTCACTGTGATGTTAAAAAGTAAAACATATTCTTTATATCATACGATTTGTACAACGTGATTAATATAAAAAAGGTAAGAGGATAGTTGCAATGAATTTATGAATTAAATCCTCACATCTAAAGAAATTGGGAAAACATAATTTAAATCATGTTTTTGTGCTATCCTTTATAATAAAGAAGTTCAATCACCATGTTATGGTTGGGTACTATTTGGATCCAAGAAAACAATACAGTCAGTTTAAAATCTCTCTAATTCACTAAATACATTTTATACACAATGATCAGTCAGCCAAATGTCAATTATTACCTTTCCACATATTACATCAAATAATTTTCCACACAGTCTCTCTACTTACTTCCTGAAAATTGTGGATTCAACGTCGTCCTCACCAACTTACGACCGCACTCAAAAACCGCAATTAACTTTAGTTTGATTAAACTTGGTGCCTTCACTTTCTTTGCGATAACGATAGGAAAAGACATCGCGCGAATTGATGAATCATTACATGTAATTGACGTTTTGGAGTGTGGCTCTTAATCCCTTAAATATAATGTCTACTATCGCTTAAGAACAAATCGAGAATGTCTAAACAAAAATCACACCACTTATTGCATAGAGATTAAGTTACTAAAACAAATAAACTTCTAGCAAATTAAAACAACAGTCGAAAGTGAAATTTCACAATGATATAAGAAGCGAACAGATGTAAGGAAAATGTTATTGGAAAATTGTCGATAGCCAATGAGACAGTTAAACAATGACAAATATCTAGAATAGGGCGTCGTTCTCACAATGCAACGCGCCACGCGACGATACGCAAATGGGTCTAATTTTATAACTTTCAACTCCTTCCACAATTTATAATAATTGAGAAAGAGATCAACTTATGATACATGACACTTATCTTGCTTGTTAGCTTTGAAGGAGTGTGCGAAAAGAGTTAAAAATTAGACAATTACTCCCGTAACATTTAGCGTTAAACCGAAATATCTGTTTATATACAATACCGGAGGAACAACACTCAAAGAACTAAGATTGCCAACATTAAATAAAGAAAACAATAACACATTCGTGTTTTCACTTAAAACTAAATAAGCCTTGGTACAATTTATTTTAATTATATTTGTTTTTGTATTCCTCCACTTTGCAATGTAAAAGGAATTAATTACATAGTAAATGATGGAGGCGGAAATTATGTATTTTTTTAAACATACTTGGTAGTTTTCAGTGTAAACCGGACTAAGTTAAAAAGCGCATTAGAGATAACAAAAATCTGTATTTCTTTAGTGTATTAAAAGAGATAGAAACGGCATATAGTCGGCAACCTTACATGCTTATAAAGAAAATCTGCGTCTATCGTCAGTCGCTAAACCTCATTGCTTTTGCCATAGCCAATGACATTTTCATTTTATTATATGCGCGTTTCTGCTTTGTCAGAATATACTTACGCCTACACTTACTTGTTCATGTTTACTATAACGGGTTGTCCTTGTCATGCTCTATAGAGCCTTATTACATTACCTATAGGTAATGAAAAGGAAAGACTGCTCTCGAGTTTACAAATACAAATAGTCAACTGCCGGCATTCAACTCACACCAAAGAATCCAAAGATACGAATCGGTAATGGCAATGCAACATATTCCGTGAATCAATATTAATAAATTTATGAATGAAAATTATACTCTGACGACATGACATGGCTAAGCAAATGCTGTTAAGGACCGACCATTAATCACGTGAGGCTACAAAAGAGAGGTCTGTAAAACACGAAATATCACGTGTACATTTTTTTATTGACCAATTCATTTCTAAAAAGAAAAGCGTCACTTAAAAAATATGATACTTATGTACCATCTTAATCTAAAAACATCAAATGGTTAAAAAGATGCTGAAAAACGTCACGTGATTAAAGTACGACTCATAAACAAACAAAATGAGAGTGAACAAGAAACACGGGAGCAATTTGTGGAGTAGCGCGTAGTGAGCTAATTCAATAGTTATTTATTCACATTTCATTCTCGGCGTCTCTCGCGCGATCCGGAGCGATGCGATCTGCTGCGGCGCGCGTCGCGCTCGCGGTCGCGGCCGCGGGACCCCTCGCGTCTGCTGCGGCTCCTGGAGCGACTACGCCTGGTACCATCGAGTTTTGTTTATAAGTGGACAATATCATAAAGTAGCTACAGTTCATTCAAAATACAAAAGTCTAGCTCCCTATCTTTATTCAAATTGGATGCAAAATACTACTCTTTTAAACCGTCCATATTTTTTCCCCTAACACCAGTTATGGTCATTTTTTGAGCTGTGGAGAAAAACTGGCGAAAAAAACTTCACAACGTTAAATAATTATGTTACGGTGTGAATACACAATCATTTCATCTTCATCATAATTATATAAAAAGCCTGCCGGAACGGTTGGAACAGTTTAAGCCCAAGCATTGACTGATCGAACCCCATTTTTGCAGCACAAAAATAGTTTGAATTTATTTCATTACATTATACATGGATTCCACCCCTCACGTTTGCTGCGACTCCGGGAGCGACTGCGCATGTTTCGACAGAAATTCGGTCGATTTAAGTCGATGATATTCGCTATACCCGCTCAATTTTTTATCAAATCTTGAATGATTGATTCGTTGAAGCATTAATTCTAACAAGACAGACCCGTGAGCAGAATGGAGACCCCTCGCGTCTGCTGTTGCTCCTGGAGCGACTGCGCGGGGCGTTTAACTACCATCCGCGCCGGTTATTCACCTAGTGGTACGATACATGTACTTACCTCCGGCCCCGCTCGCGGGCGCGCTTCCTGTCTTTGGCGAGTTGGAGAGTTAGCCATGGAGGTTAGAGCGAAGGAGAACGATCGCTGCAGAAAATAGTGTCCCAGAAATATGGACAAAATAAGTGAGGCGCTGCGATCGCTAAGTTGTCTCAATAAAAGCGGGCTGTTGTGCGCTAGTTTTAAATTTGTACATTTTATTCCACTAACTTTATCCACTTGTACTTATAAACAGCTAACTTCACAGATACTACTTACCAACGGCAGCGCGGCTGGTGGCTGAAAAATTAACTATAAATTCTACAAATTTTCAGGGACATGCGGGCTAATGCTTTAGCACGTAAGGATCGTTCCCCTTCTCTCTAACCTTCATGCCTGCCGCGGTCGCGGTCATGCCGCGTCGTCACGCGCCCTTCACCCTAATGCAGCCGCCCGCCTCCGCGCTCGCCACTTTATTCACCAAAGACCGTGGTATGGTGCCGTAGACCGTAGATATGTAATTACCTCCTTTCCCGGTCGCGGTCGTGCTCCCTATCCTTGCCGCGTTCGGCGCGGTCGGTTTCCTTGCTGCAGTCGCGCGCGGACTCGCGATGTCGACGGGCGCGGTGGACTAACTCCATCCAATGTATTGCCGCCGCTCTCCTCCATCTTAGCGACGTTTATCCACAAGGAATGGTGCCGTATACATATGTATTTACCTCCTTTCTCGCTCGCGGACGCGCTCCCTGTCCTTGCCGCGTTCGGTGCGATCGGTCTCCTTGCCGCGGACGCGGTCGCTGTCGCGCGCGGACTCCCGAAATCGTCGCGCGCGGCGGCCTAACTCCCTCCCTCCAACGTAGTGCCGCCGCTCTCCTCCACCTTAGCGACGTTTATCCATAAGGAATGGTGCCGTGTACATATATATTTACCTCCTTTCCCGCTCGCGATCGCGGTCGCGCTCCCTGTCCTTGCCGCGTTCGGCGCGGTCGGTCTCCTTGCCGCGGTCACGGTCGCGGTCGCGCGCGGATTCGCGATGTCGACGCGCGCGGCGGTCTAACTCCCTCCCTCCAACGTAGTGCCGCCGCCCGCCTCCGCGTTCGCGTTCCGAAGCGCCGCGCTCTTCGCGACGTTTATCCACGGTTTTCTAAATAACAATAACTTACTCAATGAGGGTGTTTCTGAAAATTTTGGTCACTAGTTGGCGCCGCTGTGACGTGAGCTCTTTTGTATGAAGCTCTTGGCGCGAACTAATCGTACGAGCATTAAATTGATCACTGACTATGAAGACATATATATACTCGATTTGACGGATGAGTACTCATTCCAGAAAACCTTTATTATATTTTTAGCTTTTAAGCAGCTACCTAAAACAGACGACACGCAATTTCACGAGATTTTTGCACATGAACAGAAGGCATTAAAATAGAGTCTTCTAATATTTTACTTTTTGTTTCTTCAAATATTTTGACGTTAGGGCTTTTTAAAAGCTCTCCTTCCTTCTATTTTTTGTCCAACATCTAGCATCCAAAATGGAATGATGGCCACAAAAACATCTCTCGAATCGAAATAATGCCAATGTGCTAACACAAAGGAACACTTATAAAGTTCTATTCAAAACGCTAGGAATAACTACAGAAAAAGCGCTTGCGCGAAGTATCCTATAATAGTAGTAGGCTGCAGGATAACACATGCACAAATCTAATTTGTGTTCCAGTTAGATTATTTTAAAAAAATCCACTCTGTCCAAGTTTCAGACAGGATTCGAACCCGCATCTTCAGCTACAGATTTAGCTGTGGACCGAGTAGAATTTTAGTGTTAACATTTTCTTTATATTTAAACATCTAACAGTTAAATACTCAAAAAATATAAATATGTATAATAAAATGCACAAACCTTCAACTCAGCGAGTTTCTCTCGAATAGTAATGAAACCAAGATGCAATTTCCCACCAAAATGATCAGCAAGACGTCTGTCATTGTCATGGATGCCCAAGTATGCAGAGCATACTTCACACACACGCAATTTCTGCTGTTGATACGACGACGCTGGCATCGAGTTGCGGTATTCCTGCTCTGCGACTGCTTTCTTTTTACGCAACTCTTCAATCTAAAAACGGATAATGAATTCTATAAAATAAATTTTTATATACAATAATGTCCCACAGTCCATAAAAAAACAATCAAACATCTTACAGTTGTCCCTTACATTACGACGACGTAATGCTGATATCACGCAGTGCAGCTCTCGCGATCGATCTATCAAATGATCTATTTGTTGTTTTTATCACAAGCATTTTTTTAAGAATATAGTAAATAAGTATTCAATTTTTCTAGGAATAGAATTAGTAAACATATTAAGCAACTATATAAGCTTTGAAACTTACCTCTCCCATCAGTTTAATACTCTCTTCCACCATTCCTTCCTCACCCAAAGCTTCGGCTCGTGCCAACTTCTGACCGATCTGTTCTGCAAGTTCATGGACAGCATTTGCTTTTTCAGTAACTTCAGCGGACAACTCCTCTTGTGTTTCGGCAAGACGTTGTTTAGCTGCGGTGGTGCGTCGATCACAATCCGCTATAAAAGCCTCTAAGTGTTCTGTCGCCTACCAATGTAATCATGATATAAGCCTTATTTAGATAGTAAAAGAAATCAATTATTTATATTCACAGAATTGATTTATCAACTATCAATGTTTAAATGAAACTTTTCCATCATTAGAAAATTTTACTGGAAAAAAATCCACGCAGCCAGGCAGCAGACGGGACTCGAACCCTCCGCTATCCGGGATGCACTGAAATCTACTACCGTACCGTGGCTTTAATTTAAACATCTATCAGTTATATGCTTAAAAAATTATAAATTATTTTCATCAATGATTATATTTTGTATTTAATTTAGGTATCACAATCCCATAATTATTTGATTTAGGTAAATAGATGAATTAGGTAACTGAAGTGTTTTTGTTTTGCATTACTAATAATGGTACAGCCACTGTCATTGATAAATAATGAATAATAGTGAGTCTCCATTATTTTCTGAATTTTCATAATCTAAATTATTTTACAAAGATAAACAATACTAAATTGTACTTACATCAATGTCATAGAAATAGTCTTTGGTTTTGGAGGCTAACTCATAATCAGCACGCAGAGCCAGATCGTGTATTTTTGGACACTCACCTAAATCCATCCGCTGCAAGAAATTAAAAGCAATAAAATAGAAAATGTTACTTAAGAAGAGCTGCAAACCATTTGGAGACAAGTCTGTTTCAATATACGTATTTTTGACCTTTACATAAGAATAAAAATATTCATAATTATACATTTTCTGAAGAGTTAACAAGATAGATAACATGTAATGTGATAGACAGAGCCCCATTGTTGTATAAACCAATTGTTTTATTATAATACATACAATATCACCAACAGCACACGCAGTCCGGAGTAATTCGCCATTAACGTAATTTTTTATACTTACAAATTACAGAGTACTCCACAACACCCTAAATAGATTCGGGTAGATAAGTTATAGGTTAAATCATTGAAAAATATAATGACATATAAATAATATCAGAATCATCACGTTGTAACACTATCTTTTATTATTTTAAACACATGTTTCAAACCCTTCGCCCCCATCGGAACTGTGTTCTGTAACCAATTGCGACTGAACCCATTCGTCCTTGGTCATGTCATAACCAGTTACGATCGAGGATGTTTTTTTTGTTACTTCGAAACCCAGTTAGGACGTATACAGAAAGAAAGCCGAAAGCCGATCAGCGCTTATCGGCGCTGATTCTTACTACATAAAGGAAGCGGATTAAAGCAGAGCAAGCAAAATGACGGACTCCTCGGACGATGACTTGGTTTTGTTAGAAAATGTGTATTTAAAAATGCGAAAAAAGCTATACACCTATAAATAGAGAAAGGAAACGTTTCGGAGAATACCATCATTAATTTGTAAAAAAATTGAAAAAAGATTTTATACATATACAAGAATGACTCAAGGAACATTTTATTACATTCTGGATTTAGGGAAAAACCGTTTGATTAATAATTGGTGTAATTGGCATAAACAACCAATCCTTCCAGAAGAAAGACTTGTTGTCACCATTCTTCTTAGAATTCTTAGTACGAAACTTAGTTAATAAAAGATAAAGTTATTAGATTTATAAAAAGATTATAACTTAGATTGATTTAATCTAAGGATAATAATTCAAATACAAATCATTTATTAATCAGACAATATAGATCATAATGACCAGCTGACCAGCGCGTATCGGCATTTGTCGGCGCTTATCGGCGCTGGTCCATAGAAAAAGGATCAGCGCCTATAAGCGCTAATCGGCTTTCAGCTTTCTATCTGTATAAGGCCTTACGATGACGACAGAAGGGTTTAAAAAACAAGTGGCTTCCTAAAACAAATTTTACAAGAAAAACTTCAAAACCAGATTATCTTTAGAAGGGTGGTATAAACCTAACCATTGCTCATTTATAAGACATTCAAAAAGAGACTAAATATTTTTTTATATTACAACAAAAAGTCACAAAATTAATCGGAAATCAATATGGAAATTGCAAACGTCTTAATAGTTGAATGAGAATATTTTTTTCTATCAGGCATTGTCTTGTGATAATGTGCCCATATTCTTCTACTTTATTGTCTTATTTCATTATTTATGGCAGAATATAATTTTAAGTCACAGATATTTTGTTTTTCCCTTAATAAATTATTTGTGCAACCTGCATTTTTCGCAATTTACAGATGTCGCAGAAATCAAATGGTAAGGAATGCGGTAAAATAGAAAATGACAGTATGTTGAGGAAACCAATTACTTGGTGCTAACAAGCTTATTGATATTTACTAAAGATTATCTGTTTTCATTACTTACTCTAATATAAAAAAATATGGATAATTTCAGCAAGTCGATGGCACCTTGCCACTCTAAGGGACCTGTCAATTACTATGCATAGGAAGTTACAATCCAGTATTGAGTTGTAGGTAATTTATAACATATTAAAATCTAGATATCAATTTGATAAAAAAATCTTGAATGTATCTTCATACATATGTTGCAACTTCTTGCAGACAAGATTCTATAATAGTTATTAAAATAGTAACCAAAGTAAGTATATTATCAAAAGAAGATGAATCCAAATATGTAAGCCCCAAAATAAGGATTAGTAAATTATAGACTCCAAACTAAAAGGAATGAAAAACTTTTTACTTTCGTCCTAAGTTTAAATAAGTAGTATAAATTTATTTTATATTATTTATTCTCAACATATAAGGCGCCAGATTCAAACCATCCTCAAAAGTAATAACTACACACCAGTCTTTATTAATTATAAAATAATTACTAGATGTGATTTAAACTTAAATACATATAGGCTTTGATGCTGGCATGATTCTATAAACCTATAATTAAATTTGATAACAGTGTATCCCTATCATGCTCTGTAAAAATGAAAAGGATAGACTGTTGTCAAATTTAGTTTTATGTTTAGAGAAACCTGCCAGAAATGGAGCCCATGATAAAACTAAAGAGTTAGATATTTTTGTTGTTAATATAAATTTAAATTGAACTCAAATCATTATAATCTCTCAAAGATTATCAACCCTAAACTAATTTTTAATGAAGTCCACATTTACATTATATATAACGCTTACTTCAAATACTATAATTGATTGTTGGATTACTTGTTGCAAATAAAATTAAATGTACAAAATTGTGCTGTATATTTCATATCCAGTACACCACAGCAGGAAGTACTATACTATATTGAACATTTATTATATAGAATAAATATAATCCATTTATAAGAAAATCTTTAATATTTTATAAACCAATATGATTTATTTTAACAAATTGCTCTATAACAATTTTGTAATGTATTTTTTGATTTAAAATAATTAATCATGCATTGACTATTTTTTTTGAATTTCTAGCCATGTAAACAGCACAGTACGTACCCAATGTAGTAAGTATGAATCACCAAAAACCTCTCACCCGACTTAAGTTTTTGTTCCTAAAATTTCACGGTACTCACCGAAGCAGCATTAGTTAACCGATGAATATAGAATGATTTAAGTGCCTTATTATATTAAAAGTCTGCTTAGCAGTAATAATACAATCAGCTAACTAGAAATATTTTATACGTACATCTTGGTACTTACAGAACAGCCTAACTCATACAATCTATCCCTCATCTGTTAAGTATTGTGATGAGCAATAAAGACTAGTGTGGGGCATTTTCTGAAAAGCATATTTCACCACAGTTAATGCCACTCCGATGAAATTGTTCCAGTGATACTACAGTAAAACATGATAACAGACAGGCTGAAGTATAAAATTCCTGTACATTAGGTGAACAATTTTTAAAATTTTGTTTAAAAGAGATTAATTAGTTTGAAGTTTTGAACTAGTCATATAGCCATTCCAGATTTACAAATGAATTGTTGATAATTAGACTAAGTACAAATGAAGGAGATTCATAAAATGCCTACTGCAATAGTACAAGTCATGTAGGATTTGTTATAACAATAACAATGTATAAAATAAACACTGGGGAAAAACAGCTTAGTTTCTTGCTGGGTCTTCCCAGTACAAGGTCCCCGCTGCTGATTTGTGAACCAACTGCATAGGTAATTGACTTTCATTTACACTTATTCATGCCTAAGCTGAATATATAGATTTGAGTTTGCATAAATCCAGTACTGGTCAATTTAAAATATGCATGCAAATATGCATCTTCATGAATCTGGACTAGCTAACTCAAAATTGTGCAAATATTTTTAAGGCCTCATTCAAGATTTTATTGAGTTACTGTTAACCAAATGTACAGGGTTCATAGAATATGTAATTTCTAACAATCTGAGAAATCATTAGCACTTCCAATAAACACAAATACAACTTAAAACATTTTGCTAGATACAAAAACAAAGAAATTTATCCAACCAGAGAAAATTAAATGAAGTCTCAGAAAAAAATTGGTTAGGTAGCGATAATATTTACTCACTGTGGACGACAAAATTTCGTGAGGACAACATTGTAACAAAAACGATTTGCACACCGAATCATCATAAAATTTCACACCATGCCTATCCGATTCGCCTGAAAAAAAAAACAACAAATAATCATTGGTATTACGAATTAAGATACAGGAAAATCAAACTTAGAATAGAACTGGGAAGGCGATAGAAGATAATAACAAACTTGTCAACTTACCATTTCGTGCAGTTCCCATCAATTGATCCAACATTGCCCTAATTTGCTCGTGAGCGGACATGATGACTTGGATCTCTACCGAATACAATTTATTAAATTTTCTCACATATGGCCTAAAACATATCTAGAGAGTTTAAAAAGTACAAAAATATTTCTATTTCACGTATTTCCTACGAACAAAATCAAATTTCGCCAACGAATCAATTAAAGATTTCTTACATACAAAATGGCGGACACTAGATTTTTTTTAAACATTCTCCCTTTTTAGGAAAGGTAAAGGGAACTAAAGCCCATTCAGCTTCGTCTTTAGTTTTTTTTCCCCGCTTTTCTTCAAAAACTATTTAGTTTATTTGAATAATATTTTTTGTTTATTTTATATGGAATTACTTTATAATTTATTTTGTTATTATTTTAAAAAACACAAAACTAAATGAACGTCATAAATTCATAATGACAGAAGACAACAATACAGGCAGTTCTCCCCTTAGAGGTATAAGAATAGAGTGGGGAAGGCGGCTCTAAAAGTGTCCGTCTAGTAGAAAGAGAAAGAAGATGCTCTCATCTTCGGTGGCGGTCTCTATCGCTAGGTACAATTTGTCTATGAAGTCGTGACATTAAATGATGGCGCCACTAGTACGCATGTAGCAACCCTGTACAGTCTGGCCAAAATGATTTTGGTACTAGCAGTTCATTCAAGTAAAATAGGTAATTAATAAGACACACTATTGTCGCGACGGCAACACCAGTCGCGATGTTTGAGGTGGCAACACATATCAATTGCCGCTATTATTCTAATGTCAATGTCAAGTAAGCCGCTTTTTTCTCTTCTTCTTGTTTATTGTGCTATGTTAACTAACATACTGTGATTACCTTGTACCTATATTTATAACTGTTATGTGCCATAAAAATGTGCCTACCTGATGCGTGCCTGTCTCCGAGCTCGAGAACCAACGGAATATAACGAAAGCTAAGTAGTAGAATAGTTCACTTATATGATAGCCGGTTTGCATTTCATGAAAATTTTGTATGTGTGAAAATAAGCACTTACCTGCGCACTTGATATTAACCTATGTACCTGTGGGTACCGGCACGGTAAAGAGATACTCTCTCACACGGCGAAAGCGCCGGAGAGTATGGGCGTGAAACGCCTGTGGCATTGACATAATTATAACAATATAAAAAGAGGAGGGCTTGTGCTTCTGCAGGAGGCAATTCCTAGGGTACCCTACCAAGAGGCCACAAGAGAGAGTTATGGCATGCGCAGCGCTATGTCTGGACGGAGCTGGAATAGTGGCTGAGCCAGATGGAAGACGTTCCATAGTAGTGCCATATAAGCCTTTTTTTTGGGCGGTAGGTCTAAAACAGGTATAGTTCGACCTCTGATTACAAAATTAAATTAAAAATACTTACTATCGCTCTTTATTATAATTTAATACATTTTTAATTTGTTTGTAACACAAATATCACTTAATAGTGTTATCTACACTGTATATGCACTTTTGAATAGTGTTTAAATAATCTGTCCTGTCGGCCACTTTTTTTTTTACACAATTGGAAAAGTTTTCACTTATGGCGAACATTGCTGCAGCATGCTCTGGAATCACGACTCTTCAAGAAGATGAACGAACTGGAAGCACGTTGGAATGCTTCTTCTCCAGAGGCTGTGACCTCGTTCACGAGTGTGCAGGAGGAGTTTCGGGCATTCAAACTGGAAACATTAAATGTTCTCCAACTCCTCCGTGACCAGATATATGGACTCAGTCGATCCGTGGATGACATCGAAATGCGGCATCGAAGGAAGTATCTGTTGGTTGGTGGTATTCCGGAGGACTATACTGATGGGCTCCCAGAGTTTATTGTTGGCTTGTTTAATGGCAAGATGGGTCTGGCTATAAAAGCAGATGAGCTCTCAGTTTGTCAGCAGTGTCAATGAAGGAAGATGCCGGCCAGCGTTGGTGCGCTTCTGTGATCATTCGCTGAGTACTGTTGTATGGAGCAAGAAAACGGCTCTTAAAGGAACACCTCACACCATCTCGGAGTTCCTTACTCGCCAGCGTCATACAGTTTTCGTCAATGCACGTAAACGCTTTGGTATAAGAAGGTGCTGGACAATGGACGGGAATGTCATATATGTAGAAGCTGACGGACGGCTCCAGGCGGCGGTTGTTCACCGTTGCAGACCTTGCGGCAATTGTCACGGCGGAGGATGAGTCTCATCAGGCTGCTGCGCCGGTGCGGACGCGGACGGCAATCCCGGCTGCGTCAACGCAAGCGGCGGCCCCTGATGTTCCGGTCCAGACGACGAGTTCCGCTGCGTCGGTGCAGGCGACAATATCGGCCACCCCAACTAAAGCTAAGCGGACAGCCAGGGCGAAAAAGTAACTCATCATATTATATTGTGTCAGTTTTTGGTATGTAGTAGTATAGCTTGATTAGTTTCCGTTTTGTCATTATACATGTAACTAGTTTTTTTGTCAATTTGTTCTCCTACCATCTTATATTTTCTTTTTAGGTAACAACCACTTTATTGCTTTTATTACTCCTTTTATTAATGCACTACCTACTTTATTTACATTATTAATCTAACATTTGTATCACGTCATTTCAGTTGTCAAATGTCATTTCATTTGTTCTTGTTTTGTCTGTCTTTGAAGGCAAACGATACTAAGCATACAGCTTTACTTTTTTTCTTATTGTTGGTACTACTTTCGCCCTGGATCCCATTGCTTATCCCTCTACTTGTCAACCGGCAAGACGGATTAATTCACTAGTTGTGAGATTTTGATTATTTTATGTTCTTTTATTCATTAATTTATATAGAGTTTTTATATATTTATTCATATTATATATTTATTTGTAATGTCCGATGATGATTCTTTTCAACCAGATTTTGACGCGAGCTATTCTTCTCCCACCAACTTTCACTCGCAGACTGAGCCCGAGACGTTGGGTGATGATCTGAGTAAAATATTCGACGGTGCTCTCCATACTTTCAATGCATGCCATATAAATGCTCAGAGTATACCCTCTCATTACACAGATTTTCTAGATTCATTCTCTTCTTCAGCTATTCACGCCATTTTAGTATCAGAAAGCTGGCTTAAGCCAAATTTTTCCTCCTCTTCTGTATCACTCTCTGGGTATACTTTGACCCGCAATAACCGCATTGGTAAGCGCGGTGGGGGTGTCGCTATTTATCTACGCAATGACATTTCTCACAAAATTTTGGCATCTTCACCGTCTGTTTACTCTGGTTCTGCTGAGTATATTTTCTTGGAGATCTCTGTAGGAGGAGCTAGGGCCGCTCTTGCAGTTGTGTACTGTCCGCCTACTGTAGACTATTTCACTCAACTTGAGTCTATCCTCGAACCTCTTTGTACAGATTACAGGCATCTCATAATCATGGGTGATTTTAATACCGATCTTATGCGTAATACGCCGCAGTCTCTTAAATTGTCTAATATTGTCAAGTCCATCAATCTGTATATTCTGCCTTCTGAGCCTACGCATCACAACCCCTCTTCTTATGATACATGGCTTGATTTAATAATAACCTCTCCTGATGATGTGATCGGTCATGGTCAACTACCGGCCCCCGGGTTTTCTAAACATGACCTCATCTTCTTAAAATATAAGTTGAAACCCCCAAAGCAGAAACCTACTGTACTCCATATGCGTAATTTCTCTAGACTTGACCTTGACAGGTTGAGGGAGGGTGCTGCTCGGATCGACTTTTCCTGTGTTTTAGAGTCATCGTCAGTTGATGAGAAAGTCTCTCATTTTAATAATCGTTTACTCCAACTGTACGATACTCATGCCCCAGTGAGGGCGGTAAGAGTTAAGCGACCACCTGCCCCGTGGGTTAATAGAGGTGTCCGTATGGCCATGACTCGGAGGGACCGTGCGTTCCGAACCTTTAAGCGCAGCAGGTCGGAGGAAAACTGGCGTCTCTATAAATCTGCACGCAATAGATGCAATGGAATGGTAAGGGCAGCTAAGCGTCAATATTTTCATAATAACAGTTATAATTGTTCTTCAGCCAATATCTGGAAGTTTTTGCGTTCACTTGGGTTGGGTAAAAACTCTTCTCCATCTCAGTCCCTCCCTTTCTCTCTTGATGAGTTTAATAAACACTTCTCTGGTATTTCTTCCTTGGAACCCGCTATCAAAACTAAAACTATCGATCTTATAACTTCCATGGCTCAATCTCACTCTGTATCCTTTTCCTTTTATTCTCTTATCCTCCCAATTATTGGCCATATCGTCAATTATTCCTTTCTTACTGGTTGCTATCCACTTCCCTGGCGTAAAGCCTACGTTATTCCCATCCCTAAAACTTCCACCCCTACACAATTGAACAACTTAGGCCGATTTCCATCCTCCCATTCCTCTCCAAAATCCTTGAAGCTGCTGCTCACTATCAAATATCATCTTTTGTACACTCTAGGCAGTTACTTACTCCCTTTCAGTCCGGCTTTCAACCTGGGCATAGTACATCGACAGCTCTACTTAAAGTAACCGAGGTCATCCGGCTTGGCATGGAGAACCAGTTGGTCACCATTATTGTCCTAATTAACTTTTCCAATGCTTTCAATAAGGTGGACCACGACCTTCTACTTGCGATTCTGAAAACTCTTAATTTTTCGTCTTTGACATTGGACTGGTTTTCATCTTACCTCTCTGGTCGCCAGCAGGCAGTGCGCAGGGAGCGTGAATTGTCAAGTTGGAATGACTTGACTGCTGGCGTTCCACAAGGGGGCATTCTTTCCCCTCTTCTTTTCTCTTTGTTCATTAATTTTCTTTCCTTCTCGCTCGGCTGCTTTTATCATTTCTATGCTGACGATTTGCAGATTTATGTACAGACGACTGCTGAGGAAATTTCTGATGGAATATCTCAGCTCAATAGGGAACTATGCAATGTAAGTTCTTGGTCTGCTGACTTTGGACTTGCCGTTAACCCCACCAAATGTCAAGCTATTGTAGTGGGTGGCTCCAAGCAGATCTCCAAGATTGGTTTTGGTCTGCTCCCACCTGTTGTTTTTGAAGGTTCTAAAATTCCATTTAGCCTAAGCATTAAAAATCTCGGCCTTCATATTGATACTACGCTAAGTTGGACGACGCAGATTGCCGAAGTCAGCCGAATCGTGTCTTTTTCGTTGTTTCGTTACAGAATTTTTCTCCCCATTCAAACAAAGATCACTCTCGTTACGTCCCTTGTTCTACCTCTCATTGATTATGCCGATGTCTGTTATCCTGATTTAAATGCAGATCTTCTCAATAAATTGGACCGCCTTATGAATAATGCTATACGTTTCATCTTTTGCCTCCGCAAATTCGACCATGTTTCTTTATATCGATCCCAACTAAAATAGCTTCCTATTCGCCAGCGTAGGCAGTTAAGATTACTCTGCACTCTTTTTTCCATTATTTCCAACCCTCATTCTCCAGAGTACTTGAAATGCAAGTTTCAGTATCTCTGTGATAGTCACGATCGTCCTCTCCGCTCTGCTGATTCATTAGCTCTCTATATTCCTCTTTCTCATTCAGGCTATATGTCCAACTCCTTTACTATTCAAGCTATACGACTGTGGAATGACCTTCCCGACTCCATCAGAAGATCTCCTAGTAAACTTATATTTAAAAGGAATGTTCATGCTCATCTGTTGCAAAACTTAAGATGAAGTGTCATTTTATTAATCATCATCTTGTGCATATATGTGTGTATATATATATATATATATGTGTGTGTGTATAATATGTATTTATATATGTATCTTTGTTCATTTGTATATATATTCGTATTTAGCTTTATACCGGCGTTCGTGTTTTTCATTTTTCCCAAAGGTTGACTGGGAGAGAATGCTTTTAACATTAAGTCCGCCTTTTGCACCAATGTTATATATTTATATTTTGGTCCATAAAGTTTAAAAATAAATAAATATAAGTGGGCGACGCGGCTCGTGCATGTGGGCGCACACATGCACGGGTTGTGTGGGGAGCAGGCGACGACCTTGGCTCTCATGCTCACACCGCTCTGCAGGAGCGTAGGACATACATGGCAAAGAGTCATGTTAGGAAATCTCCGCATCGTTTAGACAGCTAACGTAGATAGTTGAGTTAACATGGGTAATTGACCTACAGATAATCTCGATACTCATTTATGACAATATTTATGTGTTCTATGAATCCTGGAATCATACCGTTGTGATGGAGTGACTCCGGGACTTAGTGGCACCACGCAGTGGTGCCATAACTTTATTTATACTTACAGATGGAGTAAGAAAGTGATGAGAGGCATGGACGGACATTCGCTGGTGCTTGAAGGTACATACAATATAATCTGTGGTAAGTAATCACCCTTCGTCACTCGATTCTCCCTTTGTCACTTGTCTATCGTCTAAAATCTCGCGATCCACGGTGGATACGTTAGTATCACGGATATGGGCTGCATGTGGCAGCCCCGCCCCCAAGAGGGTCGCGACAACTATACAGTCGTATTTTGTTTCTGTTTTATAAATAGTAGGTACCTATGCTTATAAAAAGTTTAGCCAAGAATGTTTAATTGAATCAGAATAAAATTATTATAGATAATATTATGTGATAGGTATCTTCACTAAAAGCATCTAGCCATGGTTCTTTATGTGACCATTTCTTTCTTTGGTCGGCCTTGCCTGTTTTCCCAGGAGTTTCAAACTTTCCATTATTCTTAAAACCTTCGTTGACTATCCTACTCTCTGATTCTCCTGAAAAAAAGTAAAAAAATATGTAACGGCATAGAAACAATAACTTATTGACATGAAGCAATTAATTCAAAATTGGTAGAAAACCTGACCGAGTTGAACCATAATAACGTATCAAAAGAAATGGTCGTACTACAATATTACCTATTTACAATGTCAATCTAACCTAAAAATGTACAATGTAAACAAGCCTTTTTTGGTCTCAAAATCGTAAATTGAGTAAATTTGTAACTTCAGGCAGATTACAAACAAATAGTTAGGTACACGATTACATACCCGTCATAGATGCTGTTCGCCCATAAACATCATCCAAATCCCACAAAATTCGTCCAGCTTAGTAGTCTTCGAAACATCGCTGGAAAACTTTAAAAATCACTTCCCGCGTGCCACTCCGCTTTATTATACTCATTTTTATACCTTTCTGCGTAGTTTCGTCTTAATTTATTACAGTTTAATCCAAACAATAAAAAATACAAAAGGAAAACTGTTCCACAACTGAAACTCGATGACAGCTGATGTACATAAGTTTGGTGTTGCCAGACACATGAATAATGTTAGTTCCTCAAACATCACTACTTTATAGACAAACTGTATCTCTCTCTCTTGTGACGCGTGCTCAGTCGTCTGTCCAATAGTTGGTCCAAGCTTAGACGATTAAACTAAATAAAAAAATAGGTATAATGGTCTAAGGGTCCAAGCATCACATCAAAATAGTAAGATGCTTACAGTTGCCAATGCGCATGCGCGATTAGAGAGAAAAAGCTAGCGGTCTCCCATCTTCTTTCTCTTTCTATTAGAGGGAATTTTTAACGTTGTGGGAACACCCTTCATAACTTAGCATTTTTTTATCAATTATGTGGATCATGCCACAATCGATACTACTATTGGTGTCGATTCTGGCTCGATTCTCTAAAGCTAAACTTAAAATTGACAACAGTGCATCCCTGTCATTCTCTACACAGAATGAAAAGGAGAGACTGATGTTAAATTTAGTTTTAAGTTTAGAGAATCACGCCAGAATCGATACCATTGTCATATTTAAGTTTAGGTTTAGAGAATCATGCCAGAATCGACACCACTGTTGTCTGATTTTAGATTTAGAGGATCATCCCAGAATCGATACAAGTGTGTAACTAAAGAGCAAATTGCATGCATAGCTATCGATGCTTTTCAGAACAAAAATCTTAGCAGTAATGGATCTATTACACTACCCAATTTTAAGGGCCGTGTTGCGCCTATTAGACTACCCAATTTGAAGGGATCCGTACCCTGACTAAGGGTGCGGCCAGAGTGCACTCAGATTCAGATTCCGAAAACAAGCGCGAGAAATAAACAGTGTAGTCTAAGCAGGTTGCCTGCTTTTTCTCGCGCTTTGTTTTCTGAGTCTGAATCTGAATCTGAATCAGGAGTGCACTCTGGCCGTACCCGTCGACTACACTGTTTATTTCTCGCGCTTGTTTTCGGAATCTGAATCTGAGTGCACTCTGGCCGCACCCTACGGGTGGTGTAATATGAGTTAGGGAGAAAGGGACCCGATCTAGGGCGACCGACGCGGTGTAATAATTGCTTATCCTTGCTAGGGACCACGCGCACCCTTTCGATAGGGCCCTTATGCCAGAGACATATTAACGTGTCGTGTCGTTGCGTGCCAGAAGCACATCAGTTTCATGTGTTTACTATGTTGAGACATATTTACCTGTCGTGTCGACTCTTTAACCTCTCTCTCTCTCTAACCCATAATCAATGTATGAACCCTATTCGTCACGGCACGCCACGACACGTTACTATGTTTCTGCCTTTAAAATTGGGTAGTGTAATAGATGTTTGTCCTTACAGTCCTTATCTGTCACTTTTTCGATTTGTAAATATTTTTATTTAGAGGGTTATGAACAATATAAATAAAGCGACGATTTTATTTTTTTCTTGATGGCTCCTTTAATACAAATACTAATTCCAATTTTACCCGAACCTTATGAACTATTTTACTTTAAAGGTCTTGTTACATATTCAGCAAGAGAAATTATAATATATCTTACAGCATTTTCCCCAATAAAGTTTATAATCCCGAGGAAGTATTGTGAAAATGATATTATATACGGGTACTTTGATAAAATTCCTGAGAAATCTAATAAAAGGGCGTCCAGAAAACATGATAATTTAGTCATCTTTAATCACAATACTAGACCTGATATAAAGGAATTGATTTTATATGGCAAGGAAGTTAATTCTACGGATTGTAGAGTGATACTTTATGATTATGAAAAAATTGTGAATTCCGAGGTTAAATGGGAATTTGACGATGTTTTCTTAAAATTACAAAATCTACTTAAAAATGAATTAAATCAGATAAATTATAAGTCCACTGAACCACTGCTGCTTTGCCCATCATGGCTATCATCATCAATGGTTGCTCTACATATTATTAAATATGTTAACATCATCCATTGGGCAGTAATAACAATTAAGAGAAGTAAAAAAGTGAGTACCTATATTTCTGTATAATTTTTAGTTAAGAGAGAGAGAAAGATATAATTAAATAATTATTTCTATTTAGTACTTAATATTTGGAAAAATCTAATTCTGAACTTAAAAGCAGAATAGATTGGAAAGCAGCTTAATAAATTCATCTATAAACTTGCAAAAAACTTAATGACGGTGACATAGTTATGTCAATAAATGAAGCTAGTAAACTGATCATCATAGAAGAAATTAATCAAATCATTATATTGTATTTCAGATTTCGATAAAGCATGGAAATTTATTATTATCAATTATTATGGACATTTTATTAGGATATCTGGCATTAAGATGTCTAACATATGATAAAAGAGAACTGAGTGCAATTTTAATGGGTATGTTAGAGGTAAGTTTAAATCAAATTCACATTGAAGATATTAAAGTAATTTTTGTTATTAGCAGTATTGCTAACTGGATAGTAGCAATTCTGCTAATAACAAAAATTTCAGTTATGTAAGTGATATTAAAAGTATAACAATATATTATTGAAGATACTTTTAAAAAGAAAGAAATAAGTATTTGTTCTGCGAAATATGGTAATTTCCTACAAATTGTATCATAAAAATATTATTAAAAATCACATCTAAAATTAGTTAAAATTATATTGGTATGGAAATTACATCAAAGTTTGATTTTAATAGCTTGAATTAAGGTTTTCTTAAAAGTTATTCAAATCAAACTCATTCTTTTATTCTTTACCAAGTTAAGTGCCTCATTCAGGCATCATGATTCTCTAAACCTCATTTGGCAAACTAGTTGTTTATTATAATGAAAGGATATTCTGTAGTAAAATTTTGTTTATAAATAAACCTGTCAGCTATATGTTAAAAAAATATTAAAGAGATCACTTACATTTTCATTCACCTGATGATTATAGTGTTTACTTTAGTGATTGTTAAAAACTCTTTTTGTGTTTTCCAGAAACTCATAAATATGCTCTATTTCCTATTAAAGTGGTTAATGGGTGCACCCGCTGGACTAAAATTAAACAATGCATTCAATAAAATGCTTGGAAAATATTTCTCCTATCATGTTCAACTATGGTGGTTGTTTTTAGGTAACTTGTATCTATTGCAGGGATGGGCAAACTTTAAACTTATCAGAATTCATGGAGGGGCAAGCTTTTACTCACGCTGTACCAATTTGCCAATTAAATAAAAATATAGCTCAGTAACAAATGCCCCTCACCCTGCAGCTCAGCAGCAGTGCATAGGCAGGTGCCAGATTCGGCAGCTGGGTAAATGGTACATTTTGGTGAGAAACTTTGATTCTTGTTTGAGGGTCGCAGGCCGCATTTCAACCATTCGAGCGCTGGAAATGGCCGTAGTTTGCCTATCCCTGAACTATTAAATTTTTTACATGGATAATTGAACACTAGTCATAAATACTAATTCTGTATTGCAGATGTATCTGGTGACAAATTGGAAACAATTTTACATTTATACCATTACTTAGGATATTTAGGTTTCACTTTTCAAGCGGCACTAATATCAGATATGATTTGTGTAGTAACATTCCACTCATACTGCATTTACGTTTATGCTGCCAGGTTAAGTCAAAGTTAACTATAAACTATTATTCTATAAATGCATTATTATCGATAATATGTTCTGTTTGATATCTTTTTAGGATGTTTAATATACAAATATCAGGACTGATTGCTTTAATGCGGTTTTTTGTTGGGAGAAAATACAATCCTCTCAGAGGCACCATAGATTCATGTGAATATTCAAACCAAGAATTGTTTGTTGGCACAGTGGCTTTTACAATACTGTTGCTTTTGTTACCCACTACAGCAATGTATTACATTGTTTTCACATTGGTAAGTTCCTAAAGTTTCATGTTTAAATTTATTTTGTTGACATATCCAGATATACCTATGCGAAGCCACATCAGCACCTTTATCAATTATTTCTGCCAAAAATTATTGTTCAAGTATCCTGGAAAGACTTATTCAGTGCGAGGTCACAAGTCCTTGTGCAATCTTACAAACACTTTACCTGAACCGTTATCGCCTTTGCAATCGTTCCAAAATCACCTTGAAACTTAACTGTCACTGCAGCTAGCCGAGCACCTTTATATACGCTAATCAAAGCCTTCTAGATACATCCAGAATCCCCTCCTCTAGAATTAGTTAATCAAATCAAAATATAGGTCAGTAAGGAATGCCTTATATGGCTTTTGCCGCCCCCGCAGCAACTTGCAGCTGCCCGCTTTTGCCCCTAGGATAAAATAAAAAACGCCCCTGCGCACACGCAAGTAGCAAGCACAAGTTGTAAACAAGTGTCAGCTCTCATTGCACCTTCAACATTATGCGCCGCTCTGCTAAGGATTATATCCACAAGCACCACAACATTCGGTCTTTGTATTTAGGCACTTTCAGCCAACTTGATTCCTGATTCACCATGAACTTAAACCATTTCAAAACAATCAGGTATATTTTTGCTTAAATGTAGATATACCTGGAAACAAACTCGTTATTTTCTGAATATTTGACAAATTTTTTTCGCCTTACCCTCTAGTAGCACCCTACACAGGACTTACGATGTGGACTCGGACTAAAAGTCGTGGCCAATTGAAATTTTTATTTCTTGCTCTAGACATAAGTAAATCGCTCAGGTATGATGAGTTATTCACAAGATGCAAGGTGTTCCCCTTATCTTATTCTGCCGCGTTCGAGTAAATACCAAAATCCCCCTCTACTACTATCTTCGTGTCTAGATTTCAATTAACATTAGGCGGGGTAAACTTCATGTGATGTTTGCACTTTTTTCAGTTTCGAGTGCTGTCCCTATTGGTGCAGTATGCATTAGCAAAGTTAATTTACTTTCTTCACACTCTACCACTATATGTAGTGACTTTGTGGCTACTCCGTTCTCCAAAGGTAGCAGGTAAGGTACCGCTTTTTCCGAAATAGTAAAAGTTAGGTAGTTACATGTTGTACATTCTTACTTTTTATTAGGGTTCCGTAGACAAATGGCAAAAAACGGAACCTTTATAGATTCGTCATGTCCGTCCGTATGTCACAGCCACTTTTTTTCGAAACTATAAGAACTATACTGCTGAAACTTGGTAAGTAGATGTATTCTGTGAACCGCATTAAGGTTTAGGGGTTCCCCATACTTAGAAGTGAAACTGATTTTTTTTTTCATCAAACCCATACGTGTGAGTTATCTATGGATAGGTCTTCAAAAATGATATTGAGGTTCCTAATATATTTCTTTACTAAACTGAATAGTTTACGCGAGAGACACTTTCAAAGTGGTAAAATGTGTGCCCCCCCCCCCTGTAACTTCTAAAATAAGAGAATGATGAAACTAAAAAAATATATGATGTACAAATTACCATTCAAACTTCCACCGAAAATTGAATTGAATGAGATTTAGTAAGTAGTTTTTTTTACTACGTCATAAATCGTAAACCGCTTTTTACCTTTCATTCAATCAACTCAAATATATAATCATCATCATCAACAGCCTATCATAGTCCACTGCTGGACATAGGCCTCTCCAAATGCACGCCACTCAGATCGATCTTGGGCTACTCGCATCCAGCTCCTGCCAGCCGCCTTGCGCAAATCGTCACTCCATCGTGCCTGAGGACGTCCTACACTCCGTTTGCCTAGACGCGGTCTCCACTCCAGAACTCGTCTACCCCAACGGTTATCGGTTCTTCGGCAAATATGGCCAGCCCACTGCCACTTCAACTTGCTAATCCGGTGGGCTATGTCGATAACTCTGGTTCTCTGTCGGATTACCTCATTTCTGATGCGATCTTTCAGAGAAACGCCGAGCATAGCCCTTTCCATAGCGCGTTGAGCGACTTTGAACCTGTGGATCAGCCGTGCCGTCAGTGTCCACGTCTCGGCTCCGTATGTCATCACAGGTAGGACGCACTGATTGAAGACTTTCGTCTTTAGGCACTGTGGGATCGACGATGTCAGGACTTGACGTAGCTTCCCAAACGCTGCCCAACCTAGCTGAACTCTTCTATTCACCTCGTCCTCAAAGTTGTTTCTACCTAACTGCAATGTCTGCCCGAGGTATACATATTTTTGAACAACTTCGAGAACGGCACCGTGTATTGCAATCGGTTCCGGTAAAACATGTTCATTGAACATGACCTTGGTTTTATCCAAGTTCATCCGTAGGCCGATGCGTATAGAAGAGTCAGCCAGGTCATTCAGCATCTGTTGTAGGTCCTGCAGGGTTTCTGCCATGATGACGATGTCGTCTGCAAATCGCAAGTGAGAGATGCTTTCGCCATTTATGTTGATGCCATGTCGTTTCCAGTTCAGCGTCTTGAACATATCCTCCATTGCATTAGTGAACAATTTCGGGGAAATAACGTCCCCTTGCAACTCCACGATGCAACGGTATGGGACTTGTTTGCTGATTCTGTACTTGGACAGACATGGTGGCGGCTTCGTAGAGACATCTTATCACTTGGATGTATCGCCGGTCGACTTGGCAACGCTGCAGGGACTCCAGGACAGACCAGATTTCAATCGAGTCAAAGGCCTTCTCATAGTCCACAAATGCTAGGCACAGGGGCTGATTGTACTCCTCAGTCTTCTGTATAATCTGCCGCACTGTGTGTATGTGGTCTATGGTGCCGTATCCGCTCCGAAACCCAGCCTGTTCCGGTGGTTGGAAGTCATCAAATCTTCGCGCAAGACGGTTCGCGATCACTCTTGAGAACAGCTTATAGACGTGGCTTAGAAGGGATATGGGTCGATAGTTCTTAAGTAGGGTCTTGTCCGCCTTTTTAAAGAACGAGACGACCACACTCCTGCTCCACGCCTCCGGAGTTCTCCCTTCGAACAGGACAGTGTTAAAAAGCTTTTGGAGCTCCCTCAGTACGGGTTTACCTCCAGCCTTCAAGAGTTCTGTTGTAACACCATCCTCTCCTGGGGCTTTTCCATTTTTAAGCTGTCCAAGAGCAATCTCGATTTCGCCAATACTGACTTCTGGCAGGTCTTCGGTGAAGTGGCGTGTTAATGTGGCTCTAGAATCCTCATTTCCGGGATCAGGTCGAGATGCATGTGATGCGTATAACTGGCTGTAGAAGTCTTCCACTTCCGAAAGGACTGCCGGCTTTGAAGCAACAACTTCCCCACTTGCTGTGGTCAACTTCGTCAGATGGCTTCTTCCAAGAGATTGTACGAACACTTTGGACCCTCGATTCTGCTCGATCGCTCTCTCGATCGAGAGAGTATTGGAGCATCGGAGGTCGTGTCGTACGTGCTTACTGATCTCTTGGTTTAGAGTCCGCTTTGCCGACGAAGTGACGGGTGGGTTTTCACGTCGTTCCTTCATTAGCCCTAAAGTCTCTTCCGAAAGCTTTGACTTCCTGCCCTTACGCTGTGTTGCACATAATCTCGTACCCTCTTCCCTGAGGATCCGAACCACATTTTCGAGGTTTTGGTTTACGTCTGATGTGGTTTCCACGGCAGCAAATCGGTTCTCCAGATTTGACTGGAACGTTTCAGATCCTGTTATAGATTGGAGCAGAGAAGGTCGGAGCCTGGATTTCATCAAACGGACGCGCTCGGCCTTAAAGTTGATATTCAGAGAGCCCCGGACGAGTCGGTGATCACTACTGGTATTGAACCTATTGATCACAGAGACGTCTCTGAATATATACCTCTTGTCCGAAAAAAGAGTTCATCAAGAAGAGCCCCTGCTGTTCGAGGAAGTTGACGAGCATTTGCCCCCTATGATTTCTGCTTCCAAATCCATGGGATCCTACTACCGATTTGCTGCAATTCTGTACTCCCACTTTAGCGTTGAAGTCCCCCATAACAACGTTGTAGTGGGTCTTAGTAGTGGAGTGGAGGGCCCTCGATATATCATCGAACATATCCTCCACTTCGTCGTCCGAGTGTGTCGAGGTCGGTGCGTACACTTGCACCACCTTGAGGCTATACCTCTCGGTGAGCTTTATAATAAGGTACACTACCCTGTTCGACACGCTGGACATTTCCACAACGTTATCGGCAAGGGACTTATTTACCAAAAACCCAACGCCACCTTGGGACTGTTGGTCTCCCCCGCGGAAGTACATTAGGTGGCCCGATTCGAGGGTTATGGTGTCCTCCCCCTCTCTTCGGACTTCACTTAACCCTAAAATGTGCCACCTAATCTTTCCAAGTTCCACCTCGAGTTGCGCCAGATGCGAGTCAAGCCGTAGCGTGCGTCGGTTGTACGTCGCCAGGGTCAGTCTTTTGTGGTGGCCTCCCGTAGCCCGGAGATTCTTGGCACCCCCGGCCCCACCGTTACCGTGGTCGCCACCGTGACCAGGAATAGCGGGGCTGCCGGGAACTGGGGGCCGTGGCTTGAGTTTCTTGTTCATGAAGGTTTTGCCCATAATCGCCACGCTGGGCAGGCGGGTTGGCGATCGCAGAGCGTAGGTTTATTTACTGATGACGCTGCTGCCCGTCACCAGTGACATTTTCCTCCCCTACGTCATTTGGATGGTTATACCGCCATCGGTCGGTTTGCCAGAGCCTCGTCTGTTGGTCAACAGGATGCACCACGTGAAGGTGAGGTTGGCTTGGGTTCTTGCAGGTGTATTTAGAACCCCTTACACCCCAAATATATAAATAAAATAAAAAACATTTAATTTCATAAACATAAACCGTGAACCATTATTTTCTAATAATAAATCTGTAATAGGTCCTAAGCTAAGTATATAATAATTATAATTCGCGCGGGACGTGGCTTCATCGGTAGCGGGTGCAGAGCGCGGCGGGGGGCAGGTTTTATATTAATATGTAACTTGCTGCTTCTGAACCCTTCATGAGCGAGTCCGACTCGCGCTTGGCCGCTTTTTTAACCCTTTGATGGTGAAATAAATTCAAGTGCAAATTTTTAACGAACCGTGTGCACACCGACCCTCTTATATTAACAAGGAATAAGCTTAGACTAGTTACGCCGTGTTTTGTTCATGTCACTCAAATGCTATTTGTCATTCAATAGACAGAGACAAAACATAGAGTAACTAATCCAAGGGTAGTCTTCGTTTATAATAAGGGGGTGAAAGTCAGATTTTTAATCTCTAGACCATGGACTTATAAAAAAAGGCGGACAGAGTCCCGGTAAACAATAAACTGTGTCGCTCAAAGTCGGCCAGGTCGCTGTACGTACAAGCCGGCACGCACACATTCACACAATAGTCAGCCACTACGCGTGCAAACGTCAAAGCAGCCGACACGTTACGTGGAGATAAAAAATAAGCTAAACAAGATATCTTGTTGTTAAAAAGTGTAAAAACCGTAGTGACCGAAAGAAAAAAATCCAGGAATCACGTTTCATAGGTAAATGAATAATTGAATCACTTTTTTCTAGTTTTTAGAAATCGAAATCAATTTTAATTCTAAGGACAAAATGATTAGTCTAAAGCCCAGTGTTGCCAATGTTCATGTAACCATATTACCTAAAATATGGGAAATTGGGTTGACATTAACTTCAATCTATTATTTATTATTCTTTTTTATCAGATTTCCTAAAGAAAATGTAGTATGGAGAAATTACTGGAAAATGAATGATTTCCAAACAAATATGTAGTAGTGTCATTTTTAGTCTTCATTTTGAAGCTCAAGACTTATATACAACTAAAGGAGGACTCCGGCGTGTTATTACGTATGCATTACCTCAAAAGGTTGATTAAAATTTTTAATCGACTTCGAAAAGAAAGAGGTTCGCAATGCGTCATATTTGTTTTTTTTTATTGTTGTTCGCGCAGATCTCCGAGATTCGTGGACCGTTTATGAGGATTCTTTTTTTGTTTTAATCGGTTTACTAGCGACATGGCTGCATATTAATTTACTGGAGATCTGATGAGTACTTTCGGAGGAAAACAATGGAACTCCTCAATTACAAACAATACTCAATGGGTGTTAGTTTATTTTAAGAAATACGAAAGAGGATGCAGGCCAGGCCATGTATATTTAGTTGATTTACCCAATATTGAGGAAATTCGATACATTCTAGAATTTCTAATGAGTCCCGACTGTTAAAGTAACTGTTCCTTATTAAACAGAATTCTAGACTACTGGACTTGTTTTTTTCTTTTTAGTACATTTTTTTTTATTTTTGACATTATAATTTCATTCTTTTTTAATTACACGAGTTATATATTTTCTAAATATTCTTTTAAAACCCTTCGCTTTGATACCTCGCTTGACGGGTTATAAAAATACTTATACTTTTTTTTTTCAAAATGTTTCATTTTGGCGCATAAAATCTGTTATTTTGATTTTTTGAAATTTTAATATACCGAGTGCTACTCAGACAATCACGACAAATCAAATGACACCTCGCATGTCAAAATCCGTCATCCGACCGCTGTAGGGTGTGCCAAATTATTGGAAATACATGCATACATACGCTCGAAAAACATTATCCTCGGCAGTCGGGCAAAAAGTAAAATTTTGAACAATCAAAATATTTTCATGTTTTTACTGTATTTTATTGGTAAAGAATTGGCTAACCTAGCAACCCTAAAGTTCACTCACTCATCAATAGCCGCCGCCATTACGGTGCCTCAGTATTGTCTTAGCCGAAACTCTGTCCGCCTTTTTTTATACGTCCATGCTCTAGACAAATATGACCAGTGGCGGCGCTAGGCGTCGGCGATGTCGGCCACCGCCGACGGCCTCGCGCTTGAGGGGGCCTCGCAAAAAATTTTTACAAGTTACTTATTTATTTTCGTTTCTCCTGGCCTGGCTTAGGTAGCCGACCCCGAACAATTCGGGGAAAAAGCTAAGCAGATGATATGACTTTTATTATTTTCAAACACGTGCGTAATGGAAGCGAGAAATACTTTACGGGTATTCAGAATCGTCTGTCTGGCAACACTATGAAATGAAAGTTTTGCACAAATGAGCGTTTTCACTGCCCGACCCGACACGATATTCTGTACTGGGTGAAAATGTTTGTATTGTCATTTATCATATTTACTTATTGCATTCATGGGTTTACACAGATCTTAAATTATACGTGCGTTTACACGTATAGCAAACATACAAACATAATGTGTGTGTGTGCTCTTCATTATGAGCGTCCGATACCGATATCGTGTCGGTCAGGTAGTATGAAAACGCTCAATTGCGCGCATGAAAATCCGGACGGGGAATCACCGAGTTGTTTGAAAAAAATCAGTGAGGCTAAAAGCCGAAAAGTTCGACTATTTTAATTTCTATGTTTGTAATTATTTTTTGTCATCATTTGATTATCAACAATAAAACTCGTTTACACATACGTTATTTTATAATTTGGCTCACTTAATTTAACGCTTTTTTACTGCAAAGTAAAATAGGTCTCGCGAACTTGATGTCGCCGACGTCCACATGATTGTGGTCTAGCGCCGCCACTGAATATGACATTATAGCTCGCGGTACGTAACTCTAGTGCTGAACAAAACGCGGAGGGGATAGCTGCGCATGGGTACGACCGGAGAGCTAATCGGCACAACGCACGCCCGCCCGCGCACCCCGTTTCCCTCCAGGACATCGTAATCTTCTGCGCAATAACGGTCAGCGCTAGTTCCAGATTAGGGTTACCACCCGTCCGGATATGCCCGGACTTTACAATAGTCCGGATTTTATAAATTACTTTGAATATAAATAATAAAAGCACATATTGATTTAAATATCATACCATTGTAACTATGTGAGTAATGGTACCATTTTGTGACTAAAATAACCGGACTTTTTTCGAAATGTCAGGACGTAAAAACTTTATGGCCACAAAAAAGTTTATTGAATTCGAATTTCGAATTGTCCATGAAAATAAAAATGTATACTTGTTAGAATTTTACTCATTTTTAAATATGGAGTGGACGCTTAAAGAAGACCGTGTTGCAGCTATTGCGTAGCATCGTTGTGGTTACGCGCCAATTAAAATTTTTGACATGGTTCTGAAAATTTTGAATATAACCAAAAGATTCGTTTATCGTACCATCAAACGATACAATGAAGACTCTAGTGTAGATGACAGGTCAAGAAGTGGTCGCCCTCGGTCTGTTAGGACTCCAGCAGTGATTAAAGCTGTGAAGGCGCGAATTCAAAGAAATCCCAAACGTAAGTAGAAACTGTTGGCCCTTCAGATGGGGTTTAGCAGAACCACGGTGAAAAGGGTATTAAATGAAGACTTAGGGCTTCGGGCATATCGAAGAAAAACAGGACATCGTTTGAATGCTCGTCTAATGGACCTGAGACTGAAGAGATGCCGCGCTTTGTTAAAGCGGTACGCGGGAAAAAAATATTGGAAAATTCTTTTTTAGGATGAAAAAATTTTTACCGTAGAAGAGAGCTACAACAAACAAAATGATAAGGTGTACGCACACAGTAGTTAAGAAGCAAGCAACCGTATTCCGCGTGTCCAACGAGGTCATTTTCCATCCTCGCTCATGGTATGGTTGGGAGTATCTTATTGCAGCTTAACAGAGGTACATTTTTGTGAGAAAGGTGTAAAAACGAATGCAGTTGTGTATCAAAATACAGTCCTGACGAACCTTGTGGAACCTGTTTCTCATACCATGTTCAATAGCAGGCACTGGGTATTCCAACAAAATTCGGCGCCAGCTCATAGAGCGAAGAGCACACAAGACTAGCTGGCGGCGCGTGAAATCGACTTCATCCGGCACGAAGACTGGCCCTCCTCCTGTCCAGATTTGAGTCCGTTAGAATACAAGATATGGCAAGGCAGGCATTAAGGCAGCCGCCGATATTGACATGGTCCTCGTTCGTGCTGCGATAGACGACTGGCCGCGCAGATTGAAGGCCTGTATTCAAAATCACGGAGGTCATTTTGAATAAACTATTGTCATAAGAATCTATGTATTGTAAAGTTCATTTTGTTATATAAGTGGTTACATAATGAATAAACTTGTTTCAATTATTTTATATTAAACATGTGACAGAATTTATGACTTGACTTTACTCAGATGGCGGAAAGAGCGCGGGAGGCGCTCGTCAAGTCTCATCTTTCGTGACGCGTACCATACCATTAACCCCTCGTGGGTATTCCTCGATGCAGCAAGCGATCTATTTTGGCAGACAAAAAAGTCCGCTAACAAAAGTCCCTTGTCTGCGCACGCCATAATATGGAGTACGTTGATAAAGAGAACAGAATTGCTGTGATAACATTAAACAAAGTAGGTTTGATATGTCTGTCTACGACCATAAGTACATAGACCGCCATACTTATACAAGTGAGGCGGTAATACTTTGCAGTGGCGTACATTACGAACCTCTGACCGCCACGTCAATAAGTAAATTAGCATTTTAGATGAGTCCCACGTGCGAGTTTATATTGTTATTTATGATGTTAACCATGTAGGACCCCCTAATGTGTATTTGTTATTTTTCCAGGAAATGTCCTTTTGGAAGTGAGTGAATATAAGGTAGAGTCCAAATCAGCAATAAGATTGAAACTTTTTAATAAATCACTATTATTTTTAGTAAATAATTGTCGCCCACCAGTTGATAAGCCAAGAGAACTAGAGTGGGGCAGTGTACTGTCCAATGTATTTGTAGGAAAACAAATAGTGTAAATATACAATATAAAGGAAAACAATTTTTTTACTTCATTAAAATTCTTCCCATTTTATTACTCACAAATAAAAAAAATATTTGGTCACCACACTTGTGAATGTATAAATGCTTAATTAACTACTAGTTAAACCAATTTCAGCAACTGGGCAAAGAAAATTTATTAATACATATTATAATTATTTTAATCCATTAAAAGATAATTATACTTAAGTTGTCACTAAGAAATAAAATGATCACAAGAAATTTCGTAGGATTTTAGAGGTGGAGTCTACTTTGCAACGCAGAGCTATTAATGTTTTATTATTATTATGCATATCAGCGGATGGCATAAACTTCATTTCGCAGAAAATCATTAGGCAATTACTCATTTAGCAGACGTTCAACATAATTTTGATGGCCAGAATCATCTTTAGGCATAAATTTAATATATCCACAATAATTAAAAAGCAGAACCATCACATCCATAGAGGTATAAGAATAGAGTGGGGAAGGTGGCTCTAAAAGTGTCCGTCTAGAAGAAAGAGAAAGAAGATGAGAGACTGCTAGCTATCTCTCTCTCTTGTGACGCATGGCATCCAATGGCATCACATCGAAATATGTAGTAAGATGCTTACGGTTGCTTATGCGCATGCGCGATTAGAGAGAGAAAGCTAGCCGTCTCTCATCTTCTTTCTCTTTCTATCAGAGGGACACTGCCACTTGGTGTAGTCTATATCTCCCCTACCCTATTCTTATACCTCTATGATCACATCGCAGAAAGTCCACAGTCAGAATCGTCTTTAGGCATAAAAAACTTAACTTTTCCTTGTGTATTTATCTATTATCTATGGTGACTGTCTAAGATTAGGTCACAGCACTAACCTAACCCACTGACCACAAATACCGATTATGCTTAATGTTTATGTAGAGTAAATTTCTGCAATCTTAAAAGTATGCTATTGTGAATTTAGACATAAAAACATTCGGCCAATGAATGATTATAGGCACTTGATAAAAATATGCCTTACAAATATTAATTTAAGAATATTATTCCAAGTGTTATGCCAAATGAATTTCGGAACAAGATTTTTCCAGATAGAGGGAACCTGTTAGAGGTGGTCATACATATAAAGACGTTATTTATAAAAGACTGAAAGCTTAAACGCCGATTTTTGATTAAAAAAGTGTACGTCAACTTAGCTGCACCATTTAACTTTAAATGCATTTGTTTATGTATTCATTTAGTACCGACATTGCATCTCTAGTTTGAAAATCGGGACTGTCGTTCTCGTATATCCGTAAATAGAAAAATATGACTAGCAGCGCCACTCTATATATCGGAACCGGAGTACTTATTAGTAAAAAAATTGTTAGAACTATAAATTTGCACTAACTGCAATTTGGCAGTTTTAAAGTGCTAATTGCTAGGTAGCAGTAAACTTCTTGAGCAAAATCACAGACAAATAAACTTGTGCAGTAGACGTTTTTGTACGTTGTACTGCTACTGCATAAGCTTCCTTGTCTATGGTCGTTCTTCAAGAAGTTTTCTAGTAGTTCCTGCTTTACAAGCTAAACTCTTAACGCTTTTTCATATCAATGGTAGTCGCAATGAATTATATTTTTGGCTCAAAATTTTAGCTGAACCATAATAGTTAGATTAAATAAAGTATTATGGTTGTTTTTAAAAGTATACCTTGTAAATGATAAATAAAATTATGTATATTTATATTAATGATTTATCTAAGTACTTAAAGATATCTAATTTATGGATTTCATTAAAAAAATACTTATGTATTTGTACCGGGTCCATACTCCAAGAACTCTGTATCAAACAACACTGATGCAGTCACGTATACTTAAGTTCTTTGGGCATGTCTCTAGGCGAAACTACGACACCATAGAACGCCTTTTGATTCAAGGTAAAGTGGAAGGTAGATCTCGTGGCATTCACCCATGAGATGGGCTGACCAAATCAAGTCTACAATCGGAGGCCTTATTAATGAATGCACCCGGCAGTCCACAAATAGAACACGGTGGCGAGACGTCGTAAGGCAAGCTACATCTGCTCCCTCTCCAGATGACTCATCATAATCACGACCACTCTGACAAGAGTGAACCGAACGAGAAGAAGATTTGCACCGGCCATAAAACATTGTTTCTGTGTATTATATAGTATGTTAATAATTGAAAAAACTTTTTTTTACTAGTAGGTACTCCAGCCAGGTGCAAACATAACAGGATGGCGTTGCTGGGACTTCACGATATCATATTTATATTATCGTTCGTAAAAATATAAGTAATTGGTTATGGATTTTGAGATACAGCGGTGACTGATCTGATATTAACTCCATTCTATTCCTATTAGAGATAACAAGTCAGAGACCTATAGAACAAAGTAGAACAGTGGCAAAACGCTAACAAAATTGTAGCGATTAGAGGTTATGGCGCTCCTGTGACGACGCACACTAGATATTGGAACTTAATAAACATACAAGTAATGATGATGACTATATATTATTAACAATAAAGTTTGAATTTTGATGTGCGAAGCTAAGAGTGGACTACATTACATATACCTACCTCTAGACAGCAGACAGGTTATAAACATCACAGTTGTAAAATACCTAACAATATTCAGGGTTTTTGCTAGAACAGTGTCGGCTACAATATAAAATGCCGACATTTCATATGGCTATTCGTGTTTGCTATTTGTAAACTTGACAATAGTCTGTCATTATCACGCTTTATATGGAGTGAAAATGACAGACTGATGTCAAGTTTACAAATAGCAAACACGAATGGCCAGGTTAAATGTCGGCATGATAGAGGACGCAAGTCAATATTGTCGCACTCTGGAAAAGAAAGATGCACAATACTGTGCCAATAAAACACAAACATTTAATATTTTTTACATTCCTTAATATTAACTTTATATGTAGTTTTCTTAACGTGCATTTTGTCAGCCGCACACGTGCATTAAAGATTCTGGAGGATGTGCCAAAGTCGGTCCATCTTTTGTTAGTTTTTTCTTTAAATCAATTCTGACAAATATCATACTTTTGCTGTGCGATAATAATCTAATTCTAGAAAGGTATGAATAATTGTACACCTATACATTATTCGACAAGCTATGTATCCTTCATTTAAGACGAATTAAGACACTAGAGGCATAATAAAAAAAAAGTATTGACATTGCGTTTAGTTATAGATAGTATCTCTAAGTAGTCTGTGCTCAGATATGAATATGACAGACCCTTGTAAACCTGTACCCGATAATTCCAAGCTGTATGCAACTAATTTATAAGAAGATTGTCATTTTCAGAACTAAAGATACTTTTTGAATATATAAAAAACAAGATTTCTAACGGCCGATCCCAATATTCAATCTGTAATCTTAAATAAAAACCTATCATAGATTGTTCATGAACTATGGATCGATCTGTAATCTTCGTTTCAATAACAGGCAGGTTTACAAGCCGCCATGGACAACCATTTATCCATTCCTCCCAATGACGTATAACATAACTATAAAACATCATAGATTCCTTCACAAAAGCCCGATTCTCTAAACTTGATAACATTCTCTCCTTTTCATTTAGTATAGAGTATGATAAGGATACACTCTTGACAAAATTTAATTTAGCTTTAGAATCATGCCAGAGTTGGGCCCAATGTGATGTCTCAGGGCGACCATAGTGACTTATCATATCATTGTATCGATTCTTGCATGATTCTTTAAACTTAAAACTAAATTTAACATCAGTATTTCCTTTTCATTCTGTATGGCGAATGACAAAGATACACTGTTGTCAGATTTAAGTTTAGATTTAGAGAATCATGCCAGAATCGACACCATTGTTATTCCATTGTCAATTTATAAATAGTGAATAAATTAATTACAATAATTAATTAATTTATACACAAACTATTTTAATATTCGACATAAATATTTGCGCTTCGCTTTATCCCTCATTAACTAGTATCTCCAAATCTCTATCGCTATCGTTGAGCATAATTCCTCTTCAAACCAGTGCTAAATATTATTACAATATGCACACAATATGTATGTATGTAATCCATCGAAAACAATGAGTAGAAAAAAAAATCATACAAAATCAATATCAATCTCTAACTGCGGATCGGTCCTCCCACGGATAGTTTACATTAACAGATTAAAGATTCAAACCAAAGTTTGATTATTGAAACGTTTTTAGCAATCCAAAGATTAAAAATTCAATCCAAGATTTGAATTTTAGTATTAAGATTGAATATTGGGATCGGCCGTAACTGAACAACTCAAATTAAACCACCTTATAAAACGATTCTATATTACAAGGCAAGATTCAAAATTTAAGAGATTAGTTGCGTGTTATTTAATTAATGTGATCTATCTTAAAGTACGGGATAAGTGTAATATTATGAGGAGAGCTGAAGAGTATTCGTAACTAATCGTTTCATGCTAATCAGAAAAAGCATACCATTTCACACAACTAAGCATTAATTGAGCCCAAAAAATAAATAATTATTGGTTTTCAGAAAGCCACGCTTTCGTTTTATTAGCTAGTCATTTACATATAAATGATGAATTCTGTGATAGTTACTGAATATAAATCAAATTAAAAAACACACGTACGACTAAGAACTTGTTGTTCGGTCACTATTTAGACATTTATCCCTTAAGCTTGATCTCTATGAAATTGATAAATCGAACGAAGTCGAATATCGCCTAAAAGTGACGGAGCACCAACTGCTTCGTCAGCATGTCATTGCTAATATAATAATTACATGACTATATACATTACATACAATAGTAGTACATTTTATAAAATGCATATATAAATATTAATTTCATTGCCATCATTAGACTATTACATTCTTAACAATCATACCACTTTATCTACTATATACATAGAGAAAAATTTCCAAAACATTTTCGTCCACCAAGAGACGCAACACAGCATAGTACACACTAAACTCTGGTCTGTTCCATTAACTCCGCACAAGGCATCTGAGAACTTGTAGAACGAGGACAAATATTTACTTGTTCGGTGAAATTAACGAGTTTATCACTTTTTAGATTTAAGACCGTACCCAGTGATGTCAAAAATGTTTCAAGTTTGGTTAAGTTGAGGCACTCACCACAAAGAGGGCATTGCGATGTGTATAATAAAACAATGCGTCCCATTGGCAAGCATAACATTTTCAATTTACGAACACCGACAGAAGGTTGCAGCCGTAAAACATATACCTAAGCACCGCGGTGTCAAATATCATCAGAATGTTGTTTACGTACACTGTGACGATCCGTCAAACTGTATGACCTGACTTCCTTAAAAATGTAGCATTTTATAACTTCATAAAGCTTTAAGTTGAGATATTTTATATAATTGATTGAAGAGCAAACATCAATACTCATGGAAATTAATTTGTCCCAAGCCCTAAATATAATAATCTATATAAATATCAGATGTTATATAAATATACCAATAATTTCAACTATGTAGTTACATTATATTTCATAAAAATGTTAAGACTCATTTATAACGAAATTAAAAATCTTTACTGCATATTAGTAAATATTTTCTAAATCTGTTTTCAATTAGCTTAAACTTGCTTTACATTTAATAGCTTAATAATAATATAGCTTTCATAGTTAGGACGATTTAGTGAGCTCGATTCCGATTATAATCTATTTATAGAAAACGACATTTTTCTGTTTATGTGTAGATAGCAAATGAATAAATAAATAAATTCTAAACTTAATCCTCCTTATTAATAAACAAGGAATAAGCTTACACTAAGTAGTTGCGCCGTGTTTTGTACATGTCAGTCAAATGCCATTTATCATCCAAAAGACAGAGACAAAACATGGAGTAACTAATCAATGCGTAGTCTTCGTTTATTAATAAGGGGGAATGGGTGTAATATGTTCCATCTTTTAAAGCCTGTGCTTTAAAATATATTTTAAGAATTTATATGTTTTGACGCTCGTTGTCAAAGGCTTTTTAATGAACTATGTATAACCGGTTTGAAAGTTACAGTTTACTATTATTATTTATAACTTACATAAAAAAGAGATGCCAATTAAATAAGTATGTTAAACAGAATTGAGCCCAGTATGCTTTTCAACAAGGATACATATAATTAGTTAGTTACATTGATTAATCATACTCAAAGAGTATTGGCTAAGTGGTATAAGGCGTATCATTTTAGTCACAGAGAACACAATGTGCAAAGCTGACAGAAGGTATGTACCGCAACTCGCAGTGCTAGTCTTCGGTGGGCAGGCCAAAAAAGTTTATTAAATCCTTATTTTATAATCATCACAGACAATATAGTAAATTAGGATATAACGTGATATACCATCACAGTACATGTATAATGATTAGCGGGACAAAATACCACGAAGCATGTACGATATACGCCCAGTATGGTATTAGGCCTCATTTAAACCGCCGCGGAATGGAGTGGAAGCGAATTTTTGCAACGAAATTATGCATCATAAACTTTATGTTAATTGTATAGCATACAAACTGAATACGAGCCAAAAAATTCTTGAGAATATCCCTACTTTTTGGTTCGTACTCGTTCGTCTATACAATTGACATAAAGAACATAACGTTTTAGACAATTTTCGTTGCAAAAAATCGCTTCCATTCCATTTCACGGCACGGTATAAATTGAGCCTTATTATTCAAGCGAGAGCTGCCAATCACTGTGAAGTGAGAACGTCCTGATGTGACACTGCCGCGTGTTAGTTCTTCAGTACACACCTGTAGTCCTTATTCACCTCGGATCCCGGATTGGGTGAATGTTCTTTAGGTCTAACTGAACCACGACACGATGCTAATTTCGATTCCAAAGCCTACAATGAAGAAAATTACATAACATGAATGAAGTTGCAATTAGTAGGTGATGGGAAATTAATGTCGGATTACAACCGTCACCAATATACGAACAAACATACATGAATATATACTTAGTACAATAATAAGCCATGCATAGGTATAATATATATGATAATTCATTCATTCTAAATAGTGATAATGAACGTAGACTTAGACGTAGGTTATTTACCTACCTACCTAATTTATGACGGGAACGTAAAAGAATACTTATACGTATTTTTTTTCATTGATTGGAATGTAAAAAATGTTATTTGTAAACATGTAATAACAATATTACTTTTTTGGTAATCTATTTTAAAATTATGCGATGTTTGTTTTACAGTCTTTTCTAAATTTCATCAGTAGATTAAAATTATTATTTAGTCAAAGTTGATTTTGAATTGATGATTATATTGTTAAATTGTGGTTGTATGCTGGACTTACTATATAAACAGGACTGCTGACTGTTACTGATTGACAGGGCGTGATATACAGGGCGTCCCACGGCTACCTCACACGGAGGGAAAGTATATTAAATATTGAAGATAGGCTATTTTACTGAAAGAAAACATCATTTTTTTTAATAATAACTAGAACTGCATTCACGGATTTTTTTTCAAATCGACTGCTACAACTGGAAATCAGACTAGTGACATTTCGAAAAAAAAACACGACATATTTTATGATAACCATCCGTTTCGATGGTCATAAGGATTATTTTTTGTTAAAAAACATAGCGTTGTAAATGAAAGGAATGTCTTATTACGTGATAAAAATAATAAAGTGCTTAGAGAATAAAGTGATATACGAGTACAAACTGTAGTACGTATGCATTTATTTTTGAACTCACAGTTACAACGCGATTGGCTGAAATTTCTAAAAATAATAATTCGAAAATTGAACACATACATTTTCAAGCGTCTGTTCTTTTTTTTGTGAGTTTCATTTTCGTTTCTTTACAATTTTTAGTTAATTTACTTACAATGGCGTATCAAAATAAAATGGATTTAATGGAAGCTTACTTTATGAACCACAAAGTCATATTAGCTTTGCGGTGGTAACGCGAAAGATATCCTGATAGAGACGTACCTTCTCGATATGTGTTTAAAACGTTTAGTGGATACTTTAAGAAAGGAGATTGGTCAAATTGGCCTAAATGCAAATAAAATATTGCATTTAGGCCAATTTGATATACAGTAATTCTTGGCGTAATTTATACTTTATTTTACAGTCATTAGATTTTAACGGCCACCTTTAAATAATATATTAATTTTAAAAAAGGACTTTTATTTTTACCGGTTTGGAAAACATACGAATCATTTTTATTGGCTATGGGTGTAGTAACATTCACAAAGACTGATCGAGGTTGTTTATATAACATCAAAACAAATCCATTTTGTAAAGATTGATAAAATATTTTTTTTTTATTACACGGGTGGTATTAATATCCACAACTTTATTATCATTTTTACTACATGCAAATGTGCTAAGACAATTAATATAGATGGTAGGCGACATCATAAAGTCTATTGCCGTACATTTTTTGCCAAACACCTAAATAAACACATTATAAGGTGTGATACACTAAAAATCTAAAATATGGTTATAATAAAAACATAACAAAAATAATGAAGCTGCTGAAGATATGGCTGTATAACCTACAGCTCTTAGCTTTCTTTGATTAACGAGAGTTTAAAAATTCTCTCTAATCTGTGGCTCATTCACAATCATCACACAGTCTCTGTTCGTGTTTTTAAAAACATGCACATATCTGTTATTTTACATGCTCTATATACCTGAATCTAATACATAATATCGGTAGGTACTTGGCTTGATTGCCCTATTTTCCTATATAAGTTATTAGGTTTTTATTATTCTAATACCTATGTGCCCATTTGCAAACATAACCTCAAAATCATTCAGTGTATATGGTTTATAGAAGTTCTCAAGAGTGGCCGTCGATAATATTCGTTTCTACGGTAATTTATATATAATTTCGAATGTAGGAAACAATTTTTCATGGTTATTGGTTTTTAGGCCAAACATGTATGGAAGCTGAGCAATCTCCTTTAGGACGTTTCGATATGCGCTTACAGAAACCACAGCAGCGGATGATAAACGTCAACGATGATGAACTCAACATTTTAACTAACTTTGTGGCGTATCCGATTTTATATTAGTTTGTGTTAAATTTAAAATGCTATGTTATTTAGCAAAAAATAATTCTTGTGATTAACCCTTTCGATGGTTATCATTAAAGACGTCACGCGTTTTTTTTTTTCAAAATTTTACGAGTTTGATTCCCAGTTGTAGCAGGCGATTTATAGAAAAATCTGTGAATGCAGTTCTATTTATTATTAAAAATAAAATGATGCCTTCTTTCAGTAAAATATCCTATTTTCAATATTTAGTATACTTTCCCTTCGTGTGAGATAGCCGTGGGAAGCCCTGTATATACATATAGTACGGGGCTTTTATAAGTTTCTAATAGGATGACATAACTTTTTTTTATACTAATATAATAAAAAGGACAATACTAAAAAAGACAATCCCGACAGAAACGACATATGTCTCAGATTTTTAATATTAATAAAAGTAAAAATACTATATACAGGCGGCATCATCAAAATCGATGGCTAAATGAGAGAAACTGCTATTTTTATTTGGAAGGATGAAAAATAATAAGCCCGACAGAAACGAAATATGTTTTAGATTTTTAGTATTATTAAACCAAAAAAAATGTATATAGGTGGCATCACCGAAATCGATGATTAAATGAGTGAAAAAACTAAAGCCCGACAGAAATTAAAACTATCGCGGAAACTTTAATGTATTAAACAAGGATGATTTTCACAATATCTTATTTTTCATGGTTTACTGTCCTGGTTTTTATAGTACGTCCATGGTCAGTACAGCTTAAATTGAGGCGATGTCGCGGCGATCCGTTTCCTATGCGAGTAATATAATGGGCCGTGATAGCATAATGGTCAGTGCATTCGCCCGGATAGCGAAGGATGCGGGTTCGAGTCCCGTCCGCTGCCTGGTCCGCGTGGATTTTTTTCTAGTAAACTTTTCTTTACATTTAAACATCTAGCAGTTCAATGCTTAAAAAATAAATAAAATCATAACTATAATTGCTATTTCTTCTTTCAAATGTTTAATACTTGAAAAAGTATTCATTTGACATTGTGGGTTACCTACAATGCGAAGAGATGGCGCTACCTTGCAGCTTAAGGCTAGGAAAATTTCGACGCGGCTAATAGGGCCGTGGTAGCATAATGGTCAGTGCATTCGCCCGGATAGCAAAGTATGCGGGTTCGAGTCCCGTCCGCTACCTGGTCCGCGTGGATTTTTTTCTAGTAAACTTTTCTTTAGATTTAAACATCTAGCAGTTCAATGCTTAAAAAATAAATAAAATCAGAATTATTTTGATTTGGTAAATTGCTAATATTCTGGGTACTCTCCCCAGTCATTCGCAATCTGTTTACCAGAGCGGTGCGGCTAATCAACAGTAGAACGCGTTTTTTCTTACGCCACTCTTATAAACCTTCAAAGTCAAGTAGATTGTCTGACAACATGTTTGAAGAAAGAGTAGTGATGAAAACGAATATTAAGAAATAATCATAACTGTACATACATGATAACTGAAAGCAAATAAATATTTGATTTAAATGCCAATATTCCCTGTTTTATTTTTATTCATTAACCGACTAACGAATAAAATAATTTATTCGTCATTCGAATAATTTTCTTTTGAATAAAAGAAATTATTTATTATTCCTGAATAACGAAATAGCAATTTATTCATTCGTTATTCGTCATTCGAATAAATTTTGCCCAACTCTGCCGGGCGGTAGAAAAAGATGGCTGAGAAAACACATTTTAATATTTTCACGCTTCAAAAAATGTTAAACAAAATATACATCTGAGCAAAAGAAAATAAACAGTTTATAATATTAAAAGATGCTTATCTAAAAATTTGTACTATGCTATCCACTCAATCACTACATAAATTCAACATGGCTACAATACATTCTGTAATGTACAAAAAAAAACACACAATAGTATAAAGCCCAATACACATCAAACTCGCCTTCGTGTCGTATTCCACTAACATAGCGTAATAAAATCTACAGTAAGGAATCTTTTGTCTACACTGAGCAACGATTAGGGTGTCGATTCTGCTACGCTAACGTTAAAATCATGTCTCAATGCTGGTGGTGGTATCGATTTTTACACTGTTCTTGTTACTAAAATATAAAATAAAAAAATGGGTGCGTGTACTTATGTAGGCGCGTGAGAAGTTATCCTTCTTTGGCATCGTTTAAAATTAGTTTTTAATTGCATGCAAATAATTAATTACAATAAATTAATAAAAAGTCTGGAAAAGGACACAGTCAATAAAGTTCAGTTTTAATTTGAAAAAATAAATAAATAATCAAAATATTCAATTAAAATCGCTATTGAATATAATTTATTAGAACATATGTGATTTGCACTAGTATGAAACTCAAACACGTATTCCGAATATACAAACTAGAAACATGTGGATAAATATTATAAACATAAATACCTATAACTGTTACTTTATTACAAAAAATAAAGATGTGGTTTTTGGTTCTACTACACCAATGGTCATGAGATGGCGCTGTAGTCTCCTGAATCACGCTTTGGTTCCGTTGTTCCAGATTAATAAATACTTTTGATAGGCCTTCACAATGCAGTCGTTAGCACCCACTAAATAGAGATTCTATTTTGTTGGTAGATTTTCTTAATGTGCGGTAAACACAAAAGTAACGCATGAAGTTGGTGGCTAAAGCGACCAACTTCATGCTGTTAAAATTTTGTGTTACAGTGATGCGCGCGCATCTTAAAATTTCACTCTCATCATTTTTTCATAACGCGCCTAAAGAAGTATAACTTCAAAAATGAGTAAGCAGTTGTATTTGTAACTTTGTTTTAGTAACAGTTACTATGTCAAAAATCAATACTACTGAGGGGCCATTTACCTACACACGATTATTACTTTAACGTAGCAGAATCGCCACCCAGGTACGGTGAACAGACATTGAACTAAACTCGCATGAAATATGTCTAGAATGAGAGAAAAAAAAACACAGCCAATATACACACATACAACACAGTATTCGGGCTAACAACCAAGTGTAAAACATCAGTTTTCCGACGCGGCAACACTGAAGCTGTAAAATGTTGCCGACATAAGTCGACGGGTTTGGTGTGTATTACACTTTACGCGGATTTGTTGTTTAATATACCTAGAATTTGGGTTTTGTTTACAGGTACACAATTCTATCTCGAAAGACTTTTACCGAGAAAGCACCTCTGAATATTATACATTTATAAAATTAGTATCTAAAATGGCATCATATTTTATATTTCATTAATAACTATGTCAAAATACATGTTTTGACTTAGACTGATCTTGTCCTTTTCTCAAAGATGCCAAGGTAAGGAGGTTTTCTATTCCTTCACGAGACCTTACAGCAAAAGATCGTCTCAATTTTCCATTTTCGACTTGGACAGATCTTATGAATGGCACTTCAGATGACCTTTGGGGTGAGTGTGGTTTATTCATAGATGCAGCTTTCTCTGGGTCAGAGATTTGACGGTTAAGATTCCTATATTGTAAATGATCATTATTGGAATTAATTTCAATGAATTCCTTTTCCTTAGAGCTGGTTTCTTCTGATGTAGGAATATGTTCGTGAGCAGCAGTAGCAGTAGTTTCATGACACGAACATTTGACCTTACCACAATCACGGCAAAGAAATCTTTCAAGCTGTAAGCAATAAATGACATGCATACTACACACACAATAACCATGCAGTAGTGAAATTATAACTACAAAACTTATTTACACCAGCTAAATAAATGTACTTACACAGGGAAGATAAATAAAAATAATATAAAATACATAAAATATATTATACAAATACATAATAACAACTATAAGAATAAATATATAGCCACTAATATAATATAAAATCTAAAAACAAAAAAATAATACTAAATTGTAATTTTACATTATGTATGGTATATGGATTCTATTTTAGCCCTAACAAATAATAACATTAGAAAATAATAAAAGACCTATAACAACAATTGCTTGAAATACTACATAGAAAATTTGCGTTCGACTTACCCCCACTTTGCGAAGAAGATCGCCAACTATATTTATTGCAGATACTCGAGCAGATGGTGTCATTGCATTGCCATTTATTTCACCTGTCAATTCACAAATATAAATGAAAATTGTGGGGAAAAATGTAATGCACATATTTGAAGTTATTTCTATGATGCTTTTGGGAAAATTTATAAGTGAATTTTAAAATACAATTGGAAACGAACTCCGGCACAATGGCGTGACATTTTTAACCCTTACCAAGACCACGGTAATATTATCTATACAGTATTGTGACTGGGCCCTGTCCTTGAAATAACTACCTACGGCCGAGCGGGGCGTATCCACGCGGTAGGGCTACCCGCCTACAGTATTTTAATTTCATCTACATAATTGAGTTTCTTTCTAGTTCTGTAATTGTAAATATTTTATTTTGACGTTATAAGTTGATAGTAAAACTCAAAGATTTTATTTTTATTAGCATTTAATTTTCATTTTTATTTCATATAAATTTAATGGAGCAACAGAGCTTAACTCGCATTCGTTATCTCCTTTTATTAGTCCTTTTATTTGATCCCCATATTGTATGAGTGCAAGGAAAATAACTAGTCCGCCATCTTGGGTGTTCCGCCATGTCGGATTTAGAGTGAAGTCACTTTATATTTCGAGCTAATCTACGCAAGCCCTTTAATTTGATACCTATATCGTAAGAATGCATTAAAAATAACTATTCCGACATGTTGGATTTAGAATGACGTCACACAGCTAACTATGCTTTTTGATCAAAATGTGTATATACAAAATTTCAGCTCAACCTGTTGAAGATATCTGCATCAAAATTGAGTTGCAAGATTCCACCCGAACAAACATAGTTACATACCTACCTATATTACAAGTTAATTGTTTAAAAAAAACAAATGACTGCTGATATTTATTCTTACATAATTCAATAAAAGAATATTATTTTAAACACACAAGTTATATTTATTTGTAAGTCATGGCGCAGTCGGGTAAAAAGGAAATTACCTACAATGTAAGTAAATCTTATTAGGTAGGTACTGTAGGGATTGTTTCATGCAAACTAATTATTGTCATTGAAACACTATTATTTCCAAGAAATTACATTATTATTATCAATAAACAAAATACTGTTTTTTAAAATCCGCACAAATCTCCCTATTTTATTATTTTCCAGCTATTAATTCCTGTCAACAATCCGTCTCTTTTCCAAATTAACTAATAACCTGCCAGTGTTCACCAAAAATATCCGATCACTACAATACCTACCATTTATTACTCTCGTAAATTATTTCATAATGATATTTCATTTAATTCAATAATGTATGTAGTTTAGTAAGTAGATAGTCTAGTCTAGAAAACTACCTACCTATTATGTAGTTTTGTTTTTAACGCGAGTGTAGCTAGATTACTCGTTGATCTCTTTTTTCACCCTTTCCACTTATTTATATATTACTAGCTGTTACCCGCGGCTACGCTCGCGTGGTTTTCCTATTTGAGGCTATCATCCTCTTTTGACATAGTGAGTAAAAAAGTAGCTTATAGCAACCCAAAGCTTCAACCTATTAGTGCAGTCATTGAAGCGAAAAATACGGTCTTACCTCCGAATTTTTTTACTGTGAACCGTTTTGCATGAAATTTTGGAATTAGGCTCACCTTACCCTTAACTTCAAAAGTGAAAATGATCTGAACTCCGCCTATTATTTTTAAGGGGTGTAAACCACCCCTTAATGGAAAAATTGACATTGAGTCATTTCAGCAGGTAAGCAACAGCAAGCAGTAGGTAGCTACCTACCTTGATTGATTTTAAAGAAATACGATTTACCAAGGTACCATATCTGTTTTTGTTTTCCTTTGTGATTTGGTTTTGTTGTGCATTAAATGAATTAGGTAGGTATTTTGGTAGTTTCTTCGAATGTATAAAATTGACTCACTGTTAAAAATTATGGAAAAACACATAACATCGTGTACAGTAGCGTACTTAAATAGTACTGCTATGTGTTTAAAATAATTAAACCCTTTATTCTAATAATACTAATGCTTTTACATTTTGAAGTTTTATTACGTACTATCCATAGTAGTATTAGGTATTATTATGAGAGTGTTTGTTTTGTTTATCCTTCCTCGAAGCCTAAACCACTTTGAAATTTGGTAAGTATATATAGTGCAGTCATTGAAGCATTATTACTCCGAATTTTTTTACTGTGAACCGAATTGCATACAATTTTGGAATTAGGTTCATCTTACCCTTAACTTCAAAAGTGAAAATGATGGTTGCCACCCCTTCTGGGGGGTGATTTTTTTTTCAAAATAAGTATTGTAATAAATTTTAAGCAAAAACTCATCTATAAAGTTTTTCAAAAAATCCAATACTTTTCAAGTTATTGGCAATTGAAAATTCGAAATTTTTTCCCGTTTTTCATCGGTTTTTTGCAAATATCTCCAAAAATGTAAGTTTTATCGAAAATTTTATAAAGAACAAAATTGTAGCAGGTAAAACAATGAACAATTTGGTTTTTTTATAGAGTATTCTAAGTGCAATATTAAGCTAGATATCAAAGATCAAAGCCGTTTTTTATTTTGTCTGAAATTTAATCGATGTGGTCAATGCCATCTAGCGGCGAGCAGATGCATTGTATGCATTCTAATACAAAATCTTTTTATGTCATACCAAAGTATTTTTTTGTGATTTTTTCAATTTAGGGGTTGTTTGCAAGGGTTGTAAGATTTTCAAGGGGTTGAAAATGATTTTAATATGGGGTAATTATGTTAGAAAATACTTTACAATTTCATCACTTACTATTAGACATGTTTTCTAGCTATAAAATGGCTCAATGTCAATTTTTCCATTAAGGGGTTGTTTACACCCCTTAAAAATAATAGGCGGAGTTCAGATCATTTTCACTTTTGAAGTTAAGGGTAAGGTGAGCCTAATTCCAAAATTTCATGCAAAACGGTTCACAGTAAAACAATTCGGAGGTAAGACCGTATTTTTCGCTTCAATGACTGCACTAATAGGTTGAAGCTTTGGGTTGCTATAAGCTACTTTTTTACTCACTATGTCAAAAGAGGATGATAGCCTCAAATCGGAAAACCACGCGAGCGTAGCCGCGGGTAACAGCTAGTTAAAAACAATAAATATAAAAAAGTAATGTTCATGAATAGCGCCATCCGAAAAACCTCAGATTTTTAGTGCAAGTAAACTCGACTCGGGTAGCGACATCTCTTCAGTTTCACACACAACAGCTTGGTTTTCGAATTGTTATTCGAGTTGGTAGCGCCTACCTCTACTCAACATTCAGGATCATCTCCACTTGAAAATTATTGGATAATACTCGATTAAGGGACTAAAATAAATCATAACAGCTGTTTATTTAATATCTGTCTACTGTAAACAGCTGATTATTTAATATCTATTTGATGTTTATAAGATTTTCTGGTAAGATATTAGGACACTGAAGGAAGTGGTTTTTTTTTTACTTATATTGTTTTAATTAAAATATCTACCTACATGACGTTAAAATTAACAATAAATATTAAAAAGTCATGTTCATAAATAGCGCGATCTGAAAAACGCAATATCACAACTCACATTTTTAGCAATTAAAAATTCTCGATATTAAAGACGGGTGGTGCCATCTGATAAGTTACTCAGAAAATATTATTTCAAGAGAGACTACTCGGTTGAGTTGGTATTCGAGACGGTAGCGCCATCTCTATCTATAATCTCTCGAAAATGATATTTTTATATTATAAATTTGGAGTAGTATTTGCGAGATTTAATTTTAAAAATAAGATTTGAAAGAAATTGCGTAAAATTACCTCGATTTAATAAATGAAACACTAACACAAAATACTCGGTATTGAACACGAGTGGTGCCATCTCGTATTATTAAGTTAAGATAGCAACTTCCACATTTCAAACTTAATCTGTCTTCGTGACAGTAGCGCCATCTCTATCGGGACCAACCATGAAAATGATTAATTTAGTTGAAAATTATGTAAATTCGAATATATAAATTAAAAAAAAGTAGCCTATAGCAGGCTCATAAGTTCAAGCTATACATTTACCAAATTTCAACACAATCGGTTCAGCGGTTTAGGCGTGAAGAGAAGACAAACAAACAAACAAACAAACACACTTTCCCATTTATAATATTAGTATGGATTCCAGATATTCGGGCAAAACCCGATGGAAAAATCGAAATACCTAAATATTAAAAACAAATAACGTACTAGTAGATAGGTATATAAAAAAATATTCTTTAGTCTTACCTTTCCAATATTTCAGGTAATTTAAAAAATGATATCTTTGGGTGCGTTATTGAAGAGTTAAAGCAACCAAAAACAGCACAATATCGTCATTTGTTCTTTGCCATATTAAATTATGTAGGTATCTACTTCATTCAATCAAATATTTACAATACAAATCGCACGTTTAAGCACGGCTAACTGCATAAAAAACAATTCACACCGTTCGGTCGTCGCTGCGGCGCATTACCGTCTGGGTGTCCCCCGAGAGTCCCGCGAACTCGAGTGGCGTAGGTATGATTCGCTTTCCGACCGTTTGTATGAAGATAGAATACTGTATAAAATATTACCGTGCCAAGACAGAGTGTAGAAAACTTATCACTATATTTGAATAGGATATATATTATGTTATGTCCTAACGCATACAATCAGGTGCTGCTTTTTAATTCTTGGATAAAACATTTAAATATAAATCACTATTCCAACAAAAACAGATATAAACTAAACTGTCAAATTAAGTTAGTAAGTTCACATAATGTATCAGAAAAAAATACCCTTAATCAAACAGTAATAAATAATGATATTCACGTTTCTGTGGTGAAGAAATAGATGTTTGTGTTTCAATTTCAACATGAGTCCTGGCAGGGTTGTTAACAATTCCATTGTGTGGGACATCACTAGTTATGTCTTCTTTCTTATGGGGTGGAACAATTTCCATCACTTTTAGTTCCTGTTTCAGATCTGTAAGGAACAGACATACAATTTCTATACACCCACACACTACACACCTAGGTAAAAAAAAGCGCCTATCATAAAAATGTGTATGGATAAGTCCACAACAATATTTTAAATCAATCTCCTAAGAATATTTCACAATAACCATTTTAATGGGTTATTTTCTATGATGAATAAACTACTTGATCAACCAACTTTATTGGAGCGAGGCAAGGAATTACAGAGAAACATAAGTTGAAACAGCATAAATAAAATCTGTTAATAATAAAATAATTACAAGTTAAGATTCATAAAAATATAAAATAGAAACAGTCAGATATCTCCAACAGTTATTACAAAAACATTTAAAATGGTTATTACTACCATTTTAAATGTTTTATTATAACTGTTGGAGATATAGTAAAAACATGGTCAAGTAAGTTAAACTTCACTTAAAGAAAGAAATAAATAGTTATGTTTTAAGTTTAGCACCCACCAATCCGTACTGGGCCTGCGTGGTGGTTTATGGCCCAATCTCCCTATTCCATCCATAGGGAAGGCCTGTGCCCCAGCAGTGGGGACATTAATAGGCTGATGATGATGATTTTAAGTTTATTCTACTTTACTATGTTTTTTATATAATAAAGTTATAATAAAAAGTGATTATTTGATGGTACTGCAATACACTTTCTCTGAGGTTTTTAACCCTCTTTCTGCTGCTGTGTATGAAATACAGTCTGCTGATAGACAAATGGACAGACAGAAAGCAGAATTTTAATAAAATTGTTTTTTTTGAATCCTAAACATGAATGCAAAAATGTAGTTTCTATAATTTTGAATGAAATCAATTATTTATGAGAATTACTATACATAATAATTAGCAGTTAATATGATTAAAATGTTGTCCCCATAGTAAAAAAAATTACCTCTAGCTTCATCTGTAGCTCTCTGTAACTTGACCCTCAAATTTTCAATTTCATCTACTTCACTCTCTAAAACAGCATTCCTTTCATATGCTTGGTTTAGCAATGTCTCTATACATGATACTGATTCTGAAATAACTCTGAAAAAAAAAATACACAGGTTTAATATTTTTCATAAAAAATAATCATTTCGGTAAAGATTATTTTTTGACAAAAACCATAAGAATGGTGAAAACCGGGAATGGAATAAAATGATTACATACATTTGTAATTGGATTTCGTCAGAAGAATATACTTTTGAAATTAAATAAAAAGCTATAACAGCTTCAATCTAAAGAAAAGTTAACTATAAAAAATTCCACACGGATCAGGCAGCAGGCGGGATTAGAACCCCCACCCTTAGCTATCCAGACGAATGCACTGACCATTGTGCTGCCGCGGCCCTGAAGGCAGTGTCGAATTTTCTATAGCCTTAGGCTGCAAGGCAGCGCCATCTCTTTGCACTGTAGGTAACCCACAATGTCAAATGAAATACATTTATAAGTATTAAATATTTGAAAGAAGAAATTGCAATTATAGTTATCTTTTTATTTTTCCTTTATATTTAAATCTAATTAAACTTTTCTTTACATTTAAACATCAAGCAGTTAAATGCTTCAAATATAAAAACAGATCTATAACAGCTTATTCAAAGTTCTTAAAGTTTAAATTTTTCAATCACTTTGTAGTTTAATGCACATTAAAATCCATTTAAAACAGCAGCATTAGGACCTTTGAGTACAATGCCAGTTTCATGATTTATAATAGAATTAAAAGTATTTATATTCTGTTCATGACTTCTTTCATTAGCTTTTTTAATTGAGCCATTAAAAAAGACAAATATATGCTCTGTACACATATTTCAGCCCACTTAGTGATAAAAGTTCAATGGTATGTCGCAAAAATATATGTATGGTTGAGCAATAATAATATATTTTTATTAATACACAAAAAGATGGTAAATAAATCAGCTTCAAAACTGTGTAAAAACTTTTTGCTCAATGTAACTGTTTTAGCTGGAGACTATAAAGTTAATAAGTCAATAATAACTTAATAAGTTGACCGTTTGGCTGCTTGAGAGATTATAAATGGTTTACAATTCTTATTTACCCATGGATTAATTCAATAACAATAAACCTAGCACACAATGTACTTCTCAAGTTCTAATTGTCTAATTTGAGTTTGAGTAGGTTATAAAGGGAACATACCTTTGTCCTCTTTCCAAATCATCATTCTTTTGCTCTAATTCTCTAATATAAACACCTTGGTTTTCTTTCTCAATTTTCAATGTTTGTAGTTCATTTTCGAGAGCATTTGTTTCATGCTGACTTCTTTCTAATTTATTCTGAAATTAAATGTTGTTGATGAAGTGTTACTTTGTGAAATCTTTAAAACTATTTACAATAAACCAAAATTATTTACCCTTAGCATTTCAATTTCATTTTTAAGTCTTTGATTTTGATGATCTAAATCCCTATTTTGTTTTTCAACTTGTACTAATGATGCTTCCAATTCTTTTTCAAGTTGTGCAGAGTTTTCTGTGTATTCATCTAATTCTTGTTGAATGTCGTTCACTCTAAAACAACAAAGTGAGTCAGCGGTACACACGATTACATTTTTTGTGTTATTAGTACTTCTGCGAGTACATAAAAACAATTGTAAACTAAGAAGCTCTTACTTACTTTTGCTCATAATACTTTGCTTGTTTTTTCCAATATTCTAAAGTGTCGGATTCAGATTGTTTCGGAGATTCCATTTTTATACGACGAAGTTCAACTTTCAGTAAAATATATCCCAAGGATAATTTCTTCAACGGAACATTACCAGGTATAACGTGAATATTTGGAATTTAAGGAGTCACAGTACCAGACGATTTCAAGATATAATCGAAAGCTACTTTTTTAACCAAACACCGTTTTAGGTGGCCGTTAAAAACGTAGAAAATTATGACACAATTAAATACCATCAACTCAAAACAAGTCAGTCAATCAAATGCCAATTTTTAGAAAATGGCGACTACTTAAGGCCGTGCATTCACTGTTGTAAAAACGCAATAATAAAACGCGTTAATAGGGCAGCAAAAATAGGCGGATAGGTGCTCTTATTATACTACCCAATTTTAATAGACTCGGCTTACTGATCTCCCTAAAACGGCATTTACACTACCCAATTTTAAGGGCCCTATCGAAAGGGTGGACATGTCGGTAGCAATTATTACACCGCCCTATCAATTTGACCCTAACTCAGTCTGAAAGTAAAAGTCATTTCGATTGAACGTTGTCCTTATAGTCCTTGATGCATTCTGATATTTTTTTTATAAATTTCTCTAAATCCGTCGGTACTTTGCTCTGTCTTTAAAGGAAAATATGTAAATGATGATCAAATTTTCACACAAATAAACACAATTGGTAACCTACAGGTTAGATTAGGTTACCAGTTGTATTTTTTTCAGGATTTATCACTATTATTTCTGATTATATAAATAGCACATATTTATTTAAATTATTGTTAAATTCTTATTCAAATAGTTTTTGATTTCTTTTTGCCACAAAAATTATATATATGTCTAAATTAAAATTAAGCAACAAATCAAATAAGTAGCAAATCTTTCTTTTCATTAGATGCCATCACGCCACTACAAAAACGTCTTACTGCCTAACAGCTATTTCAATACCCGATCGTCAGGCCGTAGTCCCTTACGCCCTGACGATCGGGAGAAGGTAAGGGAGATCAGGTGGCGCCGATCGCCCTTAATCGAGTCCCTTACTCCCTAACTCATATTACATCACCCTTATGGTACGGCCACAGTGCACGCAGGTTCAGAATCGGATTCAGACTCAGAAAACAAGCGCGAGAAATAAACAGTGTAGTTTAAGCAGGATGGCCACAGTGGCAGCAGGCAACATGCTTAAACTGCACTGATTCTGAATCTGCGTGCACTGTGGCCGTACCCTTAGTCAAGGTAAGGGTCCGTTAAAAGTTAAAATAGTGCAGTCTTCTAGGAGCATTAAGGTAGGAACAAACTGTGCCCACGTACGCAACGTATGCAATGCAACGTGGAAGAAATGGTGTGCACACTTGGCCCACGTATACGACGTATATTGACATCAGACGCCGTTGTAATATCTTCAGGTGCACAATGTTTTCTGAGTCTAACAGTGAATTCGAGGACGATTTATTACGTTTGTTATTTTTAAATGTATATTTCCACGCAAAAAAAAAAAGAGTTAAGAGAAGATATTGGGTTCTTGAGATAAATAAAGAAAGAGAAAATGTTGGTGAATACCATACATTGTTGACGATTCTGGCAAGATTCTCTAAACCTAAACTTAAATTTGACAACAATGTATCCTTGTCATTCTCTATACAGAATGAAAAGGAGAGACTGATGTTAAATTTAGTTTTAAGTTTAGAGAACCATGCCAGAATCGATACCATTATTAAAGAAACTGGTATGTGATGAAGAGCGATTCTTTATGTACTTCCGCATGTCTAAAGTACAGTTTGAGGAGATTCATAGCATTATTGAATTATCGGTGTCTGACGCGCTGACGTAAGATCTAGAAACTCACTAGTCGTACGAGTGTTACCAACCCTTACGAAAATTTTCTCCTTAGTATTTTATAAATTCCCCTAAAATCCCCTAAATATAGATTTTTTATGTACCTACTTATTACCTAAATTCTTTCGTTGCTCATGAATTAAAACTTTACATATTGAGTTACAATAAATTATTTTATTGAATAAATACAGTTTCCGAAAGGAAAATCAAACGAAAATGAGCTGACAGCAGGCTGTTAGTTAAATTAGTGGAATAAAATCATTAGGTTTTTCAACAACCAATCACAGCAGTAGACATGTGATTTAATAGTGTGTCAGTTAATAAACAAGCGTTTATTAGTTTCACCTGTATATACGTTTGGGATCGAATTTGATCCACTTTCCGGTGTCCGATTGAGCTGAAATTTTGCATGCATGTATAAATCGGATGACAATGCAATATTATTATGACATAGAGTTGATCTGATGATAGAGCTGGAAAGTGGCCATAGGAGCTCCGTAATTAAACGACGCAATCCCATCGAGTTTGGGCTCGTTGGAATCCTTATCTTGGTTGCCTTGAATATGCAACTCCGACAAATTTGGAAAAAAAGTTCGTTCCGTTTGTTATGAATGTGGATATTGTCCGAAGTTTTGTTAAAAGCCCCTAAAAACCCCCCAAAAAATTCTAGCCCCTAAAAAAGTCCCTTTTAACATTTCTAGCCCCTAAATCTGGGGGCAAAACCCCTAAGTTGGGAACCGTGAGTCGTACGCGTGGGATAGCGTATGATTATCCCCTCCCTGTTCCCACGCCGATCTGGCGCGACTAGGGACACGATATCGAATAGAAAGTATCGATACTGTACTCATGAGTAGCATCAGAAAAAAAGTATCGTACTCGTAAAAGTATTGAAACAAAAGTATCGACTTACTATACTTATATACTTCTAAGTATCGAGTACATTTCATAGGGCCTGATATCGGCTCCACTGTGGCTTGATGAGCAACCCCCCCCCCCCCCCCCCGGTGTTAAAATTGAAAGAAAAGCAATCAAATTTAACGCGACCGAAGCAGCAGGCGACCATTATAAACTCGAAAGTTTGTATGGATATATCCATATGTAAGTCGCGAGCAGAAGCTAGTATTCAAATACTGTTAAGATTTTTTTTATATGTACCAGCCTAGCGAACCACGCTCGTAGAATTCCTAAGTGTAGGTATATAACAAGATCACGTCAAATTTTCACTTAAGTACTTAGGTTTACAATACAAAGTACAATAATAATTAAAACACACCTCGTCGCCGCAGTAGGATGTTTCTTAAAAATGTTTATTCATGTTTGACGTATTCCCTGACGATTTAGGGTTTTGAAACAAATCTTGCATTTTACATCGTTGTTGTTAATCTTGACAAAATATTGCCGTAGTTCAGTCTTACTACGCGGCATTTCTCCAATAATTATGTTTCAAATAGGTATACACAGCACAGCCAGAATAATAAATCAAATACGGTCAAGCGAAAAGCACAATAAACAATCAATCATAGTGCGTATTATAGTGGTCGCTAAATAAATAAATTTGAAACAACAAAGCGCAAAATAAACACAGTCAGAAAGAATTTGAATGTGTCAGTTACTTACTGTCCTAATTCTATGGCGCCATCTATTCGTCTCAGGACACACTAGATTGCTTATGTTTTCAATTATATCAACGCAATGGAATGTTTTAGAAGGCTTGCTTTGATTCAACTAGATGGCTTTGCCATCAATATGAGGCGTTTATCCAAAATTTTAAAGGTATCGATACTTGCCAAAATGTACTCATTTACTAAAAGTATCGAATACAAAGTATCGGGTACAAAAGTATCGGTATCGAAAGGAAAAGTACTCGATACCACAATAGGCGCGACAGATCGACCGTTGCATGGGACGCATACGCATGTGACCATGTGACAGCGTTGCGTATGACAAGTGTGTTTCCAAGTCTTATGTTTTCATAAAAATTTCGTAGTTTAAATGTCATAATGCGTAGCATACGTTGCATACGTAGGCTCAGTTTGTCCCTAGCTTTAGACCTGCTCCCGTATATACCATACTTATCATGGCCTAAACATTTCGCAACACGTACAATTTATCCTCTTTCTAATGTCAGTGGCAAAATTGAATATTATTTGTGAACGTATCTGACACTACAATGTCAGTCAAAATTAGTATCTTTAATTAGTCTGTGATTGTTGTTCACAACAACAGGACAAAATGAGATTGGTAAAAACAAAGGAATACATTTTAACAGGATCTTTATTATGAATTTGTTTTTAAATCTTATTAGACTTTGTATACGCCAGAAGTGTAATCGTTTTTCAATTTGTTTGAAATGTCAAATTATCGATGAACGAACTCAGAATTGTAGTTGTTATTGACTGACGTGTAATGTTTCCAACGGCTTACACTGAAGATATCGCACAGGTCACGTCACTGAAGAAGAAACCAGGTGTTACTAGCGATGTGCATAACTCGGTTGAAAATACACAAATCGTCAAACACCAAAACAACAGGGAGCTAACACTCAATATGTTAGTTAAAGAAATGGTTTTCTGCATAGCTCTTGCACTGACAACTTATGGAGCTCTTCATAATTCGTAAGTTCCACCATATTTGGCTTTTGCCAACATAAAAAGCTGCAATTAAATAACATATATTTTTTTTTATTATTAAATCATATGATTTCTCTTAGGCCAACAAAAATTTCAAATCATCCTCAGGCTGTAAGATTTTTTGACTATGATTCTGTAGTCACAGATTGGTACAGAGGTCAGCTCAGTAAAGCCCTTACAGTCATCAATAGTGTGGATATATCGTTTGTCATGTATTATGCACCTTGGGATGCTGAGTCACAATATGTTCGGGGAGAGTTTGAAAAAGCTGCGTCAGTTTTAAGTAAAAGAGTAAGTTGTAGTTTCTTTCCTTATCGTTATTACAAATACTTTAGATTTTTTTGTTTTTGTATGTAAAAGCCAAGTTTAGATTTGCTGTCCGCTACTTGGTTGGTGACCCATCAAAATTTGTTAAGTTTCATCTCTGTTAGGGGGGTCCCTCTCTTGGCCAGAGTTGTTCCACCAGGACAGAGTTCCCTTTACTGCAGCTAATAAAAGCATCCTGCCAAACTCCTATAGCATAAGCTTACACATTTTTCCATTCTTATTTGATGTAAGCAATGATCCGTAACGATTTTAGTTGTGAATGCATATTTATAGAGCTAAGGATTCCATAAAATACAGTGGTAAAATTTTTATTCTATGACAAATATTGACAAAGTTATGCCTAAATTACTAAACTAAATTTTGGCTGGCTACATGGTGACTGTCACAGAGCTCTATCGCTCGGGCCTACGTACGCTCGCGCCGCTACGCTACTTAAGTTTGACCAGAGTTAACCACGATTAAGCTCTGTGATGTCACACGTTTTGGCCGCCGGTGAATATTGGCTACTATAAAATTATTTATAAAATCACAAGAAAGGAACCGATTTTGATAACCTAAAAAGCCTATTAGATCATTATACTGTTGACTTTGATTTGATTTGCTGACCTAGTAATGATCCTCATTGTTTGATAAAGTAAGCTCTGCTAATTTCATACAGATTATAAGGGTTAACTGATCTATGATCAAATTGAATTAACAGATTTTATTTTATAGGTACATTTTTCTGCAATCAACTGTTGGAATCCTGGCAGTGAATGTCGTTTACAACATAACAAAATACCATCATGGCCTATTTTGATGGCTTATACAGTCACATCAAGAGGTGTACTTTACAAAGGTAATTACAGATTAGGTGCTATTACTTAATGCATAATTATGTCAATCAAGTAAATATAACCTTAGGGGGCGACCATTAATTACGTGAGGTGTTTTTTTTAATTTTCTGTCCCTCCCTCCCCCCCTGGTGAGATGTCGTGAGATTTTTTTCAACCCCCTCCCCCATCCCCCAATCTCACGTGAGATTTTTCAAAATGTGGGTTTCTTACTTAAATGCGTTGGATTGTTATTGTTAAAAGAAAAAAAAATGCTTCGTGCTTTTATTACGACTAGTTAAGACTAGTAATCAATATTGCTGAGAGTTATTTCTTTCCAATGAAATAGTGAATGATCTTAATCGTATTACGATTACGCTTAAGATTAAATTTTAAGCATGTACAATCTGGATTAAATGGACCAAAATAGTATATTTCTTTTTGTTTCAATCAGAAAAAAAATTGCGTGATATTTGACTCGAGCCCCCCTCTCTCCAACGTAAGATTAGATGAGATTTGACTCGACCCCCTCCCCCCCTTAAACATCTCACGTAATTTATGGACGCCCCCTTATTAATTAAATTACCAAATTGAAGAATGAAAAGGTTTAATAATATACATAATCTAATGTGTAATACACATTTCTATATTTCAGGTCCTCGAGATGCTCACAGTATGGTAAAATTTTTAAGATTAATAATGTACCCACTTAAAAGGGTGTCATCAACAGAAGACCTTGTTAATATGCTTTCCATGTGTGAAGTAAGTAAAACAATTAAGATTATTTAGGGTAATTTATTTGAAATGTATTATTAAAATTAAATTGTTGTATTATAAGTTTTATAAATAATATAAATAAATTGAATTGAATTCAATATTCACAGTCAGGTCATAAGTATTGTCACACAGTAAAAACTTTTCTTTTAGAATGCTGGCCACAAAAAAGTTTATTGAATTCGAATTACAAATTGTTCATGAAAATAAAAATGTATGCTTTTTAGAATTTTACTCAGTTTTAAATATGGAGTGGACGCTTAAAGAAGACCGTGTTGCAGTTATTGCGTTGCATCGTTGCGGTTACGCGCCAATTCAAATTTTTGACATACTGAAAAATTTTATATAACCAAAAGATTCGTTTATCGTACCATCAAAAGGTACAATGAAGACTCTAGTGTAGATGACAGGTCAAGAAGTGGTCGCCCTCGGTCTGTTAGGACTCCAGCAGTGATAAAAGCTGTGATGGCGCGAATTCAAAGAAATACGAAACGTAAGCAGAAACTGTTGGCCCTTCAGATGTGGTTAAGCAGAACCACGGTGAAAAGGGTGTTAAATGAAGACTTAGGGCTTAAGGCATATCGAAGAAAAACAGGACATCTTTTGAATGCTCGTCTAATGCACCTGAGACTGAAGAGATGCCGCGCTTTGTTGAAGCGGTACGCGGGAAAAAAATATCGGGAAGTTCTTTTTTCGGATGAAAAAATTTTTACCGTAGAAGACAGCTACAACAAACAAAATGATAAGGTGTACGCACACACTAGTGAAGAAGCGAGCAACCTCATTCATTTTCCACCCTCGCTCATGGTATGGTTGGGAGTTTCTTATTGCAGCTTAACAGAGGTACATTTTTGTGAGAAAGTTGTAAAAACGACTGCAGTTGTGTATCAAAATACAGTCCTGACGAACCTTGTGGAACCTGTTTCTCATACCATGTTCAATAACAAGCACTGGGTATTCCAACAAGATTCGGCGCCAGCTCATAGAGCGAAATCGATTTCATCCGGCATGAAGACAGGTCCTCCTCCAGTCCAGATTTGAGTCCGTTAGATTACAAGATATGGCAACACTTGGAGGAAAAGGCGTGCTCAAAGCCTCATCCCAATTTGGAAACACTCAAGACATCCTTGATTAAGGTAGCCGCCGATATTGACATGGACCTCGTTCGTGCTGCGATAGATAGACGACTGGCCGCGCAGATTGAAGGCCTGTATTCAAAATCACGGAGGTCATTTTGAATAAACTTTATTGTCATAAGAATCTATGTTTTGTTAAGTTCATTTAGGTATATAAATGGTTACATAATGAATAAACTTCTTTCAATTATTTTATATTAAACATTTGACAGAATTTATGACCTGACTAGGTGTATTATATCATTATACATATATAGAACTACAACAACATTGCAGGCAGTGGCAGTTGCTTACACACCCCTCAAGGATACATCAAAGTACTATAACATTTGGTATTATGTAGCACTCAAATCTAGAGAGTATGACACTATTGGTGAGATCTGTTTTGCAACAGTCACATCTGAAGATTTGGCGGCAGAATTAGGAGTTGAAACTCTACCAAATGCTCGTCTCATGCTGTGGAATGATACTAAGGTAATTTAATCAACATTATCCTGCTTATATTATTGATATGAAAGTTTCTATGTTTATTACTCAATCACACAAAAACGTCTAAACGGATTTGTATGAAATTTTGCAAACATGTAACATACTTAATTACCTGGATTGAGACAGGATACTTTTTATCCCGAAAAAAATCTCAAAAACTATAGTTACCATGGACGAAGTTGCCGGCAGCTGCTAGTAGTATCATATATCCTTTTTGTATATGGCAGAGAAGCAAAGGTACAGCTTGAGCAGCAAAGAGTGACAGGGACATGACTCATATTTGGCATTGATTGAGTCCTACATTATGGATATCTTGTCTGGAAACAATAGGGACAGGTTCCTAGCCATAGAGGTATAAGAGAGGTTCTTATACCTCTATATTGCCAGCCCATCGCCTACTAGATTTTCCAAACATTCTTTTAAAGATTTTTACTATCTGTAATGTGAAGCTAGACACCAATCCATTCTATTTTTTTCTTTCGTTTTCTGCATAGAGAGTATTTTAAATGCACTGACAGTAATTAATTTAGATTTTAATTTTAATTCAGTGTATTGCAAAATAAAAAGCTATGCCAAGAATTTATATGTTGTTGCTCTTTCTTGTATTATTGTAATTAATCTATACTTATATTATAAACACCACCGCTAATTTAATGTGCATTTTGAATTGATTTCAGAGAAAGACATATATTTCATTAGGTTTTTAATAGCGAAGTATACCTAAACTTTGAAAACACGACTAATTAACTAGTTGCAATGTAGGATGATGTGTAATACAGCTATGAAATACACTAAAATAGACTTTATAACAAAGTTGTAATGTAGCCTTTCCTAAATGCTATCTGGTATTGTTTTTGTGTGTACAAAAATAATTGGTGTGTAATGAGGTATTGTTTCCTAAAATATTTATTGTGAGTGGTGGCACTACCTTTCAACAATATTTTTTTAATTGCACCTGTGTTAACAGGGTGTTAGTTGAGTCACAGTTGAGTTCTATGAATGCTTTGGTGCATTTTTTTTCTATTTAATTCTTTGTTTGTTTTTGTACTTTAGTTGCTGTGTGCTGAATTGGTTTTTCCTTAATTAGATTTAATATTAATAATTAATAATACTGATGCTAGTACATAGTAGGTAAATAGATATACATAGTGCTTTATTTATTTATTTTTTGTTTTTCTTTCTTTCTTCAATTTAAACTAGTGGCCTAACTTCGCTGCGATTCGGTGTAGAGCTGTAGTGTAGACTATAGTTTTTTACCCGACTGCGCAATACAAGAGCGCGAAGCGCGACGCGCAAACAGGGTATAGTGTTTAACAGTCTATATATGTATGTTTGTTCCTTTGTGGCGCACTAGAGGCCTGGACCGATTTTGATGATTCATACATCAATCGATTCGTCTCAATCATGGGAGTGGATGGGAGTGCTACTAAAGATAATATAGTAATCAAAATTCAATATGGGCAAAATTAGGCGCCATATTGTGACGAAGTAAAAAAAATAAGTTGACAAAATATGTCGAGTGGGGTATCACTGTCTAGATAAGTAATCGCAAATCATGTTTAGGTTCCTAACACCATTTTTCATTTTATATGATTGTTTAGAATCTACAACGCTTTAAAGTTGTAAATTAACCACATGCGCTTTTAATTTCAATCTTACGTTTGTATGGATCTTTGTTACTCTTTCACCTAAAAATAGTGAATGGATTTTAATGAAACTTAATAGTAATATAGCTCATATATGATAATAACATATATATAATAATTTATGTAGTTATTGAGTGAATTGGCCAAAATATAACAATAAGTGTCACATAAGACGGAAAAAATCCCCCATCTGCGAGCCATTTTGGCCTGCACTGCAAAAACAATAAAAGTTACATGAATGTAATGTAGAGTGAAAATGTACCCCTTAAATAGTTCTTAAAAAAGTCCGGGACACCATCTATCTATTTTTAATGTGTAAGCCATTACCGCTAAAATAGTGAATCTAAACTAAAATATTATTTCATATCTATTTCCAAAATGCACATTTTGTATTAACAAATTATTTTTTATCAAAACAAATACTTTTATCGCTTTTGATATTTAAAGACGATAAACTTTGCATTTTACACTATGTCATTTCGACAAATATTTAAAAAGTTACAACGATGACATAGTGATAGCGCGGTGTACTATGTAGGAGTAGACTGCGGGAATACTAAGAAAAGAAATTTAATTTAGGTGTTTATAAACGTGGATAAAACCTAGGCGAAAAAGAAAAAAATGGGCTACTCGCAGTATCTGATCCTATACGAAGTACTTACTATAAAACTGTGATACAGTTCCTTTTTATTAAATGATGAAAATAAATTATCATAATAGGTATTTATGATTATTGAATTTTAATGAAAAACTCAAAACAACTGTTTTTAATTTTTTTAACGATATTTTTAATGTATAAGATTTACTTATGTAATGACAAACAACCCATTTTCGCTAGTAGGTACATACTTATTGGAATTCCTGTATTTATTAATCAGCTCGCGATAATATTGGTTTTGTAATTATAAACGATAATTCTGCAAAATTCAAAATCACCCCTTTCATCACCCTACGCCTATAAGTATTGCGATGTTGTAGCTAAGAACCAAGTTCCCATCTACTTCTATAGGGGAATTCATTATAATCGATTTAGCTATTAGGGCACGGAAGCGCAACAAACAAAGTCACTTTCGCATCTATAATATTATATTACTCTTACTGGTGATCCACCCGGGCATCGTACGGGCGGAATTTATTTTATCGGGATAAAATATAGTCTATGTCACTCGTACAAAATGTATTTAAATAAAGAAAAATGTAATAATAAATAATGGAGCTACCTTATGATGAAATAATATTTGAAACCGGTTCAGTAGTTTGACAGATTATTTGTTACAAACACACAAATCTTGCCTCTTTATAATATTAGTATAGATAGTTAGGATACTACTAGTACGATACTATTAGTATTTCATTGATGAAAATTATTTAAAAATAAAGTAAGTAATACGTTTATTTGATTATATTTGTAAAAGTTACTTAGCATTTGTGCTTAACAGTGATACGTTATTCGGTATTTATTTATGCAAAAAAAATATTAGGAAAGTAATTGCCATAATTGCACTATTTGCAATACCTACTACGCTGGAAGCAGTACGCTTGATAGGTGGAAGTACTCTTCATTCGAGCATTACACTACCAATAAAAAAGGGTCGATCACAAAGTCTTTGACCTGTTATATGTGAACGCTTTAAAAGAAAACTACAAAGAGAACTATAAATTGATATTAAATGAGATTGCTATGGTGCTCTACCTAACGTTATGAAAATTGTATTATGCGCCTTTATTTTAATCAAATATTATAAACTTTGCTTTGGTGATTGCATAATTATTTAATTTAGCGATCTAAGGCAGTTGCCACCATTGTCCAAAACAACAGACGGGAATTACTATTTTCTTCAACCTGCGACATAAATGTCATTGATTGGTATTGTATACAGGGTGATTAACAACATTTGAAATTAACTTCTGGCATCTGCATATTGGGTTTCTGTGAATTATGTAGGTATATCAAATTATGAGACTAGGATATGACACTGCATTTGTGTATATCACAATCTTAGAGCCGGACGTTGACATGACAATGCAGCCACTGCCAATTTTAAATAGTCGACGAGTAAAAGTAAATGAATTCTATATTACCTGCTAAACTACTAAAAAGAACATAAACAAAAGATGACTTTTTGAATAAGTGCTAGTTTACTATGAAATTTACATACATTAGCTATTTATGTACGACTTGATTTAACTACACACATTTTTGCGAAAATTGAGGCCCATCTGTAGCCTTGACCCCGCTGGTAAAGTTTCTATATGTCTTAATAAATCAATCTTTTAGACCACCACAAGGTCCTTAATAATTCCCGTGATATAAATTCCCTTACTGAAGTAACAAGACTACGGTATACGCCGTCTTAAAATACTAACTAACTAAAAAGTGTGAAATAAAAAAGGTAAATTTAATAAATCAAAAAACCCAACTGCTTAATTATACTTCAAATAAAAACTGAAAAGAAAAAAACAAGTCCAGTAGTCTATAATTCTGTTAATAAGGAACAAAGCTACTTTAACAGTCGGGACCCATTATTGAAAAATATTATGTATTCTTGAATATCTAATGGGTCCCGACTGTTAAAGTAGCTTAAATCCTTATTAACAGAATTATAGACTACTGGACTTGTTTTTTTCTTTTCAGTTTTTATTTGAAGTATAATTAAGCAGTTGGGTTTTTTGATTTTTGAATTTACCTTTTTTTAGGTTTGTATTATACACAATCATTTTATCTAGGTGAGGCAGTGGTTTGTACACATCTTTCACTTTAGTCACTCATATTATTGCACTTATGGTAACTTTTGAATGTTATGAAACTTCAGAATGGTCTAACAAAAAAAAACTAAATTTTTATTCAACACTATCAGGCACCTGCCTGATATATTCTATGTAGTTTTATGTGTCAACATAGTAGTGTGCTTGCTATTATTTAATATTTTGACTGATATGTCTTTGCAGACACTTAGTTATTCCTAATTTGTTAAGAAATTATGTTTATTATGTAGAATACACCAGGAAAACCCTTTTAAACTTAAAATATTCTTTTTATTTTTATTAAATTCAAAATCTTTCAATTAAAGATTGACAGAATGCATTAATAATAAGTTTCACAATGTTATATATTTTGCTCCTGTACAAAGAACTTGGTATCTGTATCAACCCCCATACAAAGTGATTGTCCTCGTTTGTGTAGAATAAGTAATGCCGTGAAGCACAAGTAAGGAATTAAAACAATTTAAAAACAAAATTTTAGGATTAATTAAAAAAGCGACTCGATCCCCGTGATGCACCAACAATTTTTATATCTACAAGTTTGTACGGAAGCAGCTCATTACGCTAGTCTGAGGCGACCTTGATTAATCTTTACTATTTTATTTCATTATGATTATGATGATAATATGATGATGAATGAAAGAATTGCCGCAGGTGGTTAGTGTACTTGGCCTACGATCGTGACAGTTAAACAACCTTCGCAATGGTCGGTTATCGGATTGGTGACCATAAACATATTATTTCGAGCTCCTCCGTGCTTCGGAAGGTACGTTAAGCCGTTGGCCCCGGCTGCATCTGCAGTCGTTAGTACCCACCAATCCGCTTGTGGTGGGACACGGCCTTGTCTCCCTATTCCATCCATAGGAAAAGCCTGTGCTCCAGCAGTGGGAACATTAATAGGTTGATGATGATGATGGTTAATTTATTTTTCAGGAATATATTACTGAAGATCATATGCAGCTATGGAATGAATCTTCTCTTCTGCAATGGGTCTTAGAAAACTTCACTCAACCGGTAGCTAGAATCATACCAATGTGGAAAAAAGCGTTTAGTTTCGAAAAATATGCAGACGGAAATCCTATTTTAATGTTATTTACACCACTTAATCCATTGTACCAACAATTACCTACATATGATTTGGTATGTGTTACAGCCTTTGTTTTGATAAAAATATGCATTTTTTACTGTGTGACTATTAATCGCCATAAATATTTTGCAGTTGCGTGAAGTTGCTATGGAATATTATAATTGTAATAATAATGAAACTAGCCAATGGATATCAGAACTGATAAAATTGCAACAAGTGCAGAGGTTACTATACCAACAGAAAGACTTCAAAAAATATTGTCAAGAGTATAAATTCAGAAAACCTGCTAGAAAATCTCATAAAGATTATAAAAAAGAAGTAATATCACAAAATAATAAATACCCTTGGAATAATATAACTCAAAAGAATCAGAAAAGTGAAACATTTACTTCCCTCTTACGGAAAGGATTAGATATATCAAAATCAATAAAAAATATTGATGATGAATCTGAAATGATATCTACTTTAGCTTTACTTCATCAATGTGATACCACTGGCATGCCGGTTGAAAAAGAATTCAATGAAATATACGAAAAATGTGAAAAATATGAAGAAAACTTGAACAACGAAGAAGAAATGAAGAATAGAGATTCAAGGTAATAAATTCAATTGATCAAAAAAAAAAAAGACTCGCTTACATTGTTCATAGAAATGTATATAGGATGTAACCTAATTACTTACTTCTTTTAGTTTCCAAACATCAATGTTGCCATTTGAAGATGATCCTTTGTCACCAGAAAATCTTGTACAAGATAGTGTGAAGGATTTCTGTAAAGTATTTAAATTTGCCAATGAAATCGGCAATCCAGTGGCGCCGGCCAAAGTTCATGGTTCTCGTAGCGTCACTCGAGTTGAAGGCCTTGCTTGTAAAAAAAACTTTACATTGCACATTTTAGCCATTGACAGTGTTAGAAATCACCACTTTGCCGAGTTCCTGGGAGTTGATATCAGGAAAATGAAAGATATGACTGCTGCCATCATTTTGGATACCAAGGTACTTACTACATTTGTTCATTTATTTATTTCTTTATTTTGATCTCAAATTAACATTATAACTTTATCACTGCAACAGACATTTTATCACTTTTTTTTAAATTGAAATAATATTAGCTTGAAAAAAATTTAATCATCTAGTCTGAACTACAGTTCTTAGTGAGCGACAGTGATGCAAATAGGCAGAAGCTCAGCAATGTTTTTGCCATATTAGGCAAAATGCTATTTTTTTTCAACAGGCCGTAGGAAATTTGCGTATACTTAATACGCAAATTTCCTAAGGGCTATTTATAGAAGAAATTCCAATACTACCAAGGGCATTGCCAATATATTTTTTTATTGTGAACATCTCAGTTATGGAATTTTCTGCCGGTAGAACGTGATAGCATCTTTTTTTATCAAACCTAAAGAGTAATTAACGCACCCTAATATTAATGTACAATACCTAATGAAAACACTTTAATATGAATGCTCTTTTCAGTTAGAGACTCAGTATGTTTTATCAGAAGAGTACAGTGCCAAATCCGTCAGAGATTTTATTTATAATTACACTTACAAGAACATTAAACGTTCGCTGCGAACGCACGTGGAGGACGCGTCTCACACACACTACTACGGATCCGACGGGGATTCCCCGGGCGTAGCGGAGAACCACCGCAATGAAAGCGTTATAACCGTAGTCGATCTCACTACTAGGACTTTCAGGAAAATTGTCAGGACACCGGGAACGGTAAGTGACTGTTAACATGGGTTTAAGTTTTTTCCCTCATTGTTCATTGTAATTTATGCTTCTTTTTCCTGTACTCAATGCGTCGTCAATTTAGTTCTTGTTGTACAGGCAGCCATAGGCCTAATTGACAAATGGAGTTACATGTCGTTTTTTAAAAGATTCACAAACTATTTAGAAAAGGACATCGACGAAATCGGCCCCAGCATGGGCATGCTCAGAAAAGAATGTCCTTCACTATTATTTTTCTATTATTTTTTTAACTTATTAGCAATTAATCACAGTAAACGGACAATCAGTTTAAAAAATAAAAGTTCTAATTTTTATTATTTTTAAAGCATGTAACTGCTTGATGTTTAAATCTAAAGAAAATATAACTAGAAAAAATTCCACGCGGACCAGGCAGCAGACGGGACTCGAACCCGCACCCTTCGCAATCCGGGCGAATGCACTGACCAATTATGCTACCGCGGCCCTCACGGACCGCGTCGAAATTCCTTCTAGCTATTCTTAAGCTGCAAGGCAGCGCCATCTCTTCGCATTATAGGTAAACCCACAATGCCGCGGTAGCATAATTGGTCAGTGCATTCGCCCGGATTGCGAAGGGTGCGGGTTCGAGTCCCGTCTGCTGCCTGGTCCGCGTGGAATTTTTTCTAGTTATATTTTCTTTAGATTTAAACATCAAGCAGTTACATGCTTTAAAAATAATAAAAATTATAACTATAATTGCTATTTCTTCTTTCAAATGTTTAATACTTGTAAAAGTATTCATTTGACATTGTGGGTTTACCTATAATGCGAAGAGATGGCGCTGCCTTGCAGCTTAAGAATAGCTAGAAGGAATTTCGACGCGGTCCGTGAGGGCCGCGGTAGCATAATTGGTCAGTGCATTCGCCCGGATTGCGAAGGGTGCGGGTTCGAGTCCCGTCTGCTGCCTGGTCCGCGTGGAATTTTTTCTAGTTATATTTTCTTTAGAAATAAAAGTTCTGTTACTAGATACTACTGTCTGTTCATCCTAACTTGTCCTATTTGGTAAATAATCTTGGCACTCCTTTTTGTTGAAAATACAGCATTTAAAATCAACTGATAAATGGATTCAATAGATTTCGGTCTATAATAACGATTTATTTTTATAGTTTATTGGCTTCGTTATTATTTTATTTTTAAATGGGTGATTTTGTTAAAATGTTGTGCCAAGATTGCTTACTTTAATAAATGCAATATAGGCGACTATAGGTATTTATCAACATAAGAATAGAACTAGGTACCTTAGTTAATAATACTTATCACTAGTATTTATATTATATTTATAAAAGGATTATTTCTGAAATTATGTAAAGATAGTTTATACTCAAAATCATAATGTTAACCAGGTACATACCTACCTAATTACCGATATTAAAATATAGAAACAGGTAAATGGAAATACTTTGAACATTTCATTTGAAAAGTAATCTATTATTACAACAGGTAGGTATAGGTATCATAGGTGCCAACTGCCAACACTCATAAATCAATATATATAAATAATAAACCTTTATTGTGTATGGAACAAGGTAACATGAAAATACAGGTCTTAATTCTAATGTACAGTGCCATTTGATCCTACCTTTTCAGGTGTATACACATTTATAATGTACGTATAGGAACCATTTGAATATTCTTACTTATATTCTAAATACTCTTGGATACTATAAAATCATTTTTGGCTTAGCCAATCCTTAACTATTTTTTTTTAATTTAAATAAATATATATATACCGTGTTCCTGAGGTTATACACTAACTTTGGCATGTTTTTCAGACTATTAAATTGATCATTTTTTACTATGGACACTTTTATGAATTCCAATTTTTTTATCATTTTTTATTTTCATACAAACTAAATGCTTAGATGTAATATATCTAATATGAATTACTCTTTACCTGAGCTGGCAACGTCGCATTCGAAACCTTGGTTCACATGCCCACATAAACTTTTTGAAACTTTTCTTGACGTCAACAATGTTTTTTAAAATTTTGACTTTTGAAACTATGACTTAATGACCATTGACAAAGAGTTGATAGTTTGATATTTTTGGTTGCACAAAGTGGCAACATCTCACAGATAAAGACTCATTCTCACTGAACAACACAATTAAGTTGGTTAAACTTAAATTACCAATAACTTAAAAACTATGCTATTTAAACTACTACTTTCTTTGTACGATATGTTCAACAAGAGCTATAGAAGTATTATTCAAAGTTTATGTATATCCTCAGGAACACGGTGTATATACATACAGATGGAACTAAAGAAGTTTCACTTCAGTCTCGTGGTCATAAGCACACTCGTTTTGTTTAATTCTAAAAGTGTATATAAATGATATAATATGCAGGTGAGTCTCGTAGCCGTATGCGGCGGTGCTTGTACCGCTTCGACGACGCGAGCTCTATTGGAAGCAGCGCGCCTGTTATCCGCCTGTGAATTGGCCGTAACGCCGGCGCGGCTGGACGCGATCCGTCACGATCTGCCGTGGCACTACACCGTACACCACTACCCGACTGTGTTCGTGTTCCCTCCGGATAGGTACGTACGTTTACGACTTTTGATTATTTATTTTATTGCACAATATTATACATTAGCCCCCTTATTAATAAACGAAGAATAAGGTTGGATTAGTTAATCCATTTTTTGTCTCTGTTCGTTGAATGACAAATGACATTGGAGTGATATGAACAAAACACGGCGTAAATAGTTTAAGCTTATTCCTCGTTTATAAATAAAGAGGGAGCGGTGTTACCCGCGGGGTATAAGGGATATTATCCCGCAGTAAAATGTAGCCTATGTGTTTATCCAGGGTGTCAGCTAAATCCATATCAAATTTTATTAAAATCGCTCCAGCCGTTTAGACGTGAAGAAGTAACAAACATAAACACTCACACTCTCACAAACTTGCGCCTTTATAATATTAGTGTGATAATAATTTACATGACACCAGTGCTACAAAACTTGTGTAGGTTTTACCGAGCACTGGTATTCGTCAACCTTTAGATCACTTTTTTATAATCTTGCCCCTTTCGTACATTTTCAATCTGCATCTAGTACCCACTTTTCCACGAGTTGTTGGCGATCGTCACTTACTGAGCAATAAATTGGTTTGAATCGGCTACATAAACAGGATGGTTCAACAAAATTCAACAATTTACATGGGAACAATTTATGGATATTGTATTGTGTCGGGGATGGAGTTCGAAATCATTATGCCAGTTTACGCTTGACAGTTCTTTATTCTGCATACAGTTTACAAAGTTCAATAGCATAAATACGCAATTTTATTTACACTAAACTCACTTTAGATGTTCGTATACAATCGCACGACCACTACTTGCATCGTTCCGAAATCGTCTTAAAACTCAACTGTCCTGTGTGAATTACCTAGTGGCCTACTAGTGCCAACCTATTAGTAGAGAGTACGATTTGTTAACAACTTGGCAGTTCTCATTGCACCTTCAATCTTACGCTGCAATGTTAAGGCTCATGTTCGTGTGCACCGCAACATTTGAATTATTTCAGTATATCTTAGGCTGCAAAGCAGGGACATGTTTTGCAATGTAGGTAGACTTTACGTATTTAAATTTAGGTTAAGTTAGTGAATCATGCCAGAATCGACACTTAGTGTCTAACTTTTTTGTGGTACAACCGTAAACTTTCTCACAGGGTCCGCGAGGCTGATAGCAGAGCATATCCGCCTGGTGCTCGCGTCACGTCGAGCGGATTGGTGGCACTGGCACTTCGGGCACTGGGGCCGCTGCAGCATCTGCGGGTGCGGCTGGCGTTATGCGCCAATACAAAGGTAATGTGGGGAACAACCGTAAGCCTTTAGCACAAGGTCCGCGATGCTGATAGTCGAGTAGACTACGGCTGGCGGCATGCGCACATACAAAGATAAGGTGGGGAACAACCGTAAGTAAGCCTTTAGCACAAGGTCCGCGAGGCTGATAGTCGAGTAGACTGCGGCTGGTGGCATGCGCCAATACAAAGGTAATGTGGGGAACAACCGTAAGGCTTTTAGCTCAAGGTCCGCGAGGCTGATAGTCGAGTAGACTGCGGCTGGCGGCGTGCGCCAATACAAAGGTAATGTGGGGAACAACCGTAAGGCTTTAGCTCAAGGTCCGCGAGGCTGATAGTCGAGTAGACTGCGGCTGGCGGCGTGCGCCAATACAAAGGTAATGTGGGGAACAACCGTAAGGCTTTAGCTCAAGGTCCGCGAGGCTGATAGTCGAGTAGACTGCGGCTGGTTTCCTTCTTATTGTCAGTCCTTTATATTGTGCACAAATAATTTTAGACACACTAAGATAAGTTTTTGGAAACCCACAACCGACAACGGATAGACAGACAACAGACATTACATGAGAGATAGACGACAAATCGACTGCAGAAGACAGATCGACAAGAAAAATCTTAACGTTACAAGTCTTTCCGTATTATAATAATTGTATGTTATACTTTCTCAAATCGCTGATCTGTTTTTTCATCACATATATCATCAAATCTGACCATTGCTTCCTGAGATTTGCGCGTTCAACCAATAATGGTGCAATCGGTACAACGGGTCCTAAAGTACACAACAAAATTTTTACTATCAGTTAAATAAATTTTCATAGGAGGTTTATCTAATATATAAAATTCTCGTGTCACAGTGTGCGTAATTGAACTTCTCCGAAACGGCTCGACCGATTTTCGTGAAATTTTATATGCATATTCAGTAGGTCTGAGAATCGGACAACATCTATTTTTCATCCCCTTAATTTTTTTGTCAATTTTTTTGTTTTTTTTATGATTAAATATAATATATTATGATAATATATAATACATGAATACGTATGTATTCCCTAACCCCACAGGCAAGGACTCAGTTAAGCGGTCTACCTATAGTACTAGATAACCTTAATCCAAATATAACTGGTAGATATCACCGATCGTTTTATGAATGCTGTGGTATTATGATTAAGCAATTTAATGTTAACTACGCATTTAAGGGAAATTATTCTTTATACTTTCATTGTAAATTTTAAATTTAGTAACTAGAATACTATTGTTAAGGGGTATTCGGTTTTGTGAATACTTTTCGTTTTGTTTTAAATTCTTATAATAGAACGAATTCTTTTCCTACTCATACGCAGCAAATAGTATGTCGGTTGTATTGAGGGCACGTTGCGCTCGATTTTCAATGTTACATAGTTGTCAACATTTGCCAACTACTGTATTTGTAATGTCCTCGAGGGCACTCAAGGTCAGGTAACATTTAACAATAATCTTTTTTTAATAACATATTCAATATTATTTCTTACAGATATCTGTGGATAAAAAAGTATGCTTACGAGACATCAGAGAGCATGTGACGACATTCATAGCCAGAAATCTTAAGTATTGGCGTCGCACCTCACACACAGAACTTAAAGACGCCTTTCTTAAAAGACTGCAGAATCTACATGATGTATCATTAAAATTAAGCTTACTTCATACGTCAGATCTAAATGGAAATAGTGATATACAGAGGAGTTTATTAGATTCACTTAGTATTTTAACCAAAAGTTGGGATTTTGATCTATCTTTATTAAGAAAAAATGTCAAGTTAATAAATAACGCTACTACAAGTTGATATTCAAATATATATCATGCAATTGTAAATAGTGTACATTGCTCATTTTATAAAGTACCTATGTATGTTATTTATTTTTAGAAAAGAAAATATTATTAATATGTTGACAAAAAAGTCACTTAAATTTATTGGTTTTATTGATACTTATTTCTTACATGGTTCTGTCATCAACATCGTTATCAGTCTAGTCTTAGGGTGCGGCCAGAGTGCACTCAGATTCAGAGTCAGATTCAGATTCTGAAAACAAGCGCGAGAAATAAACAGTGTAGTCGAAGGGTACGGCCAGATTGCACTCCTGATTCAGATTCAGATTCAGACTCAGAAAACAAAGCGCGAGAAAAAGCAGGCAACCTGCTTAGACTACACTGTTTATTTGTCGCGCTTGTTTTCAAAATCTGAATCTGACTCTGAATCTGAGTGCACTCTGGCCGCACCCGTAGTCTTAGTAGTACGGCGGGCTGTTTCCGCTACTCGACACCCAGTGGCTATTTTGCATGGGGATTGGCATCAGTCCTGCCATTCCAGCTCCTCAAGAAAGCTCAGCAGTCCCCGGATGTTATTGCAGGCCTCTACTATTGTCCTCGGGCTTCCTATTAGAGACCTTTGTCTTGCAACGCCCCGTTATCAGTCTATTAATGTTGTTGCTGCTGGCTGACTTTAAGAAGTCTTCTCTTTTGACAGAATAAGAAAAACGAGCGGACAGTGCGCATCTGTGGGTGCCAACGACGGAAAATGTGTAAAACGGAGACTAAGGGCATTTGTTCACAGGGACGTCAATGAGAACGAGGTGACGACGCCGAAGTAGCGACACATACATTTACTATAGCCGCTTGTCCACCTCAAGCCTGTCACATCATCTTGATCTTATACAAAAATAATCTCACTCTCGTTAACGTTCCGGTGACGGCCACGGTGGACAAAAGGCCTAAAGCCTTCCTAAGCACGCAGGTGCTCGAGATAATAAAATTTATTTATTTATTGATGTGTAACATCTTTCCTCTCACTTTCGTGCAAATTGTGGGAGTGATTACGTGAAGTGGGACGGAAGTGTGTAACAGGAAGTTTGGGAAGCGCGCGCTATTTGATTTGATTTAAGAACATAATGTTCAAGTGGCTTATTCCTTTTATAGTAGGTTTTATTTCTATTTTTACTAATATAGGGTGAGGTTTCAAATGTTACACATCATACGCGACTACTGTAAGGTACGCTCGTTTTTTTTTGACATACCATCGTCAATTTCACAAATTTCAATAAAGATTTAAAGATGCGGGTAGTACTCAAGCGTGTAAATTGCCATTGCAGGCATGTACAACATTGACTATATGTTGGTACTTATATTTGTAACAGTAATAAATTATTGTTCAGTTTGAATGTTACCATATAAATGATTTTTGAGGGCTTTCAGTGGAGCGTGTTTGTTTGTTGTTCACCCATCCTATAATCGTTCATTACGAAAGTTACTACACTTCCACCGTCACAGACCAAATCAAACCAAAACGTCACTACTCTCCCTTCTTTATTTCAATTATTTTGCGTCATCTATATTTGTAATCCATCCATCCAAAATTATAATTTAACCGTTTCAGTATCGATTTCGAGAAAATTGTAATGAGGTGAGGAGACAAATTACAAAGATTATTTTCTTAATTTTTATATTTAAATGCAACAATATTAGAGGTATTAAAATTCAACATCCCTACCGAAAAAGGATAATGTATTGAGTTTGGTGCTGCTTCGCCATCCACGTACAATGCTTAACATAGACGTCAGTGATTTTTTCACATACGTTTCTGAAAAAAAAATTATTATAATACGCGGTTCTGAAAAACACATTATCTATCATCATAATTTTTGAAAAGCAAAAAGTAAAACAATATAGTGTAATTCCATTTTACGTAGAAATTAGTACATACTTTCGAAAATTTTACCGAATAAATAACAATATATAATAACAAAACATGTCAGACAGAACGTAAACAATATACGCGGCCTTATTATGAGGTAGCAATCTCTTCCACGCCACCCACCCATAATAGAGAAATATTTACTGGTGGTCTGGTAGAGAATGCCTTATGGCATTAAGTCCGCCAATTGCTGTTTTTGCAATAAAGTGTAAATAAATAAATAAGAAGGATAAAGCAGGGACAAAATAATAAGGAAACATATATATTAGGGAATGAAAAATGAGCCTGAAAGCAAAAGTTCAAGGCTGGGATAGGAAATACCTCCGAACTTGATCTCTAAACGAGTTATAGTGCGAGCCTTCCGATTTTTTTCCGGTATGAGTTCCATAGACGTATAGAATGCACAGACAAGGAATAGGAAAAGAAATCCGTTGAATGCTTATAGGTCATCGCCTGCGGGGTACTGGGTGTGGTCAAGAGGCTCCAGACGGAGAGGAGACTCCTCCCGCGAGGAGATCCCATCCGCCTGGAATACCTCTAGAGGCACTCGCCAATTCTCGGCTTGAGATCCCCTTAGGATCTCGCCGTCCCCAAACCCGGTGACGCTGTAAAGGTCATCTGCGAACAACAGCATACATACTCAAAATAAAGGTACCTGCCGCCCGCACCTCTCACGGTCCCTCTCGTCCTCCCCCAAACCCTGTACCCCGCAGGCGAGGGCTCAGTTAAGCGGTTTAGTTATAGATAAAACCTTTTTACTATCCAACTTCAAAAAGGAGGAGGTTCTCAATTCGTTGCATTACGCACGCGAATTCTGAATTCAAACTATGAAATGTGTATCTTTTCGTGTAGTAAAAAAAATGTTTTTTGAGGTGCTCTTTTAAAAAAATGCGCTCAGCGTCGCGTTTCGGTGTTTGCTGACGCTAAGAAGCGACCCTGAATGTAAGTATAATTTGGGTAATTAATTAATATTGATATTGTCCAGTCATTGAATAATTAGGAGAGAGGGAATTGAATAATCGTGAAGAAGCGTTTGTGAAGCCAGGCAGGCAAGGTGATGATGACTGGTGTGGTAGTTCATCACCAGCTATACTCGGGTTCTGTCTTTTCCACCACTTAACATGAGGTGGCGTAGAGTCATTTGCCTTCCTAATAAAATTAAAAAAAATCCTCAAGTTCAAGAAAGTACTATATGTAGTAGGGGCACAAGGGGTTTTTTGGATTTACTCGAGCGCGGCAGATAACCATAAGTGAACCAACATTGCAGCTTGATAAGTACTCCCAACATAACTGAGCTTTCTATGTGGGGCAGAACGTATAGAGCAGCAAAATAAAATCAACAAACGGTCACGACTTTTGGTCGCGTCCATATGGTCAGTCTTTTGAATAGAAGCTACTGGAGGGTTGTGTTACTGTTACGTGAACACCCCAGTAGCTTCTATTCAAAAGACTGACGATTTGGGAGCAACCAATAGCCATGGCCGTTTGTTGATTTTTTGCTGTCTTAGGCGTCCGTCACTACGTAGAAATCTCAGGTATGGTTGGACTACTTCTTAAGGTGCAAGGTTATATGTTATGTGAATCTGCCACGTTCGAGTAATGGTGCTATTACATTTGGTCGTTAGCCGGAACAAGAGTGCCAATGGAATTCGGGTAAACCACTAAGTGTTAATGAACGGAGTCGAGTACGCCCGTATTCGGGTAGTTTTCCTTTTGGTTACCCGACACCGTCTACAGCCCGTATTCCTTCGGTTATATTGCTTCGGGTGTCCGAATTCATTACTCGTATTCATTTGTGCACTCAAATACGGTATAACGAACAAGTGTGATCAAGCTATTAATCCAAGCGGCGGCTTGGGCTCCCCATACCAACAGAGCTGTTATACCAAGTATTGTATTCAACGATATAATATGGTTGATTGTATTGGTAAAAGACTTACCAAGTATTGTAGTATCGGAATAGTTGGGGTACAGTGGGTGGTATGGTTTTATGAGGTAGACTAAGTCAATACCGACTACACCTGACAGGTAATCGCTCAGCGAACCCGCTACACGCTGGTCATCGCTGCTTTGATGTACCTGTAATCAACAAGCCCACATCGCTATCAGCTTATTAATGTCTTCACTTTCTATAACTTATTTAAAATTACTATCGCTGTCTGCGTAGTAGCATGAAAGCGAAAACACCCCGGGGTCGAACCTCATCTTCAGCTCAAAGTAACTCTAAGTTATTATAAGTATATAACCTCGTAAAGACGCCCATCGGATAGTCGTGCTTGCCTGGCTGCGTACTCTCCGATGTCCTGTAGTGTGCGGTAATTACTGGGTGCGCGTGTAGAAAATCTCCACGGGTATAATATGTATTCCTGAAAATAAATTCATTATCATCAGCCTATTAATGTTTCCGTTGCTGGGGCATAGACATTTCTTATGGACGAATAGTAATGATTCACTTCACGAGTGGTGGGGTCTGCGCGCGAACACTCCCAGGCAGAGCGTGATCAACGCAAGACAAAGTGGACTGGTTTCTTTAACTTTTTATTCTCATAATTTACATGATTGGTACATAACAATTAAATTCACAATAATTACAGAACTTTTGATATCGTTTGCTCGTATTCGAGGCTACTATTTGATATAGCCAGGGGTACAATCAAAAGTGGCAGAGGGAAAAAGTATAAAACAGAAAGAAAATAGTACATTACTGCAACAAACAGTAAAATAGGCATTGATGGACAAACGTGTAGTAACCTACACGTAAGTTCAGCAATGCCTAGTTGTAGCCAAGGCTTGTGTAGCCGGTACTTTTCTCAAATAATGCGCGGAAATAAAAAGCTAAGAAGAACTTTTTATTTTAAAATACAGTTGTTGGACTTTTTGGGGATTATTTAGATTTGGCATAATTCTAATGAGGTAAATGGTTATGGGCAACCATAAAATGGGTAAGGTTTAATGAATAGGCCTGCTGTAAGTAGTCTCTTCAGTGTGATTCTGTACTTCAAAGCTTTGATGGGAGGTCGATTGTCAAGATTGGATACTTTCGATGATTTTACGTTTGTTGATTTCGATTTTCTTCTATGTATCTATGTCTCCATATGTTTTAAGTCTAATTAGATTCGCACCTGTGCCAGCAAGAAGAGTTCGTAGTATGATCACGTCTCCAACTTTCGAAAGGAACTCGAGTGGCTCCCCATACGTCCGCGCAGGAATGTCAGAATCCTTTGTCTCCTCTTCAATATCCTATATAATCCTTCATATCCTTCCTATCTTCGGTAGCGGTTTTCTTTCATCCACTCGCCTAATGTTCCTTGCAGGTCCCATCTCAAATCACTACTCAAATGTCCTGTACATAAAACCGAATTTGCATCATGCTCCTTTACGGTACATGCCGTCCGCTTGTGGAACTCGCTGCCAGCAGGAATCAGAGACAGCCCAACTGTTGCTACATTCAAAAAACTGTTGTAGGAACACTATCTATCCTTTTGAATCACTGTTTCTGAACTGTATTTCTTCTCCTTTTTAACACTTATATATTTTATTCAAGTATATATGTTTATTTGTACATCTATATGGATATATATGTAGGTTTTGTTTATGTAAGTACTAGAGGTCGCCCGCGACTTCGTCTGCGTTAACTTAGTTTCTTGAAAATCCCTCTGGAACCTAACTTTTTCGGGATAAAAGCAGCCTATGTCTGAATCTAGGGTGTCAGCTAACTCCATACCAAATTTTGTTAAAATCGCTGCAGCCGTTTAGACGTGAAGAAGTAACAAACATACACACTCACATACTCACAAACTTTCGCCTTTATAATATTAGTGTCAAGTGTGATTCATCATCATCATCATCATCATCATCATCATCATCATCATCATCATCATCATCATCATCAGCCTATTAATGTCCCCACTGCTGGGGCACAGGCCTTCCCTTAGGATGGAATAGGGAGATTGAGCCATGACCCACCACGCGGGCCCAGTGCGGATTGGTAGGTGCTAACGACTGCAGATGCAGCCGGGACCAACGGCTTAACGTGCCTTCCGAAGCACGGAGGAGCTCGACATAGTAATTTTTGGTCACCCATCCAATGACCGACCACTGCGAAAGTTGCTTAAGTTCAACGATCGTAGCCGAACGCGCTAACCACTTGCGCCATCGAGCTCCTCAATCGTCATCGTGCCCTTGTACAAATGTATTGTGTGTGTAATAAGAGTCGCAGAAGATTGACGAAAGCAATGTTCAGTATAATATTCCGGATTAGGCAAGTTTAAATAGGTAGCAATTGCCATGCCAATTTTGTGTCTTCCAGTTACTTCCTTGGTACATTTGTTATTTTTGTAATTTAGAAAAAATCCGTCTGGCTTAACATCTGAGTTGTAGCGCTGTGTATTTTGTTCCTAGGATGTCAGCTGATTCATCTCTTATAACAAATATGCGGTCGATCTTGGTTTAAACATCACGTAGAGTTACAATTATCACACCGTCGTTGTTTTCTACGTCTTCTTTACTAATATTTGTAATTTCGTAACATTGGCATGCACCAAAAATTACGAAAATAACATAGAGCAACCACGGCCGACACGACCAGGAGGGGAGTAGCTATAGTGAATTATTACTACTGAAATCATTCTGCTACTTTTTGCGGGGGGAGGAATATGCACACAAATGCAGTTTAACATACATTCGCAAAAAACTAAATTGTAATTGCGACACTCACACATAAAAAATACAAATACACAGTTTACACAGCCAAATCCTGGATACACATTTGAATGAATGAATTCATATTTTAAATTATTTTATTTTTTATTGGCGATTTGCCGAAATAAGCAAAAAAAATGTTTTCGGATAAGGATTTCGATTTTCTTTCATTCTTCCATCCAACAAAATTTTCATAGGTTTCTAGATGTTTTTTTTCTTTTGATTTTGGCCGTACTTTACAAGTTTTCTTTTACAGCTCTTGCCGCCTCTTAAAGTTCAGGTGGTTAACAACTTTAATCTTCGTTTTGTAATAAGGCGGCTAAATGTTTAATACGTCCGCTTGATAAAAATTTGACATATATCTAATTTAAAAGCCTTGGCCACCACTAGACATTGATGGAATTACACGTATGCACGTTCGCCGCAGCAGTATTGTATAAATCTTAAGGTGCTGTCCGACGGCCTGTATTGTCGCGGGCGCGGCCGCGCTGCGCAGGGTTGCCAAATGTATGAAAACTCTAACGTTTAATATTTAGTAGTCTCTATAGAATATACATGATACGAGGTAAATAGAAATCTCATACGCTTTGTGATGCCATAATGAAGCTGTACTTACTGAGTCGATCCTTTGTGGTCTGGACATTTATTTACATTCTGATAATATTTTTGGTTTTTGTACACGACACAAACAGTCAACATTGTTCAAATTTCATATCAAAGTGTACGAGATTTTTTATTTAACTATCAACTATCATCGTATCATGTATAGTTACTGTTAAATCTCAATCGTTAGAGTCACGTACGTCTCATACGTTTGACAACACTGCGTGGCACGACTGCGCCCGCGACATCGCAGGCTATACAAACACCTTTAGAATAATAAAATTGCAATAATAAATTTCAAAATAAGATACAATTTTAAACAGGGAGAACAAAATCAATGAACAATATACGTACACAAGTACTTTTTCCCCTTAATATAAAATCAAAATAAAACAGTATAAAGAAAAACAACAATAAAGCTTAATAGCCTCCTTTTTAAACATCATCCCCAGAATGTGACGGCGGTGGAGAAATTATGGGGCGCAGGTCATTTAACTAAATTGGAAAAATTATGATTAATGTTTCAAGACTCACTGGGTCGAGGTTTGCCGGAAGTTGTTGAACGATTAAAGCTTGGAAAAGATAGTTTCGATGAGTAGAACGAGAGGTTTCATCAGTTTCGGTTTAGATATCAGGTCAGTAATGTGGAAAGAGTCGATGTTGCGATTTGACCATGGTTGGTTTTTTCTATGAATAGCGAATCTTCAGCAAACACTTATAAGATGAAGAGGTTTGACTAGGCGGTCGAGGAGGCGACTGTCAGTCGCAAGGGCACAAATGAGACGAAACGATAAGTAAAAGCGGCGTAAATAAGAGAGGTGGGCTTCATGACTTAATGAAAATTTACTGAGAAAGAATGAGTAGAAATACCTAAATGAATAATAAAAAGGTGTTGACTAATGATAAAGATGGAAACAACGTTCGGGTGTGTGAACCTTGAGCAGCCTCGTGATACCTCTTGTCCCTCAACTCACGAATGCGAAGTTGTGAAAGTGAAGACACTTACGAAATTGGAAACCTGTCGTATTTGGGGGCTCTTCGCCAAATATTTCCGGAAGAGAGATGGTCGTATATGAGTTTGTGCGTAATAAGAGACGCAAGAGGAGTAGAGTTGTTGCGCTGGTCGAGTGCTTCCGGAGATGATTAAGAATGTGTGAGGATAAGATCGTCCTTAGCTTTCCTCTCAACCGCAACGTCTTGTATAGGGCTAAAAAATTTGCCTGAAACACTGTGCACACCTTGTGTAACTTATTTTTTTTTGCGCAAATATAGGCGGCGTCGACGGACTCATCTTCTAATTTACTACCGTCTGTGAAGTGAAGATCTGCCCGGAGGTTTGTTTGCAACCGGATTTTAGCAGCGTATGATATTATAGTGTGAAGGAATGAAGCACTTTTCCCCTTCATCGAATTAAAAAAATGGCCATTGGTTATAAGTTTCTAAAGTTCCAAGTATCCTAGGGTATTTCCCGTTCCCTGGCCAGCATGAGCCTTGAATTCAGTGTTATACTTAGGAACTTACCTTTATTAATGAGTATTATTACTTTAATAATATCAAACGTATACGAAGCGTTACAGTACCTTTTTGGGGACAAAACTGGCATGTAAGTGTATTGCCAGGTGAACAATATTTGCCAATCGGTCGACATACTTCCGTATCGCCTGCGCCTCGGTAGTGGAAAACGGCTTAGCGCCTGGATATAATTGCGAGCAACGTTCTGGCGTTTTATGCACATCATCTGAATGTAAAATCAAAATTATGAAATCATTAGGTACATCGTTTTTCTGTAAATAACTTAATCTATGACAGTTTTGTCAATCGCTTAAGCTTAAAATTTTTGACCAACCGTGGTCAAAAGGATTTGAATTTTGTCATCGTGTAGGTAGGTTTAGTGTGTTTCAAACGGTTTCGAATTCCGTTTCCGGCCGGGTAAGTATGTATATGCAGAAAAACTTTTTTTTTTATTGTTGCCAGGTCTACTAAAAAGGGAAGTTTGCAGAACGGCAAATATCTATCGGAAAGTTGCATTACTGGGATGAGATACCTACTTAAGAATGAAGGGCAATCGTAGGAGGAGAAAATCTTGCGCAATATACCTACCTACATGGACGTATAAAAAAAGGCGGACAGAGTTACAGCTAAGACAATACTGAGGCACCGTAATGGCGGCTGCTATTGATGAGTGAGTGAATTGTAGGGTTGCTAAGTTAGCCAATTGTTAGCCAATTTTTTACCAATAAAACACAGTAAAAACATGAAAATATTTTGATTGTGCATGTATGTATGTATGTCCAATAATTTGGCACGCCCTACAGCCTGAACTGACGGATTTTGACATGCGAGGTGTCATTTGATTTGTCGTGATTGTGTGAGTGGCACTCAGTATATTAAAATTTCAAAAAATCAAAATAACAGATTTTATGCGCCAAAATGAAATATTTTGAAAAAAAAGTATAAGTATTTTTATAACCCGTCAAGCGAGGTATCAAAGTGAAGGGTTTTAAAAGAAAATTTAGAAAATATACAACTCGTGTAATTAAAAAATAATGAAATTAAAATGTCGAAAATAAAAAAAAATTTACTAAAAGAAAAAAACTAGTCCAGTAGTCTAGAATTCTGTTTAATAAGGAACAAAGTTACTTTAACAGTCGGGACTCATTAGAAATTCTAGAATGTATCGAATTTTATCAATATTGGGTAAATCAACTAAATATAGATGGCCTGGCCTGCATTCTCTTTGATATTTCTTAAAATAAACTAACACCCATTGAGTACTGTTTGTAATTGAGGAGTTCCATTGTTTTCCTCCGAAAGTACTCATCAGATCTCCAGTAAATTAATATGCAGCCATCTCGCTAGTAAACTGATTAAAACATAAAAGAATCATCATAAACGGTCCACGAATCTCGGAGATCTGCGCGAACAACAATAAAAAAACAAATATGACGCATTGCGAACCGCTTTCTTTTCGAAGTCGGTTAAAAATTTTAATCAACCTTTTGAGGTAATGCATACGTAATAACACGTCGGAGTCCTCCTTTAGTTGTATATAAGTCTTGAGCTTCAAAATGAAGACTAAAAATGACACTACTGCATATTTCTTTGGAAATCATTCATTTTCCAGTAATTTCTCCATACTACATTTTCTTTAGGAAATCTGTTAAAAAAGAATAATAAATAATAGATTGAAGTTAATGTCAACCCAATTTCCCATATTTTAGGTAATATGGTTACATGAACATTGGCAACACTGGGCTTTAGGCTAATCATTTTGTCCTTAGAATTAAAATTGATTTCGATTTCTAAAAACTAGAAAAAGGCGATTCAATTATTCATTTACCTATGAAACGTGATTCCTGGATTTTTTTTCTTTCGGTCACTACGGTTTTTACACGTTTTTACAAGCAAGATATCTTGTTTAGCTTATTTTATATCTCCACGTAACGTGTCGGCTGCTTTGACGTTTGCACGCGTAGTGGCTGACTATTGTGTGAATGTGTGCGTGCCGGCTTGTACGTACAGCGACCTGGCCGACTCTGAGCGACACAGTTTATTGTTTACAGGGACTCTGTCCGCCTTTTTTTATAAGTCCATGCCTACCTTCATAACAAATGCTATTTTACGTGCACCAATTGTATGTGCGACTTCACAAAACGCAGTATAGCTGGCTGGTCTTTTAATTTAGCCTAAACTTAAAGACATAGTTATTAGGTATAACAGATATAAAATAGATAAGTTAAATATCTTAGGTTCGTAAATTATCTATTCGAGACAGGGTAATAAATCCGATAGCAAGAGTGTAACATCTTAACACGTCATTAATATAGCTCATGATAAATGTTAATGTAATGTACTGTTTATTAATGCTAGTTCTACAAGAACTTTGCAGGTGAATACCATCTGGCATAAAATGTTGTCTGGATTAGGTTCAAAGAAATTAAAATACCTTGCCAATGATAAGCGAAATTTCTATTCACGTTAGTACCGAAGCAAGGTCCTTCTTTTGCTTCTCTGTCAACGTTTTTGTACCAATGGGTAGGGCGAGTGCCGTTTCTAGCAGTCAAATTTTGAGACCACATCAAGGGGTCCACTGGCGTAAGTTTTCGCAAGCTTTGGGTGAAATTGATTCCGTCCGGATTACCCATCGGTATCAGGAACCTAAATGAATTAAACACAAAAAAATACTGAATGGATTTATCGCGAATATCAATTTCATTTTTTCCACATGAGTAGGTATTTGTAAGGTAGGTAATCATATTTTACTAATACGCGAATTGTTCGACAAAGCATGTTATCACATTTTAGGGGTATGTACCTATTTGATAATGCTTCTACATTGCTTCACATTGTCAAGTCAATAACATCATCATCAGCCGATGGACATCCACTGTTGGACATGGGTGTCCTCAAGGGATCCCTTGGGATCTATGTCCAACAGTGGATGTCCATCGGCTGATGATGATGTTTTGATTGTAAGTACTTAAAGACTGATTACATTAATACTTAAAGCACATTAGATATTTTTATTATTATAATGTTGAAACCGATCTCCAATTTCAATGCAAATAGTGTTATTTCATTAAAATTAATATTACCTAACTCTTAGTAAAATAATCTGTTCTCAATACTTTTAGTAGAGTGTACATTATTTGATGTTTGCTTTCATTATATCCCTTTATTTAAACGACAGTAATGAAATACTTTTAACAGCTGAGAAAAATCATGAACTTTAAATATCAAGTATGTATATCATTAAAATGACGAGTTCTAGGACGGTAAATAGGACAAATGAGTCGGTTACTGGTACAAATGGCTCATTTTGCAAATAATATTTTTTATAATTTCTTCCTTACTTTCCTCGAAAAACAAATAAATAAATCGTAAATTATAATTAATTCTGTAGGTAATGATGTAGGTAATTAAAATATTCAGAAGTTAATTAATGATTTTGTGGCAGAACTGCAAAGTGAGTTAAGTTTAGAAACTGACGGTTATTGGTACGTTTACCATAACGTGTCTTAGTTCTAAAATAATAGGATTATTTACTTACAAACTTACCAATCATAATCGTTGAAAAATGGCGTTTGATAGTTTGTATCATACAGCAATTTGTCTGCTAGTTCCAGTATCGCATTGGGCGATCCCCAAGCCATTCCATTAAGTCCTACGAAGTACAATTTAAACACATAATTAAGTAGGTATGTATTATATACAAGAATACGCAAAAATATAAGTATCATGTTTCTGCACGAGATATTTCTTGCAAGATTGGCAGGGCAATAGAGATGAGAATATCTAAGAGTAGGTTTGATAGGTGTTCGTGTTTCCGCTAGTGAGTAGGGTTCCAGGGCTCCGCGGGGTAGGGCATTGGGTTCAGGCCGGCAAGGTGAGGATGGCTGGAGCGGCACACTTTCTGCCGCATCATCTATTTACGCGACTGGACTCCACTTACATTTAACAACTGCAGATAGTTGAATAGGGCATTATTTTTGCCCATCGTATAAGATATATATATTGTTCCCGCCTGTTAGTTAATTAGTTCTTCAGGGCGGTTTCCGCACTTAGTCCTAATTATTGGACCATTCTGCGTGTCTCAAAAACATTCCCGTTTACTCCAGCCAGCCTATATCGGTCCAGAAGGAAAGCAGCCTTGGTAGACTGCTGCAAGCTTCCGGAAATGATTCTGGCGACTGGAGTGTCGTGCCCGTTGGTCGGCCACACTCCTGCATTCCATGATGACATGCTGTGGCGTTTCTTCTGCCTTAATGCATCCTCTGCATAGGGGGCTGTCTGCTACTCCTATTGTATATAGGTGTTTGTTTAGGGGACAATGACCAGTCTGGGATCCTATAATCCTGCGAAGTTTGTCCCTGTTTAGTCTGGTAAGGGTGCGGGCAAAACTTTTATTTGCCGCCGAAACCGCGTTTTTCGTTTGCCGGCATCTTTCACCTGTTTTCCACTCCGTCAAGTGTGATTTCTGAGTTATTTCACGCAGCCACGTTTTAATTTTGGGCCTGAGGTATGGGCAGCAAAGGTTCCGGACCATACACTTTTGTGTCTGCTCCCCTCTTAGCCAGTTCGTCTGCTGCGTCATTTCCAATTGAGCTGCTGTGTCCTTTTATCCATTGCAGAGTTACCGTGTTGCTACCCGCAATGGATTGAAGTGCCTTGTGGCACTCCATTACTAGGACAGAGTTTATTGTGTTGCTACGTAGGGCTTGTAGCACGGATGCACTATCAGAGATGATCTTGATGTTATACTCTCTGATATCTCTGGCTGCAACCGCCTGTGCCGCTCTGGTAATGCCAATACATTCCGCCTGGAAGATTGTGCTTTATTTGCCTTTGTTTTGGTTGTAGATATTTTTATATTCAGGTCGTTTGAGAAGACACCGGTTTCAGTACTACTGATGGTTTTGGAGCCATCCGTTTATATCCTAACTTCCCCGGCGCCAGAGTAATCTGCCTTTTCTGCGGTAAGTTGGATGTTGTATCTTCGATCAAAGACGTGTTGACTCAATATTCTATCCATAGGTGCCTCCAGGAGTGGGATCTCCTTCGTGCACTTTTGTAGAATATTATAGTGTGTTGTTACAGTATTTAATCTCCATAATCCTAGAGACTTTAGTCTCAAGGCTGCTGCTTTCGCCTCTTCGTGTATGACCAGGTCCAATGGTCTTAAATTCATGAGGTACTCTAATGCAGCCGATGGAGTTGTTCTCATGCATCCAGTTGCTGCTACGCTCGCCAAACGACTTTAGAGTTTGGATTTCACTGTGGTCAGTTGGGTCCTGGGCCACCAAACAACTGAATCATAGGTTATAGAGGGCCTGATGACTGCTGTGTATAACCAAAGGGTGATCTTTGGACTTAGACCCCACTTTTTACCAACTAGTCTTCTACACTGATTAAAAGCTATGCAGGCCTTCTTTGTTTTTAGATAAATATGACTCGCCCAATTCAGTTTGTTATCAAGGATTACGCCCAGATATTTCACTTGTGTTGAAAGGGATTCTTTTAATTTTAATTTGGTTTTTAATTTTGATTTTAATTATAAATTTGTTCTTTTCCTTTAAAATTGTAATTGTTGACGTTGATTAAGATAATTATAAATGTTGTACATGACTTTAATAAGTGTGCACATCAGGTACTATTATTATGAATTTTGTATTTGTTTTTTGTATGTGTATGCTGTTGGCGTGGCTAATAAATAAATAAAGGGAGAGTTTGGTATTTAACAGTTTTGGTAACTGTAGTTCAGGTAGCTTCCTTTTGTTGGTGAAAAGGACTAGCTCTGTCTTGTTCGGGTTTACTGACAAGTGATGTTCGTCACACCATTTTTCCACAATCTGAAGGGCAGAACGCATAACCTTGCAAAGGACATTTTCAGCGTTCCCATTTATCAGAATTGTTAGGTCGTCCGCATAACCAATAGTAGTGTATCCTCTGTCATTCAGACTCCGTAGGAGACTGTCCACTACTATGTTCCAAAGAAGTGGTGATAGGACTCCCCCTTGGGGGCATCCTCTAACTACCTTCGCACGCGTGGTAGCGTTCCCCACTATCTGAACCGCCCTTTTGCCGACCAATTCGGTGATCCAACCTCTGGTGACTTGGTCCACCTTTAGTTTTCTTAGGGCGTGGTTAATGCTGTTGTGCATCGTTTTGTCAAAAGCACCTTCTATGTCTATGAAGGCTGCTAGTGTTGAGGTTTTGTTTGTGATTGCCGACTCTATTTTGTGGACTACTGAGTGCAGTGTTGACTCTGTTGATCTGCCTTTTCTGTAGGCATGTTGTTGAGGGTGCAGCGGAGCCTTACTTAGTGCTCCATCCCTAAGGTGTCGGTCTACCAGTCTTTCCAATGTTTTCAAGAGAAAAGAGGTTAGGCTTATTGGTCTGAAGGACTATTGGTACAGTCGTCCTTGCCTGGTTTCGGTAAGAAGACTCCTTTTGCCTCCCTCCATGGTTTTGGTATGTACTTGAAGGTCAGGCAGGCCCTAAAGATTGGTTGTAGGTATCTAATTGCCTGACCGAGTTGCCATTCTAGTAGCGACGGAAATATACCATCTAGTCCTGCTGACATAAATGGTTGAAAGCTTTTTAGAGCCCATTCTATCTTCTCCGCCGTTACTATTGTTTTTGCCAGGTCCCCATTCCTGGGTTGTTGGTGCATTGTGGTGTTCAGTCGACCACTCAAGGCCAGGCGCCAGTTGGCATCCTGGGAAGTGGGTTTCCAGTAGCACCGCATTGGCTTCTTCTTCTGTTTTTGTATAAGTGCCATCTTCCCTTTTCAGAGACCCAAGGAGGTTGGAGTTGTCCTTGGACAGAACTTTCTTGAGTCTGGCAGCTTGATTTGTTGACTTGACACTATTACAGAAACCACACCATCCTTCCCTACTCCGGAATCTGATCCGCTTCTTGTAGTGTTTTTGTGTTATTTTTTTTTGTTCCCGCCTGTATAACAAATTATAATCTCCTCTCACAGACGTAGCCGTAGCAGCCTACTCCCTTTTTTGCCTCTCAATTTTATGGGCCATACAGGGTTGACCACTTCCACCTCCCCAGGGACGCTATGCAATTGCTCCCATTACATAGTAGACAAAATGTATGGTAAGAAGAGGTCGTCGTTCAACAAGATGGCTTGGTGGATGATGCAGCCTTGTTTAAAGGTTAAACGAGCCCGCAGCGGCGTAGCGTGGGTGTCGGCCGCCCGGGACGAAGGATAATTTTGCCGCCCTCTTATTTTATGATTGAAATATTTTTATTATTTATTGTAAAATTTTGCCGCCCCCTAAGAAGTGCCGCCCAGGGCGGGCCGCCCCTGTCGCCCCCACTACGCTACGCCACTGCGTGCCCGATGAAGCATAGAAAATTCAACATGTAAAATGTTTGGTCAGCCGTACAATTTGACAGCCTTTATTTGTGAAATTGCCAATGAAATTAAACTCCTCATAATATATGAGTTATTAAAATAATTTGTCGATTATCAATTAACAAGTTAATAAGCATTAGTAACAGGTAAGGTAGTCTAATATCTATTGACGCAGATTACACTGGAATGAAAATGATAATTAATTATTGTTATCTTTTAAATTCGTGAGATTAAATGCGATTGAATAATGTTATTGATATCGCAGTTACCTCCTTTTGGCGGCAATACGGCCCGTTTCAAGGGCGGGGGATTATAAAATTGAAGCGATTTCAACAATGTCTGATAAAATATCAAACTAATGATTTCTTTAATAAGTTCAGGACATTGTCACATGTCACCTGGGGCCCATTCGCCTAACGGAAATGCTTAGGAAAACGCTAACGCTTACGATTTCATTTTGTTCTTTCTAGCCGTCTGAGGTTTTCAAATGCCTCGCGCTCTTTTTTTTTCTTTTGCATTGGTAATAACAATATTGAAGGAAATGAACGTGAGGTATTTAAAAACCTTGGTGGTCAGAAATAACAAAATGAAATCGAAAGCGTTAATGTTTTCCAAAGCATTTCCGTTAGGCGAATGGCCCCCTGTTCGTTGGTAGGTAGGTATTAAATATTATTTGAATCTGGTTGTCGTTGCGTTATCGAGTTGAATTGAGTTGAGAATTAAATTCATACACACTACCGAAATCCTTTTGACATTTACTGAAATAAAAGCCCTTCGACTCCCTTCCAGATTTGCAAAGAATATCCATGTGGCACTCAACTTTGTTGGGTATGTTAAGTGTGCATATTATCAAATTTACAAGTGGCTTAGCGTGGACTATTCTAGACGTGAGCAAAGTCGTACAGTCCAATCAGTGTAGCCCTCGTTTCGGCTCGCGTTACTAAGATTCATAAATTAACCTTCCCGCTACGTGAGGCCTCTTTTATTGTGAGGCCACGGACAATGACCTGCTCAGCACACGCCTAGCTACGCCACTACAATTTACCTCCGATTACTAGGATTCCAGGTTTTCTGCTCTGCTCGTCACTATGTAACTCTAAAGCTACTATTGTCCTGTTTTCTGATGTCATCGGCTTGAGGCCTACAGCTCTAGCAATGTCCCTGTCAGTATGAATGAGACGCTTCGCTTCAACCATTAGTGCGGCGTGGGTCATGTATTTCGAAAACCTCAAGTTAGCACCGAGGGATCTTACTGTTCTCATTTTAGCCCCAGATCTGTAAAAAAAATATTACGTTAGATCAGATACTCCTACATTATGTACGTTATTTTTACACGCCCGATAAATTGTGCTTGTTACACAAGGCGCAAATGCGATCCTACGTAGAACAACCCTGATTACGTCATGATGCAAGTGCATTCTATCGTTTATGCAACGGCTACAGCAATTTTTTTCAATATTTTTCCCTTATCCCACGTTGTCCTTAACACCATGGCCATGACTGAAACGTTAGCCAACATTAGTGATTCATTTGTTCGTCCATCTATTCATAAATTTAATTCTTTGCCCGTGCACTCGTTCCTTATGGTCACTGAGCAATTAATCAATCTGCTTCTGGCCTATAACTGAGAGTGTGATGTAACTAAGAGAAAGAGAGAGAGGGTGAGGGGCATACATTTTTTAGGCCGCCAATGTGCGCATTTCTTCTGCGTGCCAATAAAACTGCTATAGCCTATAACGGCTATCTTCGCGCTCCTGGATTTCGCCGTTAACATCAAGCGGAGAAAAGAAGTTTGCTCGAACCGATAATTTAAAAAAGAAATTTGTGTTTACAAAATTACCATGATATGATTAACTTTGATTTTACAGAATTTCCATGACTGTCGGTTAAAATAATTTAATTGTTGCCAAACAGTGTTTGGCAATTGGTAATACCTAACCATCCAAACCAATAAAGTAGATTATCCACTAAGAAGCTAATTACACGAAATAAGATATCAGAGTCGATAAGAATATAGTAAAACATCCTGTCGCAGGTTAATTACCAGACTTAAGACCAGAGTTAATTATTTGCAGTAGTAGGTATTTAATTTGATAATTTATTTTATAACTGAATACAATACCTAAGTGATTACATACGAATAATTTGTTATGAGGAAATTAACGGTGACCATATCATAAGAAAATGTTCTAAGTATTCATTACTTAATTTATTTCTCTATAACAAAGCTACTCACAGTTGATAATTTCTTGGAGGAAAAAATGAAATAAAAAGAGTCCCGAAAAAGTATAGGATTACAATCAAATAAATTTTTATTTGCAATAACATATTATACGTGTTTCATAGAAAAACTGTAATAAATTAAAGAAATACCCATTAAACATCAAAAAATTCTATCACAAGGTGGACATTTGATAAAGCGTACGTTAAAGTCTTGTTTGCTCATTGTTTGACTTTGTCATAGAGCATTATATAACTCTCTGAATAGTATGATACTTATTCAGAGATATAACTACATATGAGAGCATAGAGCAACGCCTATGCGGCTAGGAGGGGAGCAGAGTGACAGAATACTACTGAATTCATTCTGCCACTTTTTGCGGGGGAGGAATATACACACAAATGCAGTCTAACATACTTTCTCAAAAATTAAATTGTAATTTTTTTTTGTTCCAACACTCACACCAATTAGCCTAGCCCCAAAGTAAGCACTGTAAGGCTTGTGTTATGGGATACTAGGGTAACGGATAAGAATACATATACAGTACATATATGAGTATATTTATATATAAATACATATTTAACACCCATGACTGGAGTAAAAATGCTCGTATTCATCACACAAACATCTGCCCCCACCGGGATTCGAACCCTCGACCTCTCGAGTCGGCGACACCATGAAACCCGGCGTACAAACCACTCGGCCACGGAGGTTGTCAATCACATCACGTCATCATTACAACACATACATAAAAAATGACAACACTAAATCGTGCATAGATGAAACTTAGGATTTTTTTATTGACAGATCTGTTTGTACTGGCGAGACGATTGTTTTGTCAATCAAGCCGGAGGTTGAATTTCTATAAAATTATATTTATTTTCTGTTTAAAAGTGATTACATATAAATTTATTAAGTAAATAATTCTACTAACATATGTTATGTTACACCATCCTTTTTTAAGTTTGATGTTGCAAAACTGTTTTTACAGCAAATTACTGAACGATTTGGCATTTTTTGTGCTCTCACTTACCTCTCGCGACTTGACTCAGTCTGTGGTAATCGACAGTGGGGAATGCTGTGAATACCTACTACCCTCCAGGGAGCACCGGCCCCGTTACACTATGTATGACAGCATCCAAGGATGACATAACGCATCTCCTAAGCCCAAGCATGTCCTGAAAAGCATATCTCATCCTCAGGAGGCCTATTCGCTAACTGCTTTTGACAGATGAAAGTAATAATAACCGAGCTATGTAGTGATCCACTACTGCTTTATTATAAAGTCACTGCGATACTTGTTCTGAAGAGCATCGATGGATGTGCAATTTTCTCTTTAGTTACGCGGTCGGTTCGGTATCGGTCGCCGGTAACCGATATCCGACAGCCAATATCGGAGAAGTCTTCACTTTCCGAAAAATTTGGCTATAACATCGGCGAAATTCGCCAACTCGACATTTGGCCCAAATTGAGTTAAAAATGTCATCGCAATAATTTTTGGGCACGCTTGACTTGGGAGGTAAACTTGCGAATGCATTACGATTAATGCCACCGGTGACTCATCGGTAAACAATGAACAATGTCCGTCACAAAATACATGAATTTGAATTAGGTTTTTTAATTACACGACGTAATTTATCAATAATCAATAACAATTTAGTATTTTACTATTAATACTACGCCATTGAAATCCGCCGTATGTTTATTTTTTCTATCAACAAATCTTCAGGTTAAGTTTGGAGAAATTGGGAAATTGACTTTTTTGTTTATTAATGAAAACATAAAATAAATTTAAATATTTGTAGAAAATTAATATATGTGTATGTACATACATGTATATATTGCCCACACACGTTTACATACCTATACTAGCTGTCCCAGTGAACTTCGTACCGCCTTAAAAATAGGGGTTGGTGGTAGAAGGAATGATGTATCATAAAAAATAAAAACAAAAAAATGGTCCAAAAAAAATTTTTTTAAGGGTGGACCACTCTTAACATTTAGGGGGATGAAAAATAGATGTTGTCCGATTCTCAGACCTACTGAATATGCATATAAAAATACACGAAAATCGGTCGAGCCGTTTAATATACGAGATATATGAGATATATATGCAGATGGAGCTAAAGAAGTTTCATTTCAGTCGTGTGGTGATTAGCACACTTTGCAAAAACACCATTTCTACCTTTGAAGTACAACACATTATCTAAGTATAGGACCGCCCTAGGCTAATGATGAATATGCGCTCCTCCTATGTAGATGTGTTCTGTCCTACCTTTTCATTTACTATCATATCATGTGCAACTAATTAAATTACAAGTACACAGTACAGAAGACAGCTGCTTTCGTTACCTAACATCATTAAATCAAACTGTCAGTAAGTAGGTAAGCGAAAGGAGAAAGGAAACAATAAACAAAGTAGTCTCAAAAATATAAAAAAAAGAGTAAACTAGCATGATCGCCAAGCGTGAGGTCTGTTTCTGTTGGATGATAGTCATCGGCGTTTGGCACTTTGTTTGACGTGTTTGGCGCTTGTAATAAACACCAAGCGTGGAGGCACCATCAGATGGAACTACCATAACTAAATACTACGTCTATGTTAAAAGTAGCATCTAGTGGCCAGCTATTAGCATACTTGCTATTAGCAGAATCAGAAAAATCATTCGAGCATTGTCAAAGCAGACACAACATGCAATGTCAAAACATAGAATTTTTAATATAATGCTAGCCTTTTTAGTTTTGATAATATTAGTTTTTACGAATGAAGTTATCGGGGATATATTGGTGGCTAATGGTACTTACGATGACTACTACCCAGTGTGCCCCGTCAGCTGTAAGTTCAACATTGTTTTTGGTGACTGGTCTCTATGAAATTTATTTTGTACCTTAACACTAACTTGTGCTTTATTTTCAGTGATTCGCAGAAAAAGAGCACACACAGAATATACACGATGGAGAGAGAATCTAGAAACCACACCAGAATTTTTAGTTAAAGTTTTAGATGAGGACTTAGCAACTCCAAATACGAGGCCTGTAGTTGCGGTTAATATTCAGCCAATAACCAGAGGGGGTGAGAAAATAATAGTCGGTGGAGTAATAGTTCCACCACTAACAAGTACTCAAATAATTCCAGAAGGATATCGTGATTATACACGTTTTGTTCCTCCTACAACAATTCCTGTATCAAAATTAGGGGTAGATTTATATCTCGCCCCACAAACACCAGCTATTGACGACATTCCCCCTATAAAACCAAACAGTAAGTTCATACTTGTTAGAAAACTACAAAATTATAAATTGTTCCTAAATTACTTCAAGTATTTTTTTATTTAAGTGCAAATTGCTGCTGGTCGTCATTCACAACGCGATGAGAGTCCTCCGGCAAGTCCTCAATTTTTATCGCGACCTACTTCTGCTTTATATGCACGACAATATGCTCCCATAGCTCAGGTAGCATTTACAAAGCGATCTTCTGCTTTTGTGGAACAAAAACCAACATTCCCGTATGTAAGTAAATAATTAAACTTTACTTCTTTGAAACTTATTCAGTGTTTTATCTGAAGTTTTCTATGTTACCAGACCCTTCAAAGAACGGTAGAAATTGCCACTGATGTTTCTCCCCCGACGCGAACATCAGAACTTCCAGAAATTATATGGCCGCAAAGAACTCGATCCATTTTTGATGAGTTTACTGATATTCAAAATTTGGTATATGATGACATAACCGATATGATTCCTACAAAAACGTCTTCCAATATTATGTTTAACCCACTCAGAACATCTACTATTAAAATGGATATAGATGAAGAACCTCCAACACCGAGTCAAAGGGGGCAAATTTATGAAAATGGTAAATATGACGAAGAGAACAAAATTTTTGTAGAAAATGAAAAGTTTAATATGAATAGTAAAAAGTTTGAAGATGAAAACCGAGAATATATAAAAGAATATAAAAAAGGATTGGTTGATCAAAATAGTATATTATACGAAGAAGGAAATAAAAAATTACATGAAAAAAATGACAAAGATAGTGACAGTATGTATAGCATGATGTTTTACGGAGATGAAGAAAATTATAGTAACAAAAAAGATGATTATGAAGATAAGCTTAAAACAAGCGTAGAATTTCAATTTACAACTGCAAAGAACTTGGAAGAGTATGATATACTAGCATTTAGGCAGAATGCACCTGAATCAGTTACAGATTCCGAATCGGAGGATGAATTTAAAAATAATATTACAAAAAAGAAACCCAGTAAAAGAGTTTTTGGGGCAGACGCTGAACTTATGACAGTATACCCGAAAGAAAAAAATAAAAACGCATCGAAACCAGTTTGTAGTCTAACTAAACTCAGGCATTTGAATTTTAATTCTCCACGTACACTAGCGGAGGTACCTAGAAATAAATAATTATTTATACAAACTTTCACACAGATATGGAAATAAAATAAAATCATATTCGTTTCTTATACGAGATTCGAACCTGACCTGCCACATGTTTCCGTTGTAATAAAATAAATTTTAAGAAGCAAAGCATATTAGCACTATATAATTGTTTTTTTTTCTTATCTAGATAACATACCAATTGAATCAATGGGCTGAAAAAAGTCCCCTTGTAAAATTGGAAGATATAACAAATGGAAATCTCACTACAATGGATAATCCCATTTATTTGATGTCAGTGGATGACCCAAGTAGCGGTCAGATAGTTTCAGCAAAGCAAACTGTGATGATAGTGGCCGGTAACGCTGTTCATTTATTTTCTTTTTCTGATGTGTAACATCTTTCCTCTCGCTTTTGTGCAATTTGTGAGAGTGATTACGTGAAGTGGGACGAAAGTGTGTAACAAGAAGTTTGGGAAGCGCGCGCTATTTGATTTGATTTTAGAACATAATGTTGAAATGGCTTATTCCTTTTGTAGTAGGTTTTATTTCTTTTTTTACTACTAAACATGAGGTTTCAAATGTTACACATCATACGCGACTACTGTAAGGCTTGTTCGTTTTTTTTTCATACATTTTTTGTCTTCAGTATTGAAATTTTAACAAAATAAGCTCGAGTCTGCCTAGCAAACAAAAGATTCCGTACCAAAGTACAATATTTAAAACTACCGCAGCGGCAGGCGGTTGTTAGCGGGGTAACAACTGTAACAAAACTTAATCAAAATCAAAATTTCTTTATTCAATTTGGAAGAGTTTTATTAACCTAACTTTATAGAAATACAACTATAAATTTTCATTTTGTCCTAATGATTGCCCAACTACTGATATAAACTTTAAGGTATACAAGGGCGTGATCATCATGCCGTGGCTGCTGCAATGTATGTTTTGTATCAACTTATTGAGCGCACCGAGACACACACAGACTTACTAACGAAATATCGTTTTTGGATCATCCCTGTCTTTAATCCTGATGGCTACGATTATTCCATGACGTTTCCACACGTGAGTATCTTTTTTTTGTTTCCTAATTATGTTTTATAACGACTTGCAAGGGATGGTCATCTTGTACTCCACATTATAGTTATATTACATATTAATGCGAAAGCGTGACTTCTTCACGCTCAAACCGCTGAACGGATTTACATGAATTTTTGTATAGTGATAGTTTTTATTTCTTTTTGAGTCCCGGGAAAGGATTATTTTTATCTCAGAAATCATCTTTTTCTGGAATGAATAGGGGGTGGAAGTTTGTATGGGAATCAAACAGATGAAGTTGCGGGCACCCGCTAGTATAAAATAATCACCTTTACAAATTCGCAACTGATTTTTATGTCTTTTATAGCGCCGAGAGTGGACAAAGAATTTGCGTCAAAACTGGGAAGTATGCAAGAACCGGGAATCGTGTTCTTACTGTGAGCTGTACGGACTGCGATGCACTGTACAACCGTGTTACGGGGTCAACTTGGACAGGAATTTTGAGTACCAGTGGATTCCTGGTGAGTCCGGGACTCCACAGTGTAGGGGATTGTGTCAGGATCAGGTATCGCAAGCATCTTAAGACTATGGTGGCCGCTTACAATAAGGCATATGCTTATTAACCATCCCTTTAACATAAAAAAAAAAGTTTTAGGTTCCATGCATTAGCTAAAAAGGCTGGTTACAAAATATTCGCAATCGTGTTATTTATTCATAATTTATAAACATTATTTAGTTAATCCATTGACACAAATCAGATCATTATGTAGAACCTTATTTTTTTACGTTTCAATAAAAAAAGGTTTTCATTATGTAACTAATGTAAAAAAAAAAACTAAAATCTCAGTTCCTCTAGTCAAAAGTAATCCGAAGTATTGGTTAATTTCATTTCAAGTTATTGTCTCTCCCCTAGGAATTTACATAGTAAAAGCTTAGAAATCGAAACCTAATATTTTATGTGGGCCTAAGAAGTGAACCAACACGAACGTTAACGTTAGCGAACGAACACAAACATTAAAGTTTAAAAATAAACAAGTACCTAACATTAAAATTATCTGTCGCAAGTTTGTTAATTCCTCTCAAATGAAATGAAGAGAAGAGCAAAAAAGTTCCAGTATTCACTCGGTCTAGGCGTCAGGAAGGATTTTTTTAGTAAAAAATTTCTCCATATTTATAAATCGAGCAGTTTCATATTTTAAATATAACAAATAAAGTTTCTTTTTATAGCGGAGGCGTTACGCGCTGAACATCCTTGCGGGTCACTACACGCAGGCGCACGGCAGTTGAGTGAGGCGGAAACGCGAGCGCTCACGCTGTTCTTGCATTCAAAGCGAATGCTCCTCGTTAACTTTATTGCCTTCAAGGAGGGCGAAGTACTCGTTAGTATATGATTTTACTTCTGACAGTATCTGTGATAATGGACCGATAGTGTCACGAACGCTCTGGAAACAAATTTATCCAGAAGGCCGCGTCCCCGAAAAAATGTGCCTTGGCAGTGCGGCGTAAGGTTGAAAGTGCAATGATAGCTGCCAACTTTTGTTACTTGTTTACTAATGCGTGCAACCTACGTATAAGTACTCGCCGGTACTAGCTGGAAACTTTCAATTGAACTGGAGGGTGCTTGGCTCTGTGCAGTGACTTTACTCACAAGGCGATGACAGTTAAGTTTCAACAGAGATTTCTGAACGATTACAAAGGCGATTAAAATGTAAGTAAAGTGTTCGTGTGCGATTATATAAGGTCGTGTATGTTTATGTATAGTGTCCGTAGCAAACTTTGTTTGCTATAGAACTGTGTGAACTGTGTGCTGATAAAGAATTGTCAAGCGTGAACTGGCTTTATAATTTCGAACCTCCCCGACATTGTACGACAATCAATTCCAGATTTCTGTAAATGTTTTGCAACTTTATTGGAAGTAAAAGATATTAATGTGTACATTTAATCAAATCTTGGTTCTTGCAAATATGAAACTGGTCGTTCCAAAAAGACACATGAGCGGAGCGTTGGGCAACGACGTAGGGGCGCCACGCAGACGAACAAAAGTTTTTGCGGAGCTTAAGGGAGTCCGTACGCGACGAGCTCAAAATGCACCGACTTCGAGAGCAATCTCTTTGCTTAACGCTGTACATGATCGAATTCCGGAGGCTGACATATTATCCCAAAAATTATGTGTGTTTTGTTATTATTTAATGTCATATTTAAGTTGTATGTAAAGTGTTTAGCTGTTAGATTTGTTTTTTTTAACCAGTGTACGTTTTGGTCTAGCACTGTAAGTATACTGTGTAGTAAATAAATAAATAAATTCTGGTCATTAAAAATAATTTCTTTAATGTTTTTGTTACAAGATATAAGCTTTACTTGCTGTTTTTTTTAGTACAATGGCTTGTTCTATTTTTAGGGAGTGATGTACCCATACTCGCATACAAGAAAGTTGCGGGCTTTTGATCAAGTTTACGTAAGTGAGATTTGCTTATATTCCAAACCTACTACTCTATTTTGTGTAGTTTTAAGAGAAGTAGGGCACAGCAATTTTTCTGCTCGAATTGGAGCGCCTGTCTGGGGAAGCAACCTCTTCTTTGCAGAAGATCACAGTAAAAGAACACTACCTTTTGGTGGTGTTGTGTTTCTGCTGGTGGGGGACGTAGAGCATTGGGTTCAGTCCGACAAGGTGAGGATGGCAGGATCGGCACTCTTCCTACCGCTTCATTTGTTTTCGTGACTGGACTCCACTTACACATAACATAAGTGTAGAGGAGAGAAGTGGTGTAATTTATTGCGCCTCGTATAAAAGTATGCTTACTGATGCCTACGATTTGATGATCGATATTAAGACTGGACGCACATGTACGTTAACCCGAGCAGGAATCCCGATTCGGAAGCCTGCATGCACTTCCCTACATACAAAATGTTCAACGATTACTATTTACCCTGTATCATGTATAGCGATTGCTAAATCTCAACGTTAGAGTTCTCATACGTTTGGCAGCACTGCGCGGCGCGGCCGCGCCAACGATCACACAGGCGGATCGTCCAATGTACCTTTTGGACAGCTTTCGGCCACGATTTTGTTCGTGTTGTTGTATCTAGCTTATTTAATATCGTTCATATGGCACCCCTTAAAATTTTTCCTGTGTTTCCTGTTGACGATTCTGTCTCATTTAATACAACATAATCAGTTGCTGGTTAGGGTAATCCAATCATTTGGAAACGATGACGTTCGGAATATTAACATGCTCTTCAAACGCGTCAAAAATGGAACTCACCTTCCTTTCCTCTAAGAGAAGGAATACTTGTAGTCATTATGCAAGATAATGTCATGCCCCATTTGTGGCCCTTGGCTATCATTGTTATATATTTAAGGGCAAAGATGGTGTCATACGTGTCACCGATGTAAAAACTAGAACTGGTGTTTATCGAAAACTGACCGTGAAATTATGTCCGCTGCCTAATCAATAGTCTTAACTAGAATTGTATCTCTTTACCAAGCAAAAATAGTGCAGACGTAAGTGGTTCCTTGATTTATATACTACAGCAGCTATAGCACGAACCAATATCGAATTTGAACCTTTGCGAGTCCGAATTGTCAAATGTGTACTGATTTTTAGTTCTCGTTACGTACTCTATGGTGCTGCTGTTCAAGTTTCTATACAAAATTTGACATTGACATTTCGAACTCGATAATGGTTCGTGCTAAGGGTACAGTACCCCTACCTACCTTCGTTGAAATATTTTTATATCTTCTATAGCTAGCACGAAGTGTTCCCTTAGCACGAACCATTATCGAATTATAACGTTTGCGAGTCCGAAACATCATTGTCAAATGTGTTATGATTTTTAGTTCTCGTGGCGTATTTTGTGGCGCTGCTGTTCCAGTCTCCATACAAAATTTGACATTGACATTTTACAATCGCTACCTATTCGAATTCGATAATGGTTCGTGCTAAGGGTACAGTTCGCGCTAGCTATCGAAGATTTGAATGTATTTTAACGAACCATATACCTACTCGGACCTTGTTTAACTTTATACGCACCAATGATTGAGACCAAGTTCGACTCGAATAATCCGGTTCTTCTCAGTACAAGCAGGCTCTCAAGCCGTAGACTGCGAACCGATGGCATGGCTTTCGACTTTCACATGTGCTTGTTAAAAAAGCTTAAACTGAAAAAAATAATATTAAATTTGATTTTATGTAATTTTATTATATGAATTCTAGAGGCAGCGAGCGTCGCGGGCCGCATCCGCCGCGTACAGTATCAGCGGCCGACCCTACGTTGCGGGACAAACTTCCGAATTCTTACGTAAGACATATTTTTAAATTTTCATAGACTACAAATATTGCCTAAAACTTAGACTATCTTTTAAACAATGTTTCCGTAAAATTTGTATTAAATAAATAAATAAAAAATAAAAATTTCCAACACTCACACCAATTAGCTTAGCCCCAAAGTAAGCACTGTAAGGCATGTGTTATAGGTAACGGATAGAATACATATACTGTACATATATAAGTATATTTATATAGAAATACATATTAAACATCCATGACTGGAGTACAGAGGCTCGTATTCATCACACAAACATCTGCCCACACCGGGATTCGAACCCGGGACTTCTCGAGTCGGGAACACCATGAAACCTGCCGTACAAACCACCCGGCGACGGAGGTCGTCAAATACAACACAATATAAATAATTTAGATGGTAGCTAGACAAAAAAAATATTAACTAACGGCCGTCCACGACTTATTCCTCGTTAACTTTAGTTTTTCGAAATTCCCACAGGAACCTGACATTTTTCCGGGATAAAAAGTATTCTATGCCTCAATTCAGGTCGTAAACTATTTGCGTCCCAAATTTCATCTAAATCGTGCGTGACCTTTTGAGTCACAAATGTACAAATTTTCACATTTATGATATTAGCAGGAATAGGAAAATGGGACCTGTATAGGGGGCCTGAAACGTTAGTAAAAATAATAAATGCACGTTGTTCTACTTGTTAAAAAGGTTTCACTCAAAAAACCTTAGATTAAAACAAAAAGGGTAGATACGGTACGCTCATACTTGCATCAAACAAAAACTGATCCCACAGCAGCGCGAACGGGACGGCGAGATCCGCGTCACTGCATTACCGACCCGAACGAAACAGCACGTTAAGTTTCAACGGCAACGCGAACGAGACGGCGAGATCCGCGTCACTGCACTACCGACCAATCACGCGACCAGTACTCGACGTCACTACCGAATAAGATTCAAAACAAACAGCAATTTTTATGATAAAATATATTCAAAGTACTTACGACTGAAAAGTGATGCTGTGGGTGTTATTTATAGTTCTTGAGCAATTTGAGCACTTTTTATAAACACACTAAGGCATTGTTTTATCATATAAACACAAAATATTAGCAATATTTCTTTTTGGCGTTCACATGTATGTCGTTTGCATTTTAAGTTGTGACTAAAGCGATTAGGGTCGTGGACCGCTTTGGACGGACATGCGGATCACTTTTGTGAGGCTAGTGCCGTATCTACCCTTTTTGTTTTAATCTGAGCAAAAAACACGTTTTTTGCCAAAACAATCTATTTACCTGTATACTGAATGTTTTTAAAGCCCCTAAATAACTTAATAATATTAGGGACGCTCGCAGTAGGAATACCCAGGGAAGACTAGATATGCTACGAAGCGCTGCTACACTTGCTACGAAAGAGTCCTAGCTTTATGTTTCGTAGCAAGAGTAACTACAGAATGCCGCTACATCTCGTCGACAATAGGCTATTTAATAAGTATTTGAAAACATTCATACGTTATTTATTAGTGTCAAGTGACTTCATAAAAAGGATATTTATGATCCTGTTGCGAATATCAAAACAAATATAATACAAAAACAAATATCAACCAGCCAAATTGGACAAGCGAGCGACGAATTTATTACGAAAATAATGTGTTATTTTTCTGATAATAATGAATTAATAAAAAGATAAATTGTTACTCATGTACAATATAAGATTTTTAAAACATGTTTTAATTATTGTTTTTCAGCTCTATATGCAGGTGGCATCGAAGATTGGGTGGATGGTCACCTAGGAATAGACAACACATACACTATTATGATGTTTCGGCCTACAGACTCTTACAACACCAAACTTATTACTGAGGTAAGGAATCGCTACAAATTCGATGACCCGTTTTTTAAAGATAGTGCTTTTTAAATGTTTTAAAGATACATACATTCAGTAACTCGATAGTCATATCTGGTGACTGGTGCCATATATTCTGTTTTGGTAGTATTAACACGTTTGTATGTTTTTAGTTTTAATTTCGCCAAAACTGTTTTTTTTTTATGTTATAGGGGGCATACGAGCAGACGGCTCACCTGATGGTAAGTGATCACCGTCGCCCATGGACACTTGCAACACCAGGAGAATCACAAATGCGATGCCGGCCTTTAAGGAAGGAGTACGCTCTTTTTTTGAAGGTTCTTGGGTCGTATTGGTCCGGAAACACTGCTGGCGACAACATATTCCACAGTTTTGTCGTACGTGGTAAAAAATTTCGACAAAAACGCACGGTTGTGGATAGCCACGCATCAAGATGATGGGGATGAAATTTTTGTCGCGATGTACGATGGCGAAATGCAGCAGCTGGAATTAATCCGAACAATTCCTCAGAACACTCCCCGTGATAAATGCGATAGAAGATGCAGAGCGAAGCTACATCCCTACTAGTCCAGTCGGAATAAACATGAGACCTATTCTAAGACACCAGCGCTTAGCCAATTTTTTCCTAGATAGTATAGACCCCCACGAATATGCTCTCCATTTGTCCCTGCTAGAACCCGTGTTTTGTAGCCAGGAAAATTGTTTAAACAAAGAAAAACCGGTTTTTTTGAGTTTTTTTGCTTGTAAACGGAGATTTTGAAAATTTTTTTGAATCAAAGTTATTCATTAGCTTGCCCTCTACAAAATCAGTTCTATGAAAAAATAACGTGAGATTGTTAGTTTAGCAGTAAATTGCAATTATGTCGGTTTTACGTTTGCAACAATTCAACATGTTATAATAAACATTTTGATTTCTAAAGTAGTTTATCATGTGGGTAACGCCACTCCCAAGAGAGTCATGTAAAATTTATCGACCTGTGTCGCAAACTTTAGCAACAATTCTCAATCTCCGAAAAAAAAGTACTTGTAAAGGAGAGAAAAATACATTAGTTTAAAAAAAAATATTCTACGTCAATTTTTAAAAAAAAATTAAATCGTCCAAAAACGAACATTTTTATTAACGATTTTTTTCTACTCGATCGATTCCTCAAAATTCTTAGTGAATCGAATCACCTGAATTTTTTTCCCCGCTGTGCGCCTTCTGGGAAAGACGGGACAGGCAAGTACTTTCTTTTCGGAGATTGAGAATTGTTGCTAAAGTTTGCGACACAGGTCGATAAATTTTACATGACTCTCTTGGGAGTGGCGTTACCCACATGATAAACTACTTTAGAAATCAAAATGTTTATTATAACATGTTGAATTGTTGCAAACGTAAAACCGACATAATTGCAATTTACTGCTAAACTAACAATCTCACGTTATTTTTTCATAGAACTGATTTTGTAGAGGGCAAGCTAATGAACAACTTTGATTCAAAAAAATTTTCAAAATCCCCGTTTACAAGCAAAAAAACTCAAAAAACCGGTTTTTCTTTGTTTAAACAATTTTCCTAGCTACAAAACACGGGTTCTAGCGGGGACAAATGGAGGGCATATTCGTGGGGGTCTATACTACCTAGGAAAAAATTGGCTAAGCGCTGGTGTCTAAGAATAGAAGTCGGTCCAAATTATGGCTATTCCGACTGGACTATACGCAAAGTCAAAGGATCAAGCTGATCGGAAAGGTCCTGGTCGTCGACGATTCGAGCCGCTCGGCGCTGGATGCGATCCAAAGGGAGAAGCTGGTACTGGGGTGCCCCCGCCCAAAGATGAGAGCAGTACTCCATGTGAGGCCGAACCTGTGCCTTATAAAGCTGCAGTCGGTGGGCCGGCGTGAAGTACATTCTCGATCTATTGAGCACACCAAGCTTCTTAGAGGCCAATTTGGCCTTGCCCTCTAAATGATCGCGAAACTGGACGTCGCTCGATATGTCAACGCCAAGAATTCCAATACTAGCTGAGGCAGTTAGAGGAGTGTTCTCAAAAAGAGGAGATACGACAAATGGTATTTTTTTGCGGTGAACGCGCATACTTGTGTCTTCGAAGGGTTAAATTGGACTAGATTAAGTCGGCCCCAATTCGTTACTCGGTTTAACAAAGTTTCGACTTCAGACACAAGTTTGTTCCGGCACTCGATGACGTTTTCCCGTGAAATGTTGGCGCGGCCGGTATATAGGGCATCACCCGTGCTGTCGTCTGCATAGCAATGAATGCCATCAATTTGAAGCATATCATTGATATGAAGAAGAAACAGCGTAGGCGATAGCACACAGCCTTGTGGAACACCAGCGTTTACGGATTTGGAGTCCGAGCATGCACCGTCGACTGCGACCTTGATGCTCCTGTCTTCGCCTTTTTTAGGAATTGGGTGCACTAAAGCTGTCTTCCATGAGTTCGGAACGACACCTAAAGAGTAGGAGAGCCGGAAAAGACGCGTTAGTACCGGAGCCAACTCAGGAGCACACGTCTTCAGCACAATTGGTGAGATTCCATCAGGCCCGCTTGACTTGTGGATGACAAGGGAAAAGAGTGCTTTACGCACTAAGCTTTGTGTGAACCGGATCTCCGGCATAGAGCTCTCACACCGCGAGATGGTCTGCGGTATATATCCCCTGTCATTTAGAGTCGAGTTAGACGCAAAGAGTGAGCATAAAAGATCCGCTTTCTCTTTTGCAGTATGGGCCACCGATTCGTCGCCATTGTGCAGGGGTGGAAGGGATGGCTTACAGAAATTTCCTTCAACAGCCTTGGCAAGAGACCAAAACGCGCGTGTTCCAGAGGGAAGTTTTATTTATCTCTCGCCAATGCTGCTAATGTGCTCCGACTTCGCTCTGGCAATTACTCTTTTGCAGGACCTGGAGGCCAAGTTATACTTCTTTTTGGGATCGCTAGTGTTGTTATCCCCGACCGCCGCTGCGTTTGCCCAGGCCTGATAACACATCTGTTTTTGGCGAGATGCCAGTTTACAGTTGTGACCAAACCAAGGCTGGGATTTGCCACCAATGGGAACCACAGAGGAAGGAACAAAAAGTTCCATACCCTGAAGGACAACATCGGCGACAGAATCGGCAGCGACGTTGGGATCATTCTGCGAGAAGCAAACCTGGCCCCAAGGGTAGGATGAAAAGAAAGTGCGCATCCCATCCCAGTCTGCTGACTTATAGTGCCATACACGACGACAGCCAGCAAATTGCGGCCGCGGTGAGTAAGTGAGTGGCACCATACTCCGGATTAGACAATGGTCCGAGGAGCCAAGAGGGGCATCTATGGACACTTTGTAATTATCCGGATGTGAAGTCAGCAGAAGGTCCAACAGTGAAGGAGTATGGTGACCAGTTGTGTCAGACCATAGGCCAAGGCGAAGTCGTGAGCAGATCTGCCTGCATGACGGTAGTGGGCGATACAAGCCATTCGGAGTGGTGGGCATTGAAATCGCTAAGGATCACAATTTCAGATGATGGGATCTGCTGAAGCACGGAGTCTGTAGCCACCTGGACGTGATCATAGAGTCGGTCAATTTCGGTATTTCCGCTATGAGACCTGTAAAGGCAGGCGTAGACGCGGGGATGGTCATCGACGTCTACACGCAACCATAAGATGCAGAGGTCCCTACCTTCAAAGTTGCTGAGGCGACGGAAACTGATACGCTCTTTAACGTACACACATACCCCAGCCCGTGGTACAAAGGAATGTTTCAAAGTATACCCAGGGTACTGGAGGTAGGAGGTGTCGGCTGGAGAGGATATCTGCGTCTCAGTCAAAAAAAGCAAGGCCGGCTGCACTGTCTGAAGGTGGTAGTGAACAGCATTAAGGTTGGAGTGCAAGCCCCTGATGTTGCAGAAATCCACGTTAAACGTGGCAGGGGGTGTCGTATGACGCTTGCTCTGGCCTCGAGCAGTTTCGGTAATGAGCGCGGTTTCGCCCTCCCCAGAATACGAAGGGCAGCCTCGACGTCCACGTCCAGAAGGAGACAGTTCTGGGCATGGACGTCCAGAGGGGGATTCTCCAGCGTGAAAACAGCTGGTACCCCCCTGGGGTATTATCCTATTTAACTGCGCCATCATGAGGAGGGGTGGGGGGGGGGGCTCCGGTAGCCTCACTCACTCGGCGAAACACACCACAAAGTATTGCTTCACGCCGGTATTCTGTGAGGTCGTGGTATTCCTCCGGTCGAGCCGGCCCATTCATGCAGTAGCCTAAGCTACTGCGTGGCTCTCCCACGATAATAGGTACATTCAACCCTTAGATTAAAACAAAAAGGGAAGATACGGTACGCTCATATAAAGTATGATCCGACTCAACAACATAAGCAGCTTCCACTCACGCACACGTCTGTATATAACCATTCAATCAAGCGAGCAATTTTTCTGTTAAGCCCTTTAACCAGCGCGAGCAAAACGCCGAGTCCGCTTTCAAGTCCGTAGGGCTGAGCTGTATTGTTGTGATAATATTATGGTGATATCGTAAATAACATTCACAATAAACCGTGATTTTTAGTAAAAAAGGTTTCCTAGTTTTACGAATTAAAAGTGATGCCGTGAAAGGAGATTGCTCAAATTGGCCTAAATGCACAAAAAATATTGACATACACGGTAATTCTTGGTGTAATTTATAATTTAATTTACAGTCATTAGATTTCAACGGACACCTTTGTATAATATATTTACTTTAAAAAGGACTTATAATATTACCGGTTTGGAAAACATACGAATCATTTTAATGGCTATGGGTGTAGTAACATTCAGCCAAAGACTGATCGAAGTTGTTTATATAACATATAAACAAATTTATTTTGTAAAGATCGATAAAATAAATCATTTGTTTTATTACACTATAGTATTAATATCCACCACTATATTATCATTTTCATTAGATGCTCAGACAATTATTATAGATGGTAGGCGACATCATAAAGTCTATTGCCATACATTTTTCGCCAACCACCTCCATAAACACATTATAATCTGTATATATGTTAGACTTTAAGGTATCTATCTATGGGCCTACGTTCCCTGACTATAAATTGATAAATAAATAAAATTATAAGGTAAAAAAAAAGTATGTGATACACTTAAAATCTAAAATATGGTTATCTTAAAAGCATAATAAAAATAATGAAGCTACTAAATATACGGCTATAGAACCTAAATCTCTTAGCTTTCTTTGGTTAACTAGAGTTTAAAAATTCTCTCTAATCTGTGGCTCATTCACAATCATCACACAGTTTCTGTCACAGAGTATCATATTATAACCGGAAATGACACCTGATTTTAAGTTACTCTTATGCATTAACTTTAAAAATAGGCAACTATCTGTTAATCTACATGCTCTTTATACCTGAATCTAATCCATAATTTCGGTACTTGGCTTGATTTCCCTAGTTTACTATATAACTTATTTGTTTTTTATTATTTTAATATGTTCAGTGTATATAGTTTATAGAAGTTCTCAGGGGTATCCGTCAATAATATTCGTTTCTACAGTAATTTATATATATTTTCGAATCTAGGAAACAATTTTTCATGATTATTGGTCTTTAGCCAAACATGTATGGAAGCTGAGCAATCTCCTTTTTGAAAATAGTTTCAGTGTTCTTTACCAACCAACTTAACAAATGGTCTCATGACAAGGGACTATGTCTTAATACCTCCAAAACTAAACTAATGTATATAAGCTCGGTACATAATAGGAAAACATTTAATACATCTCTTGTAGCACATAGTCATAGCTGCTTACATGCCGGAGTAAATAACGTTGCATGTTTAGGCACCTGCGATCACATAGAAACGGTAGAAAATATAACCTACCTAGGATTAGCCATTGATCACAACTTCAATTGGCAAAGTCATATCAACAAAGTGTGTGATAAATTGAGAGCAGTATTGGCTAAGTTTAGTCTGATAAAAAATAAAATACCTTATCATATAAGGCTAATGTTATACAAGACGTTAGGAGAATCGATAGTATCATATGGACTAAGCTGTTATGGCTGCACATATAAATCATATTTAAATCAAATATATAATTTGCAAATTAGAATTTTAAAAACAATAGTGCCGTACAAAATAAAATTAAAATATAAAGGAAAATATGAAGAATTATTCAGTCATTGTAAAATAATGCCTATACATGATAAAATTAAATATCAGTTGTTATGTGAAAATTTTTTCAATACTGCAATTCAAAAACCCGTTAGCCATTCGATATATACCAGGAATATTAATAAACAACGCCTTATCTACTACCTCATTTTACTAACACTTACGTTAGTAGACTTTTAAGTCATATACTACCTAAAATACTTAACGAATTACCACCCTCTCTTAAGCAGAAAATAAATACAAAGAATATCAAATATGTGCTTAAGAAATACTTTGTTGAATTGATTTGTGATGAGCATAAGTAGTAACAATCTTTTCTGTTTTATTAATTAATGGTTTTATTAAGTAATTATATCCTTCATTGCATGCACTTTTAATTTTTTATTTTCGTAGGTTTGTATATTGCTTATTATAATTTATATAAAAACAATGTGTAAATATAATCATCATGTATGCACTAGGTATTGTTAAGGCGAAAACTAGTTTGGCGCTTCTGTGGCCCGATACTGCAGAGAGGGATTACTATATGTCCATCTTACTCCAACTCGCTCATAAACAAAATGTAGCCGCACCACTCTGACATCGTCATCAACACAATGGCGATATGACGAGGTGCGCGATCCTCGGACGGACAATATAAATTCTACCTGCACCTCATTGATAAAATAATAATTTGTGTATGTACCTACTGTCCAACTGGTGAACACGGCGACGGACAAACCTTGCATGGTTTTTGTTCGCCGTTATTACTTATATGTTTTGATAATGTAATTGGGAAATAAATAAATAAATAATAAAAAAAAAATATAAAAGCATCGAAGGCATTGTTTAACTTTTATAATACATAATGTACGCAATATTGTTATATTGAGTGCACATGCAGCGTGTTTAAATGTCCAATTGTGATTAAAGCGAACTGTGGTCCTGCACCACAATTTAAGCGTATCACTTTAGAGCCGCGAGTGCCGTATCTTCCCTTTTTTTGTTTTAATCTAAGATTTTACCCAATCGTTTCCACGTAATTTATCTACTTAATATAATAAATACGTAGCTGCACGTCAGTCTGCGCGACACTGTCCTTCCTTCACATTTTCGCCAATGTACCTAATGTAATCTTCACTTGGTGCTTTAGATATAAATGAGTTGTTAATCGTGTTAATATATAATTGAATGATAAGATATGAAAGGGGTTTGAACTTTTTTGTATGAAAGCTGGCATAATTGGCCCATGGCGGCATGGCGGCAGGTCGATATGCCGGATGGGTTCTTTACCCTTTAAATTCATTATATGGAATTTATTGTTAACAGCGCGTCGTGCATGAAGCTTATGCAGCCATGGATACTTTACTGCTGCAAAGTGTGACGCCTCCGCTGTCACCGCCGTCAACTCTGAAGAGAGCTAACGCATCGTCGCAGATGTATTCAACGCAGTTGTTTACTATCACATTTGCTATAGCCTTACACTACAGATTAACTGTTACTAAATAAGATTGTGTTAGATGATGTTGTTTATAAGCATCGAATTGGAAAGTCGTCGTGGAGGTTTTGATTTAGAATTTTGACCGAACATGCGATTAAAGTATTAATGAAGGTTTAATGAAAATGAATTAAGATATTCGATCGTTGTGTATTGTTATCTTTGGCATTCCATATTAGTCAGTCGCTTTGTTTGTAAAAATACTGAATTACTATTTATTGCTACTTCAGTCTTACACGTTGTTTTTTTTTGGAAAGTTCTTTATGACAATGATATTATCACAGTAGGTATTTAAAACTCATTTGAACTTTTACGAGCTCTTGTGATTTCCATATTTTGTTTTTGTTAAATACTACACTTTTTGTACCTTACTTATCTTAACTATTGTAATTATGAATACAATTTTAATCTTTATATACGTGTTTTTTTTACAAAATTTTAAATTCTTAAAACACATTTATGAATAAATGGAAGAATGACGCTTTCTTTAATGAAAGTTGTGTTATCTATGTAAGATACCTATCTATATTTTTCACAAAACTGATAATTTTTATTACGGATCTTTGTAAATATTTTTATCAGTGATTAATATCGTGCGGTATTTTATTGTGGTTTTTGAGTATTTACTAAAATACTAGTAGATGCGTAGTAAGGTCACTACACTTATAACTAAACGTAGATTAAGTACATCAGATTCCTTGATAGAAGGTACATTGATTAGTTAATATCACTTGAAGTGTCATTTTTATTGCGACCACTAAACCTTGTTTATAAATAAAAATCCTTAAAAGATTTCATTCATTTATTGACACAAATGTTTAGGCATAAAAATACCGAACAGTCATTCAACTAGCTTAGGTAGCTAGATGTTAAAAAGTATCTTTGTATATAATTTTATAAATGATGGATACACAAGTCATAATATCTTGCAATAGTATTGTCATTTCATCATCATCATTATGTCAGCTGGCTGTACGACGCCCACTGCTAACTAGGCCTCCCTAAAGGATCTCCACATTTACTTGATGTTTATTTGTCGCAATAGCAACGTACACTCAAAAGAACTTCTAAAGTTGCTGTAGTTGTCGCTGGTTAAACGGCATTTACACTACCTAATTTAAGGGCCCTATCGAAAGGGTTAGGGTTAGGCCCTAGCTAGGGTAGCAATTATCACACCGCCCTATCAATCGGACCCTAACAGTCTGAAGGTAAAAGTCGTCTCCTTTGAACGTTGTTATGGCACCGATGCATTCTGATATTTTTCATTTGTTTCCCGTGGTCCACCTCGTAGTCCACCCAGGTGGACCAAGGGGATTATTTTTTCCCCGTGGTCTACCTGCATAGCCATATGTTTCTAACAGTAAATTATGACAGTAAATTAAGGATGTTCTTATGAACAAAAAAGCATTTAAAATATACAATATAATTTTTAAAAGCGTAATTTTTCTAAAGCGATGCCTACAGAAATATCGTTATTAATTAACTGCATCTGAATATCTTTTATATAATCGTCGTTTTCTATATCCAATTTGCGCCTTTTTGATTTTGCAATTCTTCTGGTGCTCAAGACACAGGTAGTTTCAATGGAACTACCAATGAACTCAAAAATAGAATACAATTGATAAAAGGGTTTTGGGCAGCATTTAAATGTGCCATCGCCCATAATTTTATTAAATGTACCAAGTTTATTCCTTGTGCTAGGGGAACAAAATATTATTATTCTTGACCCCTCATAATAATAAATCAGCCAGTATAGTGCCCGGCACGTAAGTTGACCCAAATTTTAGTTTTCAGCGCATATTTTTTCAAAGAAGAACATCAAACCATCATCAATTATTAACTATACAATATCTAATAAAAAAACGTTTTTCTGTAAAAAAACATGTACCTACTGAAAATTTTAATTTGGGTCAACTTACGTGCACTGTCACTGTATAAAGTTTTCGAATTGTGCTGGCAAAACAACGTCTTCCATGTTTTATAATAGATGTACCTATGCTACATGCAGATCTTGATACAAAATGACTTGCATAAAAAAGTTATCGCGGTTGTAAGCGAAGTGTCAGGTGGACCACGGGTAAAATTAATTTCCCGTGGTACAACCAGGTGAACTACGGGGGGAAAAAAAAACCTGTGGTCCACCTGGTGAACCACGGGAAAAAAATAATCCCCGTGGTCCACCTGGGTGGACTACGAGGTGGACCACGGGAAACAAAGGATATTTTTTTATTAATTTCTCCAAATCCTTCGGCACTTTTCTCTTTATTAAAAGGGAAATATGTAAATGATCATCATTTTTTTATAATTCTCACATAAATACAATTGGTAACCTTAGTATCAAGATTGGACAGAGCATCAGCGGAAAAATGTACTTTTTTCCGATGAAACCAAGATTAAAAGAGTATGCTCTGACGGCAAGCATAACGTACTTAGCTAAGAGTACGTATCGTACGTCAATATGCCCTTATTCAGTCTTAAATACCGTAAAAACCCATTATTCGCGGGGTATACGTTCTAGAATATGCATATATATAACTACATATATATAACATTTTTTTATGATCAAATAAGTTTTCCATAATATTGATTAATTATTGTCAGGCAAGGGTTTGAAGAACTTTTACTTTAAGCTGTAACACCAGAGAAACACTGTTGTTTTTCGCGTCCGAACTACTTAGATTTTTTTAGTTGACATTTTTTAAATTAGAGATACAGCTGATACGTGTTACTCGAACATAATTTTTGTAATGAATGAAAAGAGAAGACAATACACCACGCAAAGCGGTTCTTACCAAACGACATTGCGGATCATCTAATACCTATATATGTGATAGCATTTAAAAATATACTTTAGGCTTTATAAGACTGTTTTACATAAACATATACTGTTTGGTTACATTCTCAAAAACACCGACCGCGGCGAAGGCGACTCATATCAAAGGAAAAGGCGAACCCGGCGATAGTACTTGATAACAAATTTCGGCGTAGTCAACATGGGTACCTTCCTTGTTACTCGTCCAAACAACTGTGCCTCAACTAGCCGTCTTTGAACGGTACGCGCAGAGATTGCGCTAGGATTATTCTCACCAAGAACTTCATTTTTAATTACGTTTGAGCCTTTAAACGGGTACTGCTTAGCGTAGAGACATTTTTCTTGCTTTGGGTTTGCGAGGGATATTCGAGGTTCTTGATGTGTATTAAAATGTTTCACGGCTTGGTACACGATTGTTTTTGAGCAATGCAAGTGATCAGCTTTTTTTATACGACCAATTACGAGCACATAATTTTACCCAACCAATTGCGAGTTCGTATTGGTCAACAATATTAAAAAAAGATCCAGATTTATTATTATTTCTCTAGCAGTAGAGTATTTCCCATCTTATTAAAAAAAATGTAAAAAACGTATATTCTAACAATAACAGTGCGAAAACGTAATTAAAATAATAATGCCAAACATCACATTCCATTTTCAAAATAAAAAAGAACAATATGTTTTCGTTCTTAATTATTATTTGTCCAGCCAGTATTTCGGCAACTGTACGAGTTCCTATGATTTAATAAGTAGACATTTATAAAATTTCGACGAAACTATTACTTACATGAAAAATGCAGATCGCTCTTAAGAATATTCAACAACACTAACAGACTATGTTTAGAAACGAACCATGCACTGAAATTATGGTCAAAACATAGTATGTATTAGCTTTGTATTATTAAACGTTCTTAATTATATGACCATCACTGTATATACCAAATGTTTATCAGACTATCTGTAGAATTTATTAATCTTAATTATTCAATAAAAGATATCTTAATTGACGGCTATTGCTAAATCAATTTATACCTACTTAACAAGAAAAAATTATGTAGCGTTCTTAATTTAATGCTTGTGAATTTTTCTGCTTGAAATAATAAAGAAGAAGTCACAAGAATTAGAATAATTCCAAGCATTAGAAGTCATAAGCGCCTGCTTGCATTAAATTAAAATGATTCATAATTTTCTCTTTTGATTTTGCAGATAAACTTTTACCTTTTCATGTTTGGTGAAAAGTTTGTATGGGAACCTTATTCCTGGGAGGCCGATCTTAGGATAATGAAAATCGATTAAATTATATTTTAAAAGAAAAAGTAGTCAAATCTAGTAGCATCTAGGGTTGCGCCTGCAAATGTTTTAAACTCATCAATGTTTTGGCTCATTGTGTGCCCACGATACAGGACCTCCTAGTGTAGGACCCATGGTTATAAGCTGACTGGATGATGTAAATTTTAATAAAAATATTTGTATTTGTCATGACATTTTTGAAGAGTGGGGGGTATATACTATAATGGGTAGTGGCCGTTAGTTGTTTTTCATTTACAAACTGTTATTCTGGTTTTGATATATGTGTACGAACCACAATAAAATTATTGAGATTAATGTCTACATAAATAAATGGTTTCTATTTTCACACTTTTTATGATTTGTCGTGTACTTGTTGTATATCTTGTATACCTATTTTATTTTCAATGTCTTGGCGAATAATGAAAGCAACAACTTAATGTCCTATTTATTACACAATTGCTGGTTCCAAATTAAGAATCAAGTTGTTATACCATAAAATTAAAATATCTTATTGCATTGCAATAAAGGGATTACAATATTTGTAACAGAGGTAAGAGAACTGAGAAAATGCAACATATATTTTTTAAACGTATCAAATTGGGACTATCTCCATTGTGAACTACTCATATCATTTGATATGAGGGTCGAATATTGCAAAATTATAGTCTATAATATACAGCTAAGTAATAGTACTCGAACTGGTTTTATTCTAAGGTCATTTTAATCGAATTCAATTGAAGGTCTCTGTGATTCCGTTTGCATATCCTTCATAAAGTGAAGTTACGCAAAGGTATTGAATAACTTCCAATACTATTAAAGGCCAATCCAAAAATAGCGTGTCTTTTTAGGGTTGCGTTGTAAAAAAGGAAACCTTAAACTTAGTCTTGCCATCTGTTTGTCCACAGGTATTATATTTTCTAACGACTCAATCTGGAATGTCGCCACGAAAGTTGAGCGGAGAACGTTTTTTACATTTTTCGATCCAGTAAAATAATTTTATTGTTTCGTATAATTTTTTAAGTAAGTAGTTTTTATTAGTTAGGCCCTGTAAATTAATTTTATACATACTTAATATTTCGGGATCTTTTAGTTCATAGTTATTAGTAGGTAAGACAGTTTCCGTTACTTTAAAAAAATCCGATTTGCATTTATTTCCTTTTTTGAATTAATCTAATAAGTCGTAGTAGGTGTAAAACTAACCTAACCTACTTACCTCCTACTCTTTTTATGCATTGGTTGTAAATAAGTATTGATAATTTAATTTCTTAGTTTCTTTTTTTCCATTTAAAGGTGACTTAAACACATCGCCGTGCGGTGAGCGCATCATTTTTACTACGTAGCTGCTTATTAAGGGTTTTTTTATGATGATAAATCTCAATCTGTACATCTGTTTTGTTCGAATCATTTTATTTTTGTTTTTCTACGATGACTAGCAAACGAAAGTCCAATTTAGCTATTAGCTCTAGCAGAGCTCGGGCTGCTAAACTTGCTAGATCACTGGAATCGGAAAAGGATTCACAGATCTGTCGGACTTTAGATGCCGAGCGTCTCGCAACTCAAAGGGCTGCTGAAACTTTTGAGCAAACGCAGACCCGTCATAATTTCGACGCTGATCGTTCTGCTGCACAAAGGGCTGCAGACACCTCTCAGCAGACCCAAGCTCGCCAAGTCTTGGATGCCGAGCGTCACGCGGCTCAAAGAGCTGCAGAGACCTCTCAGCAGACCCAAGCTCGCCAAGTCTTGGATGCCGAGCGTCACGCGGCTCAAAGAGCTACTGAGACCTCTCAGCAGACCCAAGCTCGCCAAATCTTAGATGCTGAGCGTCAAGCTTCGTACATAGCCGCAGAGACCTCCGAAGAAACACGTAGATCACGTTTAATTAATTCCGAGCGGCAAGCAGAAAGGAGACTTACGTTTACGATGAATACATGGGAGGCATTTGCCGATGCTGCTTTTGATTATGATCCGTTAATTGATTACTTTAATCATCGATTAGTCCTCATAGGTAGAATGGCCAATAAATGCAGACACTATGAGGCACTCAAGTGGAAGGAAGAGACCCCAGGTATGTGCTGTTCTGGAGGCAAAGTATCAGTACCAACGCTTGGTGACCCCGACGAGCCACTCAAATCCTTACTTCTATATGACAGCAATGAATTTCGGCGATTTTTAAACAGAATAAGAAAGTACAATTCTTGCTTTCAAATGACATCATTTGGTGTGGGTAATGAGGTCATTATGCGGATTTTCACCTACATTTACGGTGCAAGGGCAAGTTTATCATAGGATTGGCTCTTTGCTTCCCACAAATAATGATCAACCAAAATTTCTACAGATTTATTTTATGGGAGACGAAAATAGCGAGGTTGACTGCAGATGTCAAAATATTGAAGGAGTTGAAAGGGACATTGTTTTAAAAATTCATAGAATGTTGCACGAACATAATAACCTCATTAACACCTTCAAAACAGCCTTAGAAAGAATGCCAGGGGAAAATAACAAATTAGTTATACACCCAGATCGTACGCCAAGCGAGGAACATGAAAGACGTTATAAAGCATTCTTAATAAACGAAGTCGCCGCCATGGTTTGTGGTGAACAGTTCGCATCGCGTGATATTGTTTTACAAGCCCGTGACAACACATTGACCAGGGCGCCCGACACACACAAGTTTTATGACGCATTACAATACCCGCTTATGTTTAGCAAGGGGCAAGAGGGGTACCACTTTCAAATTCCACAAGTCAATCCAGTGACCAACGTCCCCTTGTCCAACAAAAAAGTATCGAGCATGGACTTTTATGCCTATCATATGATGATACGCGAAGACGATTTTAACGTAATACAACGATGCAAACAGCTCGCTTACCAGTTTTATGTTGATATGTAAGTGAAGGTTGAAAGCGAAAGATTGCGATACATATCATTAAATCAAACAAAATTAAGAGTCGAAATTATATTCATCTCCAAGATTCTGTATCGAATGATGCCAACGTGAACCCTAATAATATAGGTAAAATGGTGATTCTCCCTCTTCGTTTGTGAACAGTCCCCGAAACTTACACGAGTATACTCAAGACGCATTTACCTATGTGCGTACGTATGGTCGACCTGATTTATTCGTAACCTTCACCTGTAATCCATCTTGGTCTGAAATAGTTAACGAATTGATGCCAGGTCAAAGCGCCAACGATAGGCACGATGTCATTGCCAGAGTGTTTAGGTTAAAAGTTAAAAAGCTAATGACTGTAATAACTAAAGGAAGGGTTTTTGGAGAAGTGCAATGCTTTATGTATTCCATTGAGTGGCAGAGGCGAGGGCTCCCACATGCCCACATTTTGCTTTGGTTAAAAGATAAATTGCGACCTGACTAAATTGATAAAATTATAAGCGCTGAAATACCAGATCCTAACAATGACAAGGCACTTTATGATATTGTTATGAAAAACATGATCCACTGTCCATGCGGGGCTGAAAACCCTTTGTGCCCGTGCATGAAAGACCGTAAATGCACAAAAAAAAATCCTCGCAACCTACTAAAAGAGACTCTCCATAATGAGAACGGCTACCCGATGTATCGTAGAAGAGCACCAGAAGACGGAGGCCGGACGGCATCTGTTAAACTCCGAAATGGTAGTCAAGCTTCTGTCGACAATAGTTGGGTAGTACCATATTCGCCTGTCCTATTAAAAACTTTCAACGCCCATATAAATGTAGAAGCTTGCGGTTCCGTGTGTGCATTCAAATACATCTGCAAATAGATTAATAAAGGCAGCGATCAAGCTATTTTTAATTTCAGTAGCTCTGAGTCCTCAATCCCAGTAGACGAAGTACAAACGTTTCAGTCTGGTCGCTATGTCAGCAGCAACGAAGCTGTATGGCGCCTGTTAGGATTTCCTTTGCATGAAAGGCATCCTACTGTTACACACCTCAGTGTGCATCTAGAGAATGGTGAACGAATTTATTTTAATGAAAATAATTTTCACCAGCGAGTGACAACACCACGAAAAACCACTTTGACCGCCTTTTTTGACCTTTGCAGATCAGATGAATTTGCAAAAACACTTTTGTACGTTCAGGTACCTCGGTATTACACGTGGGATGCCAGTAGAAAATGTTGGAAACGCCGAATTCAAGGAACTGCTGTTCTGGATTGGCCGGGCGTTAAATCTGGAGATGCATTAGGATGGGTCTATACTGTCCACGTTAGCAACATCGAATGCTTTTGTTTGAGACTACTGCTACGCCACGTGCGTGGGCCAACTTCGTTCAATGATCTCAAGAACTACAATGGTCAAACTTTTGTTACCTTCTGAGAAGCCTGTGAAACTAGAGGATTGTTAGAGAATAGTAATCATTGGGACTCTGCGTTAGAAGAGGCTGCACAATGTAGATCAGCAGCTAAGGTGAGAGATCTTTTTGCCATTCTCATAGCGACGTGTGGTCTTTCAAATCCTCAGATATTATGGGAAAAGTACCAAAATGATATGTCTGACGATATTTTGCACAGACTACAACAAAATAATCCCAATGTCACATATAATGATTTATTATATAACAAGACGCTAAGATTGAAGACCAAGTGATGGCTATATCTGGGAAGACATTATCAGATTTTGGAATGAACCGGCCACAAAGAATCGGAGAAGTCAGTAGTGATTTAATAAGAGAACTGGACTACAATGTCTCTACTTTACAGCAACAAATATCAGAGTCTGTTCCTCGATTGAACACGGAACAAAAATTTGTCTTTGATATTGTTGTGCAAAGAATCGATAATGGTGAGGGTGGATTGTTTTTCTTAGATGCGCCAGGAGGTACTGGAAAAACTTTTCTATTAAATTTACTTTTAGCCCAAATCCGCAAAGACAAAGGAATAGCTGTTGCCGTAGCTTCCTCTGGAATTGCGGCGACGCTGCTCGATGGAGGCCGCACGGCACATTCAGTACTTAAACTCCCATTAAATTTACCTCATGAGGAAATTCCAGTTTGTAACATTACAAAAAACAGCGATCGTGGCCGAATGCTACAGCAATGCAAGCTGTTGGTGTGGGATGAGTGCACAATGTCACATAAAAAAGCAATCGAGGCGCTCAATCAGACTCTGAAAGATATCAGAAGCAACCAGAGTTTAATGGGTGAGATGGTAGTGCTGCTTGCTGGTAATTTTCGACAGACACTACCTGTCATTACCAGTGGCACTCCAGCAGATGAGATAAATGCATGTTTGAAGGCGTCTACATTATGGGTGCATGTAAAAAAAAATTGTCTCACTAAAAACATGCGAGTACAACTACATAATGATACGCAATCGGGGCAATATGCAGCTGCTCTATTGAAAATTGGTGAAGGTAGAATGACTACGGACGCTAACGCCATGATTACATTAAATCAAGAATTTTGTAAAGCTGTCCATAACTTGGAAGATCTTAAAAACAACGTCTATCCCGGTTTGGAATATAACATGAGGAATACAGAGTGGCTGTGTGAAAGGGCAATATTAGCACTGACCAATGAAATCGTGGAACAGATCAATGAACAAATGATGTCACAGGTGACATCTTATCCTACAGAGTTTCTAAACTCTTTAGAGCTGTCAGGAGTGCCGTCACATAAGCTGAGACTGAAAATTGGGGTTCCAGTTTTGTTAATGAGAAATCTCGAAGCGCCGAGACTGCAACGGGACTCGATTGCAAATTACGCAGCTAGGACACAATATTATTAGAGCAATTATAATGACAGGAATAGCTAAAGATGAAGAAGTTTTGATTCCCCGCATACCCATGATCCCTACAGATTTACCTTTTCAGTTTAAAAGAATCCAGTTTCCCCTCAAACCAGCCTTCGCAATGACCATTAACAAAGTGCAAGGGCAAACATTTAAAGTAGCAGGTGTCAATTTAGAGAAAAACTGTTTTTCGCATGGCCAACTGTACGTGGCCTGCTCGCGAGTGTCGAGTCCAAACAATCTCCAAATGTTAACAAATAATAACAAAACAGCAAACGTTGTGTTAATTTTTTAAATTAGGTCATTTTAAAATATTTTTGTACACAACGTGACGCTGGCCCCTGTAAGTGTCTCTTGGACATAAGGGACCAATAAATTTTCCTAGGTACTTTCTGCCACTCAATGGAATATATAGGTACCTTATACCTACTGTAAACAAATGTGATATAATGATTTTTTTAATATATATTGCGATGAATTTAATAATGTTTTTGTACCCAAAAAAATATTTGTTAATGATGCGGTAAATTTTAGTAAGTGGGCTACGCCTGGAATTCATAAAAGTAGAAGAACACTTTATGAACTTTATAATGAACGAAACTCTAACACTAGTGAAAAATTTAAAGAGCATGTTCGTAACTATTCCAAATTGTTTAAAAAAGTATGCCGCTTAGCAAAATCAAATTACTTAAGTTCAAAGATTAAGAACAGTAATGACAAAATCAAAATGACATGGAATATTATAAACAATGAAACTGGAAAATCCAAAACTCGCGAAAATAATTATAACCTAAATATTGATAATAAAAAGGTTACATCAGATATTGAAGTTGCTAAAGTGTTTGAAAATTTCTTTACTGATATTCCAATTTCAACTATGAAATCTTTGAACTCTTCCCCCATTGCTGCCGAATCAATCTTAAGAGAAAACGTGAAACCTTGTACTAGTTTCATTTTAAACATGTTGACTTTAAAGATGTAATAAAAACGTTTCTAATTAAAATAAAGAAAGATATTAAATAAATTTAAAGACATTATAAAAAAAACACTTATTAAAAAAGCTTATTACAAAGTGTCTGATTATATTACAGACAAAAATGCTTGGGTTTGAACTGTTCCAATCATTCCAACAGGTTTTCTATATTAAATAAATCATAATTGTATTGACGTTGTAACAACATAATGATTTGTAAATGTTGTTACATTAGACTTTTAATGTTGTGGAGCTGTTTTCGCTCGTTTTTCTCCGCAGCTAAAAAATATGTCCATAACGAGTGGTAGGGAAAAAAAATTTTTTGGACGATTCAAAAGAGTTGTACTATACATCCAATTTGAATAAAGATATATTGATTTCTGAAAAAATATTTTTTGAAATATACCTACTATACCTACTAATGATTCTTCTTCTTCTTCTTCTTGTTGCTACGGGCGTTTCCGCAACTCGACGTCCTTATGGCGCCTGTTTTGCGTGAGGAGGGTGTATGGCCGGAATCACTCCAGCCAGCCCAGCTCCCCCAGGAACGCCCCCAGGGCCTTCACATTGGTGACTGCCTCTTGAAGGTTTCCCGGTGAGCCGAGGTATTTCGCCCGGTATTCGGCCACTCCGTTGCATTCCAGCAGAACGTGAGTAGCTGTTTCTTCTGCCTCCATGCATCCTCTGCATAGGGGGCTGTCCGTGACACCTAAGTTAAAAAGATGTCTGTTAAAATGTGCATGTCCAGTGATAGCACCCGTTACCATGCGCAATGTAGGTTTGCTTAGCTGTAGGAGAGTTTTGGAGAAGGCAGCGTTCACCCGTGGCAAAGCGAGCTTGGTCTGCCTGCACGTCTCCAGGTCGAGCCAGTATTGCTGGTGTAGTTCGGCAGTGTGCTCGCGGATTTTATTGACGAGACAGCTTACCGGTATTGGGACGATTGGTTCAGGACCTGTTGGGGTCGTGTCAGATCCCTTCCGGGCCAGCTCATCCGCAGCGTCGTTTCCGCGTGATCCACTGTGTCCCTTGATCCATTGGATGGTGATGGAATTGCTTGACCCTACCTTGTTTAAGGTTTGGTGGCATTCCTGTAGGAGGCTCGATCTGACTAAACAGGCATCTAGAGCTTGTAGGACTGATTTACTGTCGGACAGTATTCGTATTTCCTGACCTGTTACCTTTCTTGAAA